GTCTTTTTGGTAAAATGGTTTATTTTCCCTAGTATCCTTCATCCTTTAGATTCTCCCTCTTCAATGCTAACTTTCTGCTTTATCTGTTCTGTTCCTACTCTTAGATGATCACCCATCATCTGGGCTGCTATCCTTTTAACTGGCCTCCTCATCCCCAATATTTTTCTTTCTCCAATTCTTGTTAGACATTGGGTCTACATAGGACCTATGTTTACAAATTGTGGCATCTCAAATATGAAGCCCCAGTTTCAAAGGAAATTGATGATTTATAGCTATCTTCCAATTCAAAAGTTCATCACAGCAATCCAGTAATTTTTAAAAAACATTTGAAACTATAAAATAGCCTAGCAAGTACCATATATTAAATATTGGATCTTCCAGGTTATTGTTTATATGGTAATTCCACTCTTTTGCTCAAAATCTTCACTGAATCTCTAGTAGCAATCAATGAAGTACAAGTTCAACCTGGTATTCTAAACCCTGCCCAACATGGTCTTAACCTCCTGCCATGCTACTTTATTTACCACTGTGTATGTATATAAATATATATCATATATTCTTGACCATTAATTGTTCCCTGAGATTGCCTCATCTCTTCCTAACTACTTAGCTTCATTTGTGCTGTTTCTGTCACATGGAATGCCACCGTGCTTCTGACCATCTTCTGCTTCTTGAAATCCTAACTGCCTTTAAAGGACCACTGAAAATATCTCCTCTTTTTATGAATTCTTTCCTGAGGCCTCCAACTTTTGAACCAGTATTTGTTGTCCCTTAGAGCATTTAATCATGTTCTGTCTAGTATTAAAGTTATCCATGTATTTGTCTTATTTTCCCCTACCAGATTGTAAACTCTATGCTTGAGACCAAGGTCTGTGTCTCACTCATCTAAGTGTATGCTGTGGAGCCAAACGTATTAAGCATGTTGTAGGTCTCAGATATAAAATAATGAGACCTAGCTCCTTGTTTGGCTCAAAAATTGGAATTGAAGATACTACAATTCCAAAGCAATCATTCTAAAAAGGTTTTGAGCAGTCAACATTTTTTATTTATTTATTTTTTTTGAGATGGAGTCTCGCTCTGCCGCCCAGGCTGGAGTGCAGTGGCCGGATCTCAGCTCACTGCAAGCTCCGCCTCCCAGGTTCACGCCATTCTCCTGCCTCAGCCTCCCGAGTAGCTGGGACTACAGGCGCCCGCCACTGCGCCCGGCTAGTTTTTTTTTTTTTTTTTTTTTTTTTTTTGTATTTTTTAGTAGAGACGGGGTTTCACCATGTTAGCCAGGATGGTCTCGATCTCCTGACCTCGTGATCCGCCTGTCTCGGCCTCCCAGAGTGCTGGGATTACAGGCTTGAGCCACCGCGCCCGGCCACAGTCAGCATTTTTAGAAAAAACATGGAGCCTGCAAAATCCTAGGAAGGATCATATTTATCTAAATATTTAAGTTTAGCCTGGTTATTAAAAACCAATTTACATTTTCCTCTGTGTTTGCTTATCTGTTAATTTCTAATAGGTAGAGCTGGGATTAGGGTGAGATGAGTTAGATGCCAATGGCACCAATTGAAGGAGGCAATCACTTTTTCGTCAGTCTCCTGCCAATAGATTGCTAAGAATCCATTAGGGCACAATCAAAATTTTTCTTTCCAAACGAGCTTATAAATGGAGAATGTGCTCAAACACAACATTCCTTTTTGACTTACTCGAAGTAAAAGTAAGTTCATCGAAATGGATTAGTACTTTTTTACTCAAAGTGTTTTCAAATTAGATTTTTTTGGCCCACCTATGACAATAGGTGACAGTGTTTCTGAAGTATTTATGTGAGCAACAATTTTCTTGGTCTTCTTAGAATTATTACCCAGGATCACTATTCATTCCATTTCTTCCCTTGATTATATCATTATTGCCATGTAATGCAGCATGAAAGTTCTCTATGATATTTCATATTTTGCATGTATATGTATTTTAAGACAGAGTCTCTCTCTGTTGTCCAGGCTGGAGTGCAGTGGCATGACCTCGGCTCACTGCAACATTTGCCTCCCAGGTTCAAGCGATTCCTCTGCCTCAGCCTCCCAAGTAGCTGGGATTACAGTATCTGCCACCACGCCCAGCTAATGTTTGTATTTTTAATAGAGATGGGGTTTCACCATGTTGGCCAGGCTGGTCTCGAACTCATGACCTCAAGTGATCCACCCGCCTAGGCCTCCCAAAGTGCTGGGATTACAGCCATGAGCCACCATGCCCAGCCTATATTTTGCATATTAAAAGCCTTTTTTTTTTTCACCAGCTCTCTACATTTGAAATTTTATGAATTGTTTTCCTTGAATAAGGAGTATTTGTACTATAAATGGGAAACAAGTATCAAAATATGTGACCCATGAGTTCTGTAATCTGTATGCTTTTCTTTGACTTGTAAAGACTCCTTAAATACCTCAATAGAAAAATGAGCAAAGATGTGATTAGGCCCTTCACAGGAAAATAGGCAATCATCACAATACTTCTTTAATTAAAAAAAAACAAACCACTAATTAAAAGTGACAAATATTCTGCCTCACTGCAATGAGATAGGCAAAGATGTAAAAGAACAGCAATATTCAATATTGGTAAATTAATAGGGAAATGAGTGTTTTCATTACATGGTTGATGCAGCTGAAAATTCTAGCAGCCTTTCTGGAGAGCATTTTTGTATATGTATATTCAAAAGCCTAAGATTGTGTGAGACCTTTGACTCTACAGTGTTCCTTCTAGTGATTTATCTTGAAGAAATAATTGGACAAACTTGTGGTGACATAGGTACAATATGTCTATAATATACCTAAATTAAATGTCTGTCAGTTGGGGATTGATTGTCTTAGGTTATAAACCCATACAATGAACTGTGGTGCAAGTGATGATTAGTTCTTGTCTGCTGGTGTGAAAATGTGCCCACTATGTACTAAGTTTTTAAAAACCTGGTGACAAAAAAGGCCGGGCACAGTGACTCAGGCCTGTAATCAGCACTTTGGGAGGCCGAGACAGGTGGATCACGAGGTCAGGAGATCGGGAAGTCAGCAACCCTGAATGGAGGGACTGGCTGAAGCCATGTTTTACGTCTTTGCCTATCTCATTGCAGTGAGGCAGAATGTTTGTCACTTTTAATTAGTGTTTTTTTTTAAATTAAAGAAGTATTTTGATGATTGCCTGTTTTCCTGTGAAGGGTCTAATCACATCTTTGCTTATTTTTCTATTGAGGTATTTAAGGAGTCTTTACAAATCAATAAGAAAAGCATACAGATTACAGAAATCATGGGTCATATATTTTGATACATGTTTCCCATTTATAATATAAATACTCCTCATTCAAGGAAAACAATTCATAAAATTTCAAATGTAGAGAGCTGGTAAAAAAAAAAAAAAGGTTTTTAATATGCAAAATATAGGCTGGACATGTGGCTCATGGCTGTAATCCTGGTACTTTGGGAGGCCTAGGCGGGTGGATCACTTAAGGTCATGAGTTCGAGACCAGCCTGGCCAACATGGTGAAACCCTATCTCTATTAAAAATTTTAAAAGTTAGCCAGGCATGGTGGCGGGCGCCTATAGTCCCAGCTACTTGGAGGCTGAAGCAGGAGAGTGATGTGAACCCGGGAGGTGGAGCTTGCAGTGAGCTGAGATCATGCCACTGAACTCCAGCCTTGGGGACAAAGCGAGACTCTGTCTCAAAAAAAAACAAACAAACAAAAAAAAACAAAAAACCTGTTGACAAAATAGCATGCTTTTATCTTATTTCTGTTTAAAAATAGATTTATCACTTATCTTGGAAGGGAGTGAGGATTAGATCATTGTTGCGGGAAGTCAGGGACCCCAAACGGAGGGACTGACTGAAGCCATGGCAGGAGAACATAAGTTGCTTAAGTTGTGAAGATTTCATGGACATTTATTAGTTCCCCAAATTAATACTTTTATAATTTCTTACACCTGTCTTTACTGCAGAATCTGAAATCTAAATTGTGAAGATTTCATGGACACTTATCACTTCGCCAATCAATACTCTTATGATTTCCTGTGCCTGACTTTGCTTTAATCTCTTAATCCCATCATGTTCGTAAGCTGAGGATGAATGTCGCCTCAGGACCTTGTGATGATTGCTTTAACTGTACAAATTGTTTAAACAATATGAAATCTAGGCACCTTTAAAAAAGAACAGGGTAACAGCAATGTTCAGGGAACAAGGGAGATAACCTTAAAGTCTGGCTGCCTATGGGCCAGGCGGAACAGAGCCATATTTCTCTTCTTTCAAAAGCAAATAGGAGAAATATTGCTGAATTTTTTTTCTCAGCAAGGAATATCCCTGAGAAAGAGAATGTGTTCCTAAGGGGAGGCCTCTGAAATGGCCACTTTGGAAATGTCTATCTTTTATGGTTGTAGATAAGGGATGAAATAAGCCCCGGTCTCCCATAGCACTCCCAGGCTTATTAGGACGAGGAAATTCCCGCCTAATAAATTCTAGTCAGACCGATTCTCTGCTCTTGAACCTTGTTTATCAATGACAATGGGTGCACAGCGGGACATGGAAGTTCATTAGTAATTCTAGTTTCACCCTGACCTTGTGATCTCGCCCTGATCTCCTGCCTTGTGATCTTTTGTTGCCCTTGAAACATGTGATCTCTGTGACCCACACCCTATTCGTACACTCCCTGACTTTTGAAAATTGCTAATAAAAACTTGCTGGTTTTATGGCTCAGGGGGCATCATGGAACCTGCCAACTTGTGATGTCTCCTCCGGATACCCAGCTTTAAAATTTCTCTCTTTTGTACTCTTTCGCTTTATTTCGCAGACCAGCTGACACTTAGGGAAAATAGAAAAGGACCCACGTTGAATATCGGGGGTGGGTTTCTCCTGATAGATCATGGCCATTTTTGTATTCTTCTTCATAACTTCTGTATTGTCTATTCTTTTTACAGTGAACATCTGTTATTCTTACAATCCAAAAAAAAATTATTTCCCTTTTAAAAAAAAAGGACAAGTTTCAATTTAAAAAATGTTTATTCTTAGGCAATACAATAAAATAATATTTTAGATATAATTACAGAAATATTAGTACATTAAAATATTATAATCTTGTCAGGATATAACAATATAAAATATTCAATATATTTTAAATATATTTCATTTGGTTATAGAGTAAATATTAAATTAAGTTTAGTAGCAGTAAGTTACATTTGATACATAGAAAATCTTTGTAAGTTAGCCATCAAATTCAAATGTAAGCATTATTTTAATACTTTCATAAATAAGTTACTTAATAATATTTATCTTGCTGAAAGACTTCTGAGAAATCTGTTATTTTAGCACACTGTGAAATTCCAAAGTTGAAGCCCCAATTTTAAAGAAACAGTTTACATTTTATCTGTAATATTAAATCTTCATACTTGTGTAAGCTACTCATAAGCTATCTGGAAAATAATGCATATGAGCTATAACTTAGTCCTGAAGTACTTCTAAGTAAAGTCTTAGAAGTACGACTGAACAGCTGTTCATATGGCTTCATTGAAATTTCAGGTCTTAGCATCACTTGTCTTCCTCAGAAGTTAAATACTGATAAGAGGGCATGAAAAGATGGAGGCCTGAGTGGAGGCCAGTGGTTTGACATTAGCACCAGTCTAGAGCTTTTACTTATGAGTAAAAGTAGATGACCTTAGAGTCACCTGTGAGTTTGAACTTTAAATAGAGACATGGATGGAGCAGCTGTAGCCAGCCGTACTGGGTAACTGCCTGTAGAGTTGTTGCTTGGGTATTTGTCTAGAACAGGTTTTCTCAGTATTTAGAGTACATCAGAATCATGTGGTGGGCTTGGTAAAACATAGATATTTTGGGCCCTCCCCCAAGAGTTTCGGATTCTGTAGGTCTGGAGTGGTCCCTAGAATCTGCATCTGTGACAAGTTCCCAGATGATGCTGATGCTGCTCTTCCAGGGACCGCACTTTGAGAACTACTGGCCTACGGTAGGTTTGTAGAGATTAGCTAGCTCCATATGCCGCTATAGTACACTTGGGATAATGGGACATTTTTAAAGCAGAAAAATTTATTTGTTAAGTGAATCTAAATAACTGAAATGCTGCATATCTTAGTTGAGATGTAAAAATGGCTTGACAGCAAACACATGAGCAGTGAAGGATATAAACCATGTGAGCCACGGCCATAGTCTATGCTGTCCTCTAGGTCACGTTTTTCACTTACAAAGCAATTGAGATTGAAGCAGTAGCCTGAATTTAAATATCAGCACCACCAACTCCACCTAGGTAGATCAGGAAACATCTTCAAAGCTTTGTCTCTTGGTGTCTGGACTCTAAGACTCATCAAATAGTGTTATCATCAAGTATAACACTAGTTTAATGTTTTGTAGATCTTGTTTTTTCTGCTATTATTCAGACCTTATCTTCTCTTGGCTTTTCTAGGAGAAACTAGAAGCCCTGGGTTTCCCTAGGCATAGACCTTATTTTTAACCTTTACTTGGGCCTGCTGAATTATCATAATGAAATATAACAGCAGTGAAAAGGAAGAAAAAACAAGAGGGGAGGGAAGCTACTTGTATATGTGAGATTCTTAACAGAGCAATGAGTTACTTTTTCTGGGATATTAGATCAGAAACAAGTCTCTTTTTTCTCTTAGCATCTCTGTAGGTTAGTAGTGTCTGGGACATGCTTGGTGCTGAATAACATGATTGTTAAGTTGAATTAAGTAACCTTGGGAATGTATCAACACCTTGAAAAGTGGGGTTTAAGACATACAGCAGCCAAATTATACAGTTTGATACATTAAGATTTTTAAACAATGGACTCTTTCAATATGGTTTGTAAGAGTATATGACATAAAAAGTGTTGCTTTTTTTTTTTTTAAACAAAGGAAGAATTAGAGAAGTAACAAAGGAATAAATCTGTAAAACCTAGAGTGATGACATATTCAGAGCAATGAAAAAATAGATTCTGAGTCTGATAAACCAACAAATGCCTTAAGTTAATTCGTGGATTATTGAACTGCTCCTTTACATAAGATATGCACCAACATTTATGGGATGAGGATAAAGTACACATTTCATAAGTAGTATTCTTGTTATTTGTGTGGGTATGCTGGTAAAAGAGAAGTTAAAGTTATACATATTTCATAGTATGTATATAACAATATCCTTTTAAAACTAATTCACTAAGGGGGAAAATTGTATATGCTTTGAATACAAGCAGATTTTAGAGCTACAGTGAAACGAATTTAATAAACAAAAAAATCTTTAAAAACCAACAAAACAAAACAAAACCATACAGTATTTCCAACAGTATTATGGTTCCATCAGGGAATCCCCCTTTTGCCCTTAGCAGTGGGCATGTTTGAAACATTCCTAGAAAATCCATGAACCTCAGTTCAGTTCTGTGTTCCATCAGGCCTTACGGTCCTCAGCAGGTCTGAAAGTCCAGTTCTATACACAATGCTCCAGGATACCACATGCCCCCTTCTCTTCCCCTACCCAGGGTCTGAAGTTTCATGAAGGGGTGGTGGGGCAATCAAACACTGATTTAGCCTCCCTGAGTCTTAAAGACAGGAGGAGGACAAATGTGGGAATCCAGTGGGCCAAAAATTTCATAACTTGTAGCATTCAAACTTCATACGATCACCATAGTGACAGTGCCTTGGATGTAAGTGGAATAGACTTTTGGTGTTATTTTGTGAATAGTTGCTGCTTTGCCACAGGGAACTTTGAAACAGCACAGATTGGAGACCCAGATCACAGAACTGACTTGAAAGAACTGCTTTGTTCTGTGGGGAAACAAATTGAAACTTTGTACTGAGTCACCATGGAGCAATATTGTTTGGTTAAAGAAAAATACCTAAATAAAAGCATGCTCTGTCATTACTTTGTTCTTTAGGATGAAAAATAGCAGTTCTGCTGTCTTTTTTAGCTTTAGTGTCTTTTCTTCATGCACACCTGACAGCGACTTATTATTTTTTCTAATTCTCCAGCTTTCACAGTTGATGGAATAGGCTTTCTGAAATAAAAACAAACCAAAAAAAAAACCCTCATTGATTTATGCATAAAAGGGAATTTTTGCTGAGTTTGAGTTTTATTAATGAATATTGTCACTATTTTGAAATTTATTACAGGGCCGGGCGTGGTGGCTCATGCCTGTAATCCTAGCACTTTGGGAGGCTGAGGTGGGAGGTTCACTTGAGGTCAGGAGTTTGAGACCAGCCTGGCTAACATGGTGAAACCCCATCTCTACTAAAAACACAAAAATTAGACAGGTGTCATGGCATACGCCTTCTATAATCCCAGCTACTCAGGAGGCTGAGGCAGGAGAATCACTTAAACCTGGGAAGTGGAGGTTCCAGTGAGCCCAGATCGTCAGATTGTGCCACTGCACTCCAGCCTGGGCAACAGAGCAAGACTGTCTCAAAAAAAAAGAAAAAAAAAAGAAAGAAAGAAATTTATTATAGGACTATTTATCTTTATGGAAGAAGTATACTTCTGAAAAGGCATATATGGTGGCATTTTATAATTTTAGTCATATTTCAGCAGCATTAAAGAAACATAAGCCTTGATGAAAACTTACAGATCATCTTTTATGTAATAAAAACTACTCCCACCCTTTAAATAATCCACATTATTCGCAAGTCTTTCAATACAGTAAATTCAGATGAGAGATCATTTAGTGTGATTGTATATAATTTACTCTAAATTTATATAGAAATGTTAAATGTGTTTAGTAATGACAAAACACTGATTTGTCTTTATTGGCACAGTAGTACAAAATCATGGCCACTCCTTGACCCGAGAACACAGGCAACTTTCAACAGTTGTGCAATTGAGTCATCAGATTCAGCTTGATGGTGAATAGTTACCTGAACATTCTTTCTGGGTTTAATGAAGCCAGCCAGAAACTGTAGGAATTTGAATAGTAGTTGCACGTTCCTCTTCCATGACATTCTAGAAATGGGCTGGCTCGGAATTCTTCCAGGCAGGAGCCGGGGGAGGCCAGTGCTTGCCCGGTGCCCTCAGAACCTGCACTTGTGAACTACCACAATTTAAAAAATCTGAGTAAACACTCTGTCCACTGGGGTTCAAATGTTCAATTCTCTACTTTTTTTCTTTTTTTTTTTTTGAATGAATGGGCAACTGTGAGTAAAGAAGGGGAAGGAATGATCATCAGTGATGCTACAGATTAGAAATAACCACCTATGTGGCCAGGCGCAGTGACTCATGCCTGGAATCCCAGCTCTCACGCCTGGAATCCCAGCTCGCTCTTTGGGAGGCCTAGGCAGGCAGATCACTTGAGGTCAGGAGTTTGAGGCCAGCCTGGCTAACATAGTGAAACTATGTCTGTACTAAAAATACAAAAATTAGCTGGCATGGTGGCGTGTGCCTGTAGTCCAAGCTACTCAGGAGGCTGAGGCAAGAGAATTGCTTGAACCCTGGAGGCAGAGATTGCACTGAGCCAGGAGGTGGAGATTGCAGTGAGCCAAGATTGCGCCACTGCACTCCAGCCTGGGCGACAGAGGGAGATTCTGTCTCAAGAAAAAAAGAAAAAGAAAAAAGAAAGAACCACTTGTGTGCAGCTATGACAGTCATCACAGTCACACATGGCCATTCCATAGATTTCTTCACTAGCATTTACATCTGACAGTTTTTTCTTTAAAAGACTGTCTTTCTTTGCTTTTATCTCTGTATGAATGTGAAAGGGGCACAGATTTTGGAGCAGACAGACCTGGGCACAGATCCTAGCTTTTCCACTAAATAGTTGTAAGACCTTGGGAAAGTACTTCATTCTTGTTTGTAAAACTGTCGATGATAGAAATTACCTATCAGAGTTTTCATAAAAATTACAGAGAATGTATATAAAGCAGTTATCTTATAAAAAATAGGCATTCCAGGCTGGGTGCAGTGACTCATGCCTGTAATCCCAGCACTTTGGGAGGCTGAGTTGGGGAGATCACTGGAGGTCAGGAGTTTGAGACCAGCCTGGGCAATATGGTGAAACCCTGTTTCTACTAAAAAAACAAAACAAACAACCCAAAATACAAAAATTAGCCGGGCGTGGTGGCACACACCTGTAATCTCAGCTACTCAGCAGGCCGAGGCAGGAGAATCACTTGAACCTGGGAGGCAGAGGTTGCAGTGAGCCAAAATCACTCCACTGCACTCCAGCCTGGGTGACAGAGTGAGACTCTGTCTCAAAAGATAAAAATAATAAAAAAAGAGGGATTCCATTATCAATCAATGGCAGCTACTATTCACCTAAATTTCATAAGAGAATTTGTAGGTAATCTCCTTCTGAGAAGTCTTTTTTTAATACTCCATTATTTACCAGAAATAAAGAAAAAAAAAGTGTATTTATAGATTTTCAAGGAAATGTCTATGGCATGTTGCACCCACTGACATCAGGCAGCATTGACCCTGGGAACCACATTTTACCCAGCATAATGTAACATTCTATGGGTAGTCTTTACTATAAAACTCCTGTTCCTTTTCTCCTCACCATGATGAACGAAAATCCTTTCCAGAGAGAAATCCAGCCGTGAGGACATGGAGGAATGTCAGTGGTTTGGCTGTGAACAGCTATGGCGATCGCAGGAGCTTCACAAACAGTGCATCTGTAACATGAAACAAAGACTATGGCAGCATTGCCACTTTCTGCACTGTGATGTGCTGCCTTACATTCCATTACAAGGGAAGTGATTCACTTGGTCCCATTGTAAAACTAGGGGATTGGATTTTTACCTGCTTATATAAGGCTCAAGGGCCCTGCCAGTAATGGGAGCCATGTTCATTGGCATCAGAGCTGGTGTTGACAGCCAGTATGAATAATCATTTCGAGATGCGAAATTACATACATCATTGACATTGCAGAATAAGAATGGCATTGTGGTAAATCGCTGCAGGCAGCTGCCCAGAGTTCCTAATGAAACATCAGACTGAGTATCACTTTCAGTAAGTTAAAGGTATTTTCGGCATCGCTAGAGAGAAGCTAATTAAAACGTAACCTGTAGCAAAAGCTGGACAAAGACAACACAAGAGTTATCTGCTAAGTGTAGTATTGAGAAGTTTTCATACTGATAGAAATGAAAGATCCAATAGGCAAACAAATCTTCTTTCTCCCACCTTTAATACTTCCTGTGGCTCTTTCTTTTTTTTTTTCTTTTTTTGAGACGGAGTCTCTCTCTGTCGCCCAGGCTGGAGTGCAGTGGCCGGATCTCAGCTCACTGCAAGCTCCACCTCCCGGGTTTACGCCATTCTCCTGCCTCAGCCTCCTGAGTAGCTGGGACTACAGGCGCCCGCCACCTCACCCGGCTAGATTTTTTGTAATTTTTTAGTAGAGACAGGGTTTCTACTGAACCAGGATGGTCTCGAACCCCTGACCTCGTGATCTGCCGGTCTCGGCCTCCCAAAGTGCTGGGATTACAGGCTTGAGCCACCGCACCCGGCCCCCTGTGGCTCTTTCTAATCGATCTAGAACATGGGGGCTAGCATAGGTCAGCTGGGATAGTGTTTTTGCTTCAAAGTATTCCCACTTATTCATATGTACGTAATAGCTAATAACCAGATAAAGGTTTAGAAAAGCTATTATTTGTGAGATTAAAAAGCAAACGGGTGGGCTGGGCATGGTGGCTCACACCTGTAATCCCAGCACTTTGGGAGGCTGAGGAGGGAGGATTACTTGAGCTCAAGAGTTTAAGACAAACCTTGAAAACATAGCCAGACCTCGTCTCTACTGAAAATCAAAAAATTTAGCTGGATATAGTGGCATATGCCTGTAGTCCCAGCCATTCAGGAGTCTGAGGTGGGAGAATTGCTTGTGCCTGGGATGTTGAGGCTGCAGTGAGCCGTGTTGCACCACTGCACTCCAGCCTGGGTGATGAAAGTGAGACCCTGTCTAAAAAAAAAAAAAAAAAGAAAGAAAAAGAAAAAACACCAAAAAGATAAATGCAGACAGGTGGTTTAGGGGGTTTTAGGGGCAAATTGTTTGCACTGAATGGGAGGAGCTAGGCTGGCATTCCTGAGCTAGGCTCCTTCCAGCATTTTACATTCCAGAATGAAAATTAGGTCAGTGTTGTTTTATTTGCTTTCTTAAAAAGTGCCAGAAGATACTCAAGGTTGTTTACACTTAACTTCAGAGGGAAGCATCCTAGGCTATAAAGATTTACAATCTGCATGTGGAACAACACAACTGGCAGATGGGACTGGGACATTACCGAGGTCTTGTCCGTGGGCTCGTTCATTCCCTTGTACAAAGAGAAAAGAAAACCCACTGTAGAGTGGCGCGGTCCCCTCTGGACATGAAGGGATTGCTGTGGTTTGACTGTGTCGGGTGAAGACAAAGCCTCTTGTTGTCCAGGTTGCAGGTGATCCACTGTCTCCACGTTTTCCTTTCAAACCTGGCAATCCATCTGATCCAGGTGGTCCTTCAAAAAACACATTCTAAATGTTGCAACACACACAAAATCTTAAACTCGTTTTTTCAAAGTACTAATTTAAATATATGTTGAGTCCCATATATTGAAAGAAATCCTGGAGAAGAGTGGCTTATAAAAATGGCCAAAGAGTATTATTAAATGTTAAACAGTTTATCACACAGTGCCTCTTCTTATCAATCTTTGTGTGAAAATCTGATGAGTTTTTTGAGATCAGGTCTTTATCTTTGAATTCCTCTGTGAGGCCTGGCACAGTGGCCTGCCTGCATCTGGTAGGTCTTATGTATGTTTTTTATGAATACATGAATGAATCCTCCTACAATGTGATGGGGGGAAAATCCAATATCTACAACTTAAAGTCTATTCAAGTAGATCATAATAAATTACTTATGGTTTTGATAAATTCACAAATTATTGCAACATTGTCTACAATAAACAATTGCAGAAAACACTGAAAGCTCTTTTTAAAGGTTCAAACTTCAAGAAAGTTTTGATCAATTTGTTAGGAAAGTAAGAAGAGAAGGCTTTTTTTTTTTTTTTACACTGTAATAAGGGTTAATTTATTTTATTTATATGAGTTAAAAACAAAGTAAATGGTTTCTGTACATTTTTCTCCCTGTGGAGAAAGACTTTCTATACTTTGGAGTACGGAGTTGGACAAGGCTAATCCACACTTGTCATGTTCTAGATAAGGACCCGTGAGCTGTCCTCTCTTCCATTCCTCTTGAACTTCCTTCTCCTTTCTTTAATTGAACAGCTATTATTTATGGTATTGGCATTGGTTTCCACCTCCTCACCCCCATCCATTTGTGCAGCCACTATACCCTGACTCCCTCCCCAACCAGACTTGGGCCATGGTTCTTTACGGTCCTAAGGAAGCACAGAGAAAACAGAGACGGTTAGACTTTGGGCCTACATCATCACAGGAATTAGTTTTGTTGTCCACAAACATCCATGCCCCTGGGAGTCAGGCATTGTCACAGTTTAGTCCTGACTCAGAAGTCAGAACTTCCCACAGAAATTTGTAAAAGCCCCAATATTATATATTTTTTCAATTTTCTCTGAATTCTGCCCCCTCTTGTCTCCTCCAGGGACCTTGAGTGGTTTTTTGAAATTAAAAATAGGCCACATCCAAATTCTCCAGTCTGATGTCTTACTTGAAAAATCCAAGTTGCCATGGTTTTAATATATTGGGGAGACACATTTTTCTGTTTTCCTAACCCCTGCCCTCATTCAGAGGGGGTATAATTGACCCCAAACAAAAGATGCCTCCTGATCTCTACACAGGAATTGGAAAGTGATTAGCTGAGCAGGGCAGGAACTGGAAGTGAGCTTTTATACAGATGTATGATATCCAAGGCATTTCCGTATCTCCAAGAAGGGGGCCAGGGCTGTCAGTTTATGCCAGTGCAGTTTGACTCTTAGATCCCTTTGTCATTCTTGTGAGGCCTCCATAGCATTGAACTGTCTACTTGCTAATTAATTCTCAACAAAATTTGTATTGCAGTGCCCTTGCTCTTGCTGTTGCCCCATTCTTAGGGCATTGAAGCCTTGGTCATTAAAATTTTTAAATTAATAGAATTATTAATAAGAGTGTTTTGTCACTTCAAAAACCACACATTAAGGAAAGTTGAATGATTAATAGTACTCCACTGTGCACCCATGGCAATACCAAATCATATGTAGTTATGCAATTAGTATTATAATATTAACATCATATTTGAATTTTTAAAAATTTAAGTCTACAGTCTTTACCATTTTAATATAGTAGATCTGAGCATCATGTATGTCAGTAAATTCAGAAATCACATTTAGAATTTTTCTTGCTTTAACAAAGTCAGCAATCCTAAAAATAGAAGATTTGGACATCAAGGTAGTTTCCAGAAGAGTGCTTTGAAACGTTTGCAGAAGGTAGACGTTGATCCAGGTGTCAAACTGACACATACAGCATATGTTCAGAATCAAACACTATATTATATAGTATATATATATATAAGAGGCCCCTTTTCATGACACACATGAATTGTTGAATTCTATTCAAGAATGGCTTTTTTTTTTTTTGAGACAGCGTCTCACTCACTCTGTCACCCAGGTTGGACTGCAGTGGTGTGATCTCAGCTCACTGCAACCTCCACCTCCCAGGTTCAAGCGATTCTCCTGCCTCAGCCTCCCAAGTAGCTGGGATTACAGGCACCCGCCACCATGAAGAATGGCATTTTTAAAAGATGGCTTTCTTAAAAAAGGATACTAAGTTGCTCTTCTACGCATACCAAGGTAATATTTTTCTAGCTACGTACTTATGTACCACTCCTATAGATAATAATTATTAACTAATTACTTCTATAAGTTATTAAAAACAGGTATTGGCCTTTTTGAAAGAAGAACACCCATAGGACTTAAATTAGTTCTATTTGTCCTCAGGCTAAACTGTGCATCAGTTTGGAGCCCATCTGACCAGCTAAGAGGTTGGAAAAATAGTGTGTTCCAATAATTCTTGATTCTCATCTTCCAAATTAACATTTGATCCTTGGCCTTTGGTCTGATCTGAATAACATAAACTCAAAGGCCTAGATAACTCATATAGCCACCCACTCAAACAAGACCTCTTTATGTCTAAATAACACTTCTTCAGTGAGGAAACAAGCTGGGTGCTTACCTGGCTCTCCTTTAGAACCTTTGTTGCCTTTTTCTCCAGCTGGTCCAGGAGTTCCTGGTTTTCCATCCTTGCCTGGCTTACCTCTTGGCCCACAGGGTCCTAGGCAAAAACCAACATTACATTGCATTTTATCGTATAGGATGAAAGATAAGGTGACCAACCATCCCGTTAACCCAGGACTTTCTCAGTTTCAGGAATGAAAGTCCTGCATCCTGGGAAGGTCCTCGGTCCTGGGCAAGCTAGGATGATTAGTCACCTAACTTGTTAGCCCCACTTCCCAGAAAACAAGGCTCTCGAAAATGAACTATGAGGATACTTAATGCAGCAGTTTAAAATTGTGCTGCAATTTTGATTTATGTTCTTCCAGAATTCACTATGTCCCTGAATTGATCAAACTAATAAGTACTATCTTTATCTCCCAGGTGATTCAGACACACTTAAGGCGTAATCATTCCATTCAGAAGCCTATTACAATACGCTCTGCTTATGTAGAGGGGTTAGTTCAATTTCCAAACACCAGTATTTTGAAAAGATTCCTAAATCATTTTTTTCTAATACTTTGCTGTAGAAAGTGTTAGAAAAGTATAAATTCACAGAACTCAGGTATATTCAGACAATCATTTAGAAATAGATCCCCAAGACTGACAGTTGTCAGAGGAGATAGACATACCTTTACCTTAATAAAAAATAAAAAACAAAAACATGCTGCCCTAAAGTGTATTTGTTCAAGTTATACTATGTACAACAGCTTTCAATAGATTCCAAGGTCTTTTATTTGCTGGTCAAGGGTAAAATGAGCTCAATCCTAAGACTGTGAAAACCACTATCGTGTTCAACATTTTCTGTGAAGTTGTATCAGCTGTTTCCAAAGCAGTTTACAGGTATTTTGGTTCAACCACTTCCTACTGATCCAAGTCAATGCTGCCAGTCTCACACCTAGGTTTCCAGGTGGCCCTGGTGGCCCAGGTTCTCCCTGCATCCCTGGTTCTCCAGGTGTGCCAGGTGGCCCTGGGCTTCCTGGAAGGGAGATAATCTTAAGTGTGCCAGGGTCTCCACGTATACCTGTTGACATAAACATAAGAAGAAGATGATGGCTTCACGGATGCGTTACCTTTCTTCATTGAGATCAATGGTAAGGAAATTTATTTACCAGGTGGTCCTATTGGCCCAATTGGTCCTGGAGGTCCAATGGATCCTAGAAATCCAGGATTACCCTTTTCTCCTAAAAACAAACCAACAAACAAAAACACAATGTGATTCCACTTAGATCAATGGGTCTCCTAGTTCTTCAGGTTGATGATTGACTCTAAGGACAAATACTAGAAGTGTGCCTGGAGGCTCTGTCCTGTGGGTTCTGTCACAAGGGCTACAATTTCATTTTTGTTCACATAGGTTTTGGCATGTCACTGGGACCCAGTAGTTCATGCTTAATGAGTCTGTAAAGAAATATATTCCAGAAGCAGGCATTAAGAACTTGTATTTTAACATTGAAGGGGAAGGGTCCTTAAGAGTCCAATTTTTGAGTTCAGAAACCAATTTGATATTTAAGGTAAGATACAAAGTCACATTAAAACCTGTTTTACCATCTGGTGAATTATATTGCTTGGTTGTCATAGTTATCTACTTTCTCAGCTTATTACTCTAGCTTTACTCATAGCCTAGAGTTAGTTACATCAGGAGTTCTCTTGAGCGCATAGAGAATATTTGCTTTGTGCAATATTGTTGTTTAAGTATTGGATTCAACTGGATATTCTGTGTCCTAAATGGAATAGCCCGGTACTGCCAGCATGAACTAATAAAGTGGTAAGATTTCTCTTGCAAGCACAGTCTTTTACACAAATAAAAGAAGGTTACTGAGAGCCATTCATTTGGAGAAATACTCTATTTTAAAGAATCTTGAAATAGTATAGTGGAGCCTTCCTACTTCAGTCATATCGAGGTCCTATTTGTACTAACCCTAGCTGTCTGTACTTCAACAAACACTTGTGTGCCCTAAAATATAAATTGAGGTTATTGTATTTGCATATAAAGAGCAATGCACAAAAACAGTACCTTTCACGCCTGGAAACCCCTGGAATCCAGGATCACCTCTGAGTCCTGGAAGACCTGGAGTACCTGGTGCTCCCTATATTTCAAAAAAAGGGAGTAGAACCAAAACAAATCTTTTAAAATTACTAGTTTTTAAAAAATGCAAATAGGGTATAATATTATGTTGGATGAGAATAGGCTGAAGTTAGCAGACATCATTTTTTCAATCAAGGCTATAACTCCTTTGGCCACTTAGAACCTTTCCTTAGGACTATCATTTTAAAAGTAAAATAAAAGCTTCCCTTAAGCCCAAGAGCAAACATACCTTCTAATATTGGCGTATGTTGTTTTAGTATTGGATTCAACTGGATATTCTGTGACCTAAATGGAGTAGCCCAGTACTGCCAGCATGATTTTTTATTTTTTTTATTTTTTTGAGACAGAGTCTCGTTTTGTCATCCAGACTGGAGTGCAGTGGCATGATCTTGGCTTGCTGCAACCTCTGCCTCCCACATTCAAGTAATTCTCATGCCTCAGCCTCCTGAGTAGCTGGGATTACAGGCATGCACCACTACACCTGGCTAATTTTTGTATTTTGAGTAGAAACAGGGTTTCGCCATGTTGGCCAAGCTGGTCTCAAACTCCTGACCTCAAATGATCTGCCCACCTCAGCTTCCCAAAGTGCTGGGATTATAGTAGTGAGCTACCATGCCTGGCCCAGAATGAAAATTATAATAATCTGTATTTATAATTGTTGCAAAGACAACAAAACCATTGTTGAGTTACAGCACCCAAGCGTCATTCTCAGAGCCATAAATTACTCTTGACCATGATGATAGGAAAAGTAATGTCCAGGGATGGGAGTGTACAGGGGTTGTCAAGAGAGAGTATTTGACAGGCATATTTGACAAGGATGCAATAATCTAAGCGGGAAGAAGGTGCTCTCTTCTTATGAGGCTCACATGAACTGGTCTTATAGCCAGGAGATGCTCAAGCAAAGCCATAGAAAGAGGGAGGAGGGAGCAGGGCTTCTGAAAAGAGCTGTTTGTCAAAATGTATGCTAAATCTACTTTCATACTGTCCATATGGATTGAGATAATGCTATTACCTGAGAATAATGGGCTTTGAAGGTCGTGAAAAGTGCCAAGAATAAAACTGGCCTTGAACCAGCTATCTTTGGAGCAAGAAGACCAAAGAAGGAACCATCTGATTGCTTGGATAAAGTGTTGTTTAAAAAAGAAGAGAGAGAAAACAGAACCATCTGGTCAAGGACTTGCTGGCTTCTCATTTCTGCCTGTTCCTCTTGAGGCTAAGGTAACTATGAAAAAGAGCATGTTGCCAGGGTTATCCCTGGCAGCAGGAGGGAGCTGTTAAAGGCCCCAAGCCAGTTGAGACATCCATCAATAATTGTCTTTCAACTGTAAGTATAGAAGCCTATGAATGACCATGAAATCACCAGAGGAGTTAAGTAAGATCATGTTTCCAAACCAAGCTTTATACATCCCAGTGTCCTTGGAAGGTCTTTAGATGTAACTGTGGATCAAATTGGCAACTTTCAAAGAATCATGGAGAACACGAGAGACACCTACAGACTGAAGATGGGCAAATATGTCATTTTTCAAAAAAAAAAAGAAAAAAAACATTTAAAAGTAGATTCTGGAAATCAAATACCAAGAGAGCTTAAGAGTGATTCCTAACAATGAGCTATGGCAAAGTACCTCATTATGCATCACTGATGAGGTTAGTAGAGGACAAAATGAGTTATACCGTAGATGTTCTGTACATTGACAATTTACATGGTAGAGAGAGCTGTGCCATGTGCCATGGTAGCTCTCTCTACCATGTTTTTGTGGCCAAAATGGCTGCTGCATAGAGGAACAAGGATAGATTTAAAGCTTGGTGAATGGCCACATCGAAAGGCAGTTCATTAAGGGATTAATTCCAGCTTGTAGAGAGAGAACTCTGGGCACAAAGAGCTGCTTTGTAAGTGTTTCTTGGATCAGCAAGTGATGTCCTCCCTCTTCTTAGTCTAGAAAACCAGACCTCCATTACCTGACTCCTGCTTAGCCCTCCAGACTCCTCTCAAGGTGTCCTCATTCCCACCCACCTCAGCTCCAGTAATAGAGTTGTGTGTTTGTCACTCACACACACCCATTGTCATTTTGCTCAGAAAGCTCCCTTCCTCCACCCCACCCATACCCCTGCTTTTCTTATTTTCTTGGATAACTCCTATGCATCTGTCAAGACTCAGACCAGGCATCAGTCTCCTCGGGGAGGGATCTTTCCTGAGCGTCTTCCCTCTACAGTCTGGATTAAATACCCTTCCTCTGTGTCCCCATAGGCTCCTGCATTCTTCCTACCACACGGTGGGAAAATGGCCTGTCTCTGTGCCTATCACCCTCACTTTATTGTGGGCTGCTCTAGGGCAAAGGACTGTAGCTTTTTGTTTTTCTGTCCATTGGTACAGAGTAGACACTCAGGTATGATCCCTGAGTCACATTCATCTATTCAACATCTGTCTCCAAGGATTTGATGTAGACAGAGGGATCAGCTCGTTTAATATGCTGCTAAGAGAAAGCTAGGGATGATGGCTGTGGTGTTGAGAGAGAGAATATGAATTGAGAGATCGCAGGCTGGGCGCACAGGCCTAAATGAATAAGACAATGTCTAAGATTGATAAATGTAAAAGTTCTACACTTAAGTCCCAAATAAGCATCAATAACAACAAGCTAGGCAAGAAATAATGGAGAAAACCTAGTAGCAGTTCATGAGGAAAAGGCCCATGGCCTTTAGTTGATTACGAGCGCAATGTGGAGACAAGCAGGTCAGCCTAGTGGCCCAAGTGGAATTTTAGGTCTGATTCCTAAAATGACGACGTTCCAGACAGTAGACTCGTCTGTCCTTTTGCTACTCCCTGGGGTATTGACTTCTAACTTCTGGAGGGCATTCACTCCAGAGGCTATATTTTTTAGGGCAATAATGAGAAACTAGGGTGTATTCAGTATAGAGGCAAAGCTGATAAATGGTTAAACTGAATTTGAAAGAACCAAGTATTTATCCAGGAATAAAATAATTGGAAAGAAATGGCAGTTAGCTAGAAACATTAGCAGGCATTTGGGGGGCAGAAAATAAATAGGCATTTACAGGGGAAAGCAGAAAACTTCAGAAGCATATAAGTAGAGGAAAAAGTGACAGTGTCATTTAGAACGATTCTGAACTCCAGCTGCTTTTTGAAGATTCCGTCACTGGACTTGTTCAGGGTCTAAATAAGCAAGGGTCTGGAATGCTGTAGAGGTGAGTCCCATACAGACCAAAGTTTTGGAGGCCTCTTAGAGGCCAAATCATTCCAACTCTGAAGATTTTTTGATTTTCATAAACTTTTGGACTGTGTTCCCTTAGGCATACTGCACAGATGCATCAAAAATTATAAATTTTACATTAACATTAACATTAACAATAAGTCAGTGTTAATGATATGGTTTGGCTGTGTCCCCACCCAAATCTCATCTTGAATTGTAGTTCCTATAATCCCCACATGTCCTGGGAAGGATCCAGTGGGAGGTAATTGAATCATGGGGGTGGTTCCCCCATGCCATTCTCATGATAGTGAGTTCTCATTAGATCTGATGGTTTTATAAGGGGCTACCCCCTTCACTTGGCACTCATTCTGTCTCCTGTTGTGGTGTGAAGAGGTGCCTTCCGCCATGATTGTAAGTTTCTTGAGATCTCCCCAGCCATGCAGAATTGTGAGTCAATTAAACCTCTTTTCTTTAAAAATTACCCAGTCTTGGGTATGTCTTTGTTAGCAGCATGAGAATGGACTAATACAGTTAACAATATCGACAATATATGGTATAATGTACAATATAAGAATAATTATAATAAGTGGATATTGAATTGATAATGAGTCAAAATAATTATTCATACTCACCAGATGACCTGGTGGTCCCATGTCTCCTACAGTTCCAGGTGGACCTTTTGGCCCAGGGTGGCCCATAGACCCTTTGTCTCCTTTTATGCCTGTTACGTGACTCCCTGGAGGTCCAGGGGGACCAGGCTCACCTGAATTCATGAAAAGTCTGTCAGTATTGCCAGCCAGGGAGCTTCGAAGGTTCTACCTAATTAGTGATTGTTTCTAATGAAGTATAAACCCTTTACTTAGCATTACCACAAACATTCTTTCCCCTGGGGCATGTGATGGGATTGTGGTAAAGACAGGATGAGATGATGCCAGTGAAGCACCTGGCACCCACCAGCAGGATCTGCTTCTCCCCAGTGAGGGTCTGTTACAGCAGGGTCTGTGCCTGCTTCCCTAGAGCCTAGCCCAGCTCTAGGGATTCAACAAATAGAGTTGAATGAATGCATCACTGTCTTTTAGGCTAATTAATATTATTATTTTTTGAGACAGTTTAGTTCTGTTGCCCAGGCTGGAGTGCAGTGGTGCAATCTCAGCTCACTGCAGCCTCTGCCTCCCAGATTTAAGCGGTTCTCCCACCACAGCCTCCTGAGTAGCTGGGATTACAGGCACGCACCACCAACCAAGACTGGCTAATTTTTGTATTTTTTAGTAGAGACAGGGTTTCACCATGTTGGCCAGGCTGGTCTTGAACTCCTGACCTCAAGTGATCCACCTGCCTTGGCCTACCAAAGTCCTGGGATTATAGGCATGAGCCACTGTGTCCAGCCAGGCTCATTGATTTACTGACTACGCATCCCTCAAACAGGCTACCTTGTCTTGACAGTTGCTGGGTGTGGGAACCATGGGTAGACGGGGAATGGAGATGACCACAGGGAAAGAAGAAGCAACAAGGTAACATGACGAGGAGGTTGAAAACTTTTGAGGTCAAACATGATTTTTGTTCTTTTATGCTATTTAAAAGTAAACCCTCTACCTGGGCTTCCTCTTAAGCCTGGTGGACCATGATTTCCTTTCCGGCCAGGGATAATTGCACCGGGCCGACCTGGTGGCCCTGGGAGTCCTTCTATGCCTGTGGGCCCTCGAGGCCCAGCATCTCCCATGGCCCCTTTTCTGCCAGGGAGGCCAGGGAAACCTGGGGATCCCCTGTCTCCTTTAGCTCCTGCAAAGAAGAAGGCCTAGTAAGTTTCTTTAATGGCCATATGGTTGGGTTAGAGTTCTTGGCTATCTTTAATAATGTAAGTACTTTGCTTAAAAGTGTTCAGATTCAGAATATATATTTCTAAAATATATATTTTATAATATATTGCTGGTAAATGCAATATAGAGCTACAAAAACTGAGTTGAGACTCAGTGTGTCTCCAACTAGCTGTCCAATCTTGGCAAATTCACTTCAGATTTACTTACTATTACAAATTTTGATTTTCTTATTTTAAAAATGGAGGTAATACCTGTTCTAGCTAATTATTTCAGATCAAGTCAGATGACATACAAACATAAAAGCATGGCATAAGCTCTAAAGTGTTATATAAACGTAAGCCACAGTTACTCTCAGCTGATGAACTTAGTCATGTTGACATTGTTGAGTCACTGATAATCCGTTAGAGCATAAGAAGCTAAATGGCATAGCACTGATGTATGCATTTGAAGTATTATCCAGCGAAACCCAGACAAAGAAGCAACAAAATTGCAGTCTTTATTCTGTCCTTTTGCTAACTTCCCCACACATCCCCCATAATAGGAATAGTAGTGGCAGGAGGTTTGGATTTACCAAAGACCCCCCAAAAAGGTCACAAGTCAATACTAATATTTTTCATCTTAGAAAACCTTCAAGAAATTGTGCTTTGACATTCATGAATGAAAAATATTGTATGAATTGAAAATAATGTCTCCCTCTTCTCTCCCATGTCTGTGTTGTTCTAGAAGCAGTAAATGGCATGAAAACAGGAGATAGATGTGCAGAAGGAGAGGGAGAAGGAAGGGGAGGCTAATAGCTCAGGGGAGGGCTTGGGGAGTTATTATATAGTAAAGACTTACAATGAAAATAAAATTGATGAATATTGGCTATCTAGCCCTATGTCTATTCACACCCTTTAGCTTTTTAATACCTGTAATTTATGCTTTTAAAAGAAAGTGCTTAGATGACTTCAGTTCACTCCAAGCTTTGTAATACTGTATTTGCATGGCAGTGACCTGAAGCACCAAGATGGCTTGGATTATATATTTCATGTTCATTAAAATGATTACATGCTCTGCAATATGATTTCATTTTAGGATTTTGGAGAATAAACTAATTAAAAGGATTCATACCTTCCAAGTCTCAATGAACTCTTCTCCATATTTAGTTATCCTAGAGGGATTGAGGTGCATAATCATTCACTTACATAATTAGGCTATTGGTTAGTTTTAAGGCTTTTAAACCTAAGGTATGACCGTTTTATACCAAATTTTATTTCCACTTAAAAGCTAGTGTTCTCATTCCAAATGGTTAAACTGTGAGTTAGCCTGGGAACATGAAGAGCAACTCTCCTTTTGACCACAATTCTAAAGCTACACCGTGGAACAGGAAAAGCCTTCATGCTCATTGGTAAAGGAGAGGTCTGAGAGATGTGGGAAGACTGAGCTCAACCAAAAGAACAATCAAACCAGTAAGAAACAAATGGGAGAGAACAGCTCTTGTCTACTTTTACACTTTAACTGTTTTATCAAAAGTGGTTCCTGCCCGACTGAGTTTCTCATTGGCATCGAGCTATTCTTTGCTGGTTCGCATGAGCATCAATAACTAGGGCCCTTCAGTGTGCTAGGCCTCTTTGCTAATGAAATGCTCCCATTCACAGGACCCGTGGCTGAGATGGGTCAATGAAATGTGCAGACAATCTGATGTTTCTCCTGGAAGGTTTGACTAGAAAATGGAAAAGAGTTAAAAGAAGCTGTTTATCTTGTAAAGCACTGATGTGAGAAATCCAGACTTGCGGCCTGCGAAACAAAAAACTTGAAATACTCTGAATGACATGTTCAGTAAACTGCCATGTCTGAGATGTTGAGAGACTCTCTGGGTAGCCTTTAATAAACAATAGCATGGACCGCAAGCTGGATCTGGGAGTTGGAATCAGACCTAAGAAGATATAGGTGGGAAAGGATTTGGATTACTCCTGTGCCTCAGAACAGCAGGGACAGATGCTCACTGAGAACCCATCAGTTCCACCTTCACCTTTTAGGAGGTGGTACCTTTAAACCATGCTAACAACAGCAAGACATATACAGAAGAATCCTTTTTACTTTTCAAGACTTTCTTAGTAGGAAATTCCAAAATTGAATCAGAGTTTCTAATTCATTCCATTTGTTGTGATGGTAATAAGTAAACATTTAAAATTGAAGACCAAGATGATAAATATCCTTCTATATTGCCATTGGAACATCTTCAATTTGCTAGGTTAAGCTTATTTATATTTAAGGCATGTTCAACTGCTTTCTCTCCTTGAAAATGTGTACATTAGGACAGGGAAGAAGAACTGCTTACCTTGAGCACCCGGGTTTCCTCTTGGGCCTGGAGGGGCCCTCAATAAACCTGAAAGAGATAATCTTGGCATGTTAATATTTGGTCAATTTCATTATATTATATGTCTATGACAGAAGTTTAGTACACACCAAAAACATGTTAAAGATAATCAGTTCTATCGGAGAAAAATCTTTAGAGCAGCAAAGGATTACACTGTTACTAATGATTCTATCCAAAATAAAACTAGTGGATCAAAGATAATGAGCAAGTTGTACCCGTTTCTCCCTTTTCTCCGGCTGGACCAGGAATTCCATCACGTCCTTGGTCACCTCTTACACCCATTGGTCCAGGAGATCCTGGGAATCCTGGAAGACCTGAAAAAAAAAAAAAGCCTAAAACTATGATATACAAAAAGAGGATTTATTTCTTGCCAATGGCCTAATGGGAATACCAGGGAGATGTGTGGAATTGTGTTAAAGAGGCTATTTTTCAGAACTGTAGCTATGTGAAGCTATGTTCCTAGGGAAAACCACATACAGATTACTATTATCATGAGGATTGGATTATCAGTTTGGAATAGGTTGCCAAATATTTGAATTAAATAGATAGAAATATCTAACCTCATTTTTTTTTGCATTTTTGTCTGGATACTGAGTAACTAGGAGCTACCTTCTATAGAATAGTAGGTTTACAGAAATCCACACCTCAGGAGAAAGTGTGCCTCCCACATGAAAAGGAAAGAGAGAAAGTACAAAAATGAAACCTGGAGGGCCTTTGATTCCTGGAGGGCCCGGGAAGCCTCTGATTCCTTTAAAACCCAAGTCACCATGAGGACCTGGCTTTCCTAGAAATGAAGAGAGGGGAAGGAAGAAAAAAGATCACCAAAAGATAAATGATTACAACAGTGACTGAAACGGTCTGTTTTTATAGTCAACCATGCTCACGCTGGCCTTAAGGAAGCTCTCTTGTTGCAAGGTCACCCCATGGTTTTGTCCAGGCTGCTTTTTTCCCGGAGAACCACATGCAGAGATGTGGCAAATCACTGTCAAAGATGTGTGTACGCCAACCACAAGCACCACTCAATATGCAATTTTATTTTAATTGTGAGTTAAATGCAAATTTATTGAAACTTTCTGTATTTGAACAGGTAGTTTATTGTATTTAAGTAAGACCTGAATCTGCAACCTAATAGTTTCACAGTTGTTTTTAATAAAACAAAACCCTAAACCTGAATTGTAAGCTAATAAGCAAGAAAGCCAAAATTCAATACAGAAATCGGTTCGAAAAAGAGTCACAGCACAGTGTTGTAGTTTGAATTGTGGTGTTCCCACATTCATATGTTGAAGTCCTAACCTTCAGTACTTTGGAACGTGACTCTGTATTTGGGGATAGGGCTGGTAAAGAGGTAACTAAATTAAAATGAGGTCAGTAGGGTGGACCCTAATCCAATATCGTGTGATGTCTTTATAAGAAAAGAAGATTAAGACGCTTGGAAAACACAAGAAGAAGATAGCCATCCACAAGCCAAGAACAGGGGCCCTAGAAGAAACCAATGCTGCCGACAGCTTGATCACAGACTCGGAGCTGCTGGAACTGTGAGAAAATAAACGTCAGTAGTTTAAGCCACCTCATCACTTCTCAGCCTTCTGGCTAACATCAAGTGTAGTTTAAGCCACCTAGTCTGTGGTATTCACTATGGAAGACTGAACAAACTAATACAAACATTACGATTGTACAGCGGCTAACATTTTGTATCCTTGGGCTGAATTTGTTGAGACAGTTCTTCAAAAGTGTTGTTTATAGGAACATATTTTTATATTTCAGTCCACCAAATGGACTGATTAGTAAAATTGGGCTCTCTTAATGAATTCCCTGTTTCTTAGTGTGTTAGAATTTGAAGTTCAAAGTTGAATAAAAGCAACTGCAGCATAAAAGTATAAATAGCTTTCTGTTTACCACAGTGATTTCAGGAGGGCTATACTCTGAGTAATGCTTCCAGCTTTTAGAACTGTAAACCCAAACCTTACCTGGGAGGCCAGGACTTCCAGGACTTCCAGGGGCTCCCTCAGGTCCAGCAGGCCCCGAATGTCCAGGTGGGCCAGGTTGCCCCATTTCTCCTTTCTTTCCCATTTCACCCGGCAGTCCTGGATCCCCCTTAAATGTAGTCAAATACCTTTAAAATTCTCATATAAGCAGGATTTGTGGTTAGAATTCAGCGTAAACTTTATTTACTAATTCTTTCATTCATTCGTCAATTCATATTTAGTATCTGCTCTCTGCCAGCACTGTGATAGGTGCTGAGAATAAGATGGCCACATGGCTTATGGGGCCCAGTGCAAAATGAAATGCATCTTCCCTTAAAGCGAATTTCAAGACAGCAACAGCATAGCATCAGACCAAGTGTGGAGGCCCTTCTTAGCACAGGACCTCTGTGACTGCACTGGTAGCAAACCCAGGAAGCTGGCTTTTACCAGGATATAATGGTAACCTATATAGATTATGGCTTACACAGTCCCTGCCTTCATGGAGCTTCAGAGACCAGTAAGTAGATAGATATTAAATAATCATACAAATATATAATTACAAATTGTGATGAGTAGCTGGGAGTAAGAAAGAAATAGACTAAATAAAGATGTATCCTACAAATACTATGCATGCAAATATGTCAATCATATGTTTTAAAAACCTTCCAATGATTTAATGTTCATTAAATCTTCACTTCAGTTTTAAGACCAACCAGAACACAGGTTTGGTAAAGATTTACAAAATTTCTATGGTAGCCAATTAAAATATACTACTCTGTTACTCTCATTTTGCTGACATGATAAAACCAGCTCATTTTGTGTTCAATGCACAGTTCTAAAAATTTATTCTGGTGGTTACCTGGTGAAAACTTTAAATCTAAATGAAACTATCAATTAACTGAGTGTGAAGTCAAACAGGATTTCTCGTTGAGCAAATATCTCAGTGGAAGCAATCTCGGGTTTTCTGAGGACTTAATCTAAATATAAAAAACAAAGACATTTGTCTGTGCTCCAAGTGAAAAAACAGTTGCTTTCTTGGGTCTGTGTAGGTCTAAATTTTTTTCTTGTTTTAGCAATTACTACTGGAGACTATAGCTGGTGGAAATATTTAGGAAAGGTGATATTTTATTGTCTCCAAAAAGAGGGAGGAGGTTCCCTAAGTAATAATTTTTATATGTTGGAGTCATATACTGTTGAAAATCTAAAAATCTAAGTCTGAAAAATAGACTCTCCCCTACAAAAACATTTTCAAACATTTCGCATTTAGTTTCTAGAAGTTGCTGGGCTTCTTGGGATCCCATAGATTTTCCCACTGGTCCATGGAATCCCATGTTAGTAACCTCTGCTTATAGGAACTTCTATTAATCATTCTCTTTTGGTCTATCTCTAGCTTTTAATGTGAGAGCTATACTCAGAAAATTGGGAAGAGAATAAACCTAAGGAAGCCACTGAGCCCTATTGAAACATTTGGTTGCTGCTTTGTATAACACCGTAGTAAAAAAAGGGCTTTAACATCCAACCTCAGTTTGACAGAGCATGAACACTGAAAACATTGAAACAAGATTGAGTATTTCCATTCCATCACACAGAAAAAGTTCTAAAACAAGAAAGATAAATGTATGTGTCTTAGGATTTTGTTTGCTTTCTAATGATGCTGTAAAGTTATTTTATTTTGTATCTTTTGTTAGTCTTAGTAAGACAAGTGTTTTTTATTAGAAGGTTTGGAAATTTATTTTTCTAAGTCTACATGAGATGAGTACAGCAGAAACAGGCCACTTTGTATCACAAGAAAAAAATCCACTGTCCCATCTGATTTTATGGGCCTGTAATCACTGCCTTCTTCTGGCAGCACACCTAAATTGCAGGGACAGTGTGGAAATTCCTTGGTGACTGAAAGAGGCTTTCAGAAGTTGACAGCTCTGTGACAGACAAGCATCCTCAGTTGTGGAGACAGGATTTTAAAAATCCAAATAACTGTCTGAAATTATAGTAATAGTTTCAATTTTCTCTGCCCACACTGAATCTGGGTACTTGTTGGTATTTTTCAAGGCACTCACTCCACCACCAAAATGTAAATATTTCAGTGGCCTATATACCGTTGGTCCTGGTGGTCCTGGCCTTGTACCTTCTGAATAACCCGGCTCTCCCTTATCTCCCTGGAGACCGTGAATACCTGGGAGGCCTGGTCTTCCTGCTCGACCTGGGAATCCCAAAGTTCCCCTTTTTCCTTTAGAACCTGAAATTAGGGGGAAAACATCGAGTAAAATAGATAAACATGAGGATCTTGAAGTTTTCTACTTTTCACTTTTGCATAAGTTTTCTCCCAAGAATGGCTTTTTCAGAATTACAAATGCATCAGGTAGTTAACAATGGATGATTATTATATAACATCAATATTTATTTTGTTCTCACCCATATTCTAATTGCACACTGTATATTTGTCTAATAGCAAATCTAGTTTTGTTGTTGTTGTTGGTTTTTATTGAGACGGAGTCTCACTCTGTCGCCCATGCTGGAGTGCAGTGGCGTGACCTCAGCTCACTGCAACCTCCGCCTCTTGGGTTCAAGCGATTCTCCTGCCTCAGCCTCCCGTGTAACTGGGACTACAGGTGTGCACCACTACACCCAGCTAATTTTTTTATATTTTTTTGTAGAGATAGGGTTTCGCTGTGTTGGCCAGGCTGCTCTCAAACTCCTGACCTCAGGTGATTCGCCTGTCTCAGCCTCCCACAGTGCTGGGATTACAGGTATGAGCCACTGCACTTGGCCCTGCAAATCTAGTTTTTTAATATAAGTTTTCTACCAAGTGGAAAACCAAAACAGTACACAACACAGAAAATCTGGAATCCTCACTCATCATGAGCTTGTGGGCTCATAACAGGACCTTACACATTACCTGGCATGCCCATGTTCCCCATGCTTCCTGGTATACCACGTAGTCCTGGTTCTCCAGCATTCCCAGTGCTGCCCAAATCTCCTCTGGGGCCTTCAGAACAAATACATAGTTATTGCCCTGCACAGTTTCTGGTCATAGTATGTGTTTAATAAATACTTGTTGCTTGCATGCATGAATGAATCCAAAACAGCCAGACCAGCTGGTTTAGGCATTGTCTAGCTGTCCTTTTTCCTTCAAATAAGGAGGGAACTAGGGACCCGGAACATGTAAAACTAAAGAAAGTTAGATTCTTGTCAGCAGGCCTGGGTTTCAAACACTAAAATCATCCTAGGACCAACACCAGCAGGAAAAAGTGGGCTCCTGCAACCATATGGTAATATATTTCCAACTGCATCCTGAAGTGTTATTGCCATGTAATATATTTTGTTACTGAGGTGGTTATAGGAATGGTGGGATGCTTTAATTATTTAAAAATTATTTTGTAAACTCAGTTACTTGCTTTAAAAAAGAAAGATGCAAACCTGAAAACTTCTAAGGCATTCTCTAATTTTCATCTCTGATATGTGACATGGTGATGAATTATAATTTATAATACATACCAGCAATTTCAGAATGAAATTTTGAGGACAAAATGGAACTATTTGTAGGTTAATATAAGTTAACTACACACCAACTATCAACACCTTCTTGTTAATTTAGTAGCAAATTTTGCTGGAACACTATCAGAACAGAACTGATATTTAAACCCAATAAGTCTAGAAACAACGTTTATTACTTTAGATGTAGGAAAGTGTAAAATGTGATATTTTTCTATTTGAGAATCAGCTGTACCTGGTGGTCCTGCTGGTCCAGGTAGTCCTTTGAGGCCTTTTAAACCTGGTATCCCTGGAACGCCTCTGTTTCCTTTCTCACCTGGATTTCCTGCGAATCCTAAAGTTAGAAACCAGGTATTAACAAGAAAATTAGCCGGGTGTGGTGGTGGGTGCCTGTAATCCCAGTTACGTGGGAGGCTGAGGCAGGAGAATCACTTGAACCTGGGAGACAGAGGTTGAAGTGAGCTGAGATCGTGCCACTGTGCTCCAGCCTGGGCGACAGAGCAAGACTCCATCTCAAAAATACCCCCCAAAACAAAAAACTAGGTATCAAAAATTCAGGTTAAAATTTTGTCAGACCCATCCACATCCTGGTTTAAACCAATGGCATATTATTGTAGTTCAGCGTAGCATATATGTTAAGAGCATGGGTGGATTTGGGCTTCTATCTTTTAGAGAAGAGGATTAAATGAAATAATATGTGTCAGGCATTAGCACAATACCTGGCATAAGTTATTCCTCAGTGAACACTAGCAATGATCTTAATATGTACTGTTTAAAACAACATTTTAAGAATTAGCAGCCTAAATATCTCTTCATTTTTTAATAGCAAAGACAAAGTGTTATCCACTACACTATTCTCATCTAGATGATTCTATTCTCAATCCATGTATTAAAATTATAATTTATTAAGTATTAGGTAAGTCAAAGGCCAGAATCACACTGTCAATCAGTTAATAACACTTGGATTTGAACCCAGTTCTGCACATCTGGAAAGCTTATAAACGTCCCAGGAAACCATTCTACTTTCCCTAAAACATGACTTTGATCATACTCATCTCCTTTTCATAAATAGTCATTGGCCTGGGTGCGGTGACTTATGTCTGTAATCCCAGCAGTTTGGGAGGCTGAGGGGGGTGGATCATTTGAGGTCCGAAGTTCGAGACCAGCCTGGCCAACATGGTGAAACCCCATCTCTACTAAAAATATCAAAATTAGCTGGTTTGATGGCACACACCTGTAATCCCAGCTACTTGGGAGGCTGAGGCAAGAGAATCACTTGAACCTAGGAGGCGGAGTTTGCAGTGAGCCGAGATTGTGCCATCACACTCCAGCCGGGGTGACAGAGCGAGACTCCGTCTCGAAATAAATAAATAAATAGTCACTGGATCTATTACCTACAGAGTAAATTGCAAACTCCTTCAGCAGCATGAAGCGTTCTACAATCTGTCTATGGCCTGCCTTTGTGCTTTTTCTCAAGCAGATTCACTTCCCTTGGCTCTTTTCCTGCATATGTACTTATTCATTCACATATGGGTGGAGCATCTAATTAATAAATAGGTCTTGTGCTGAGCACCAGAGAGATAAATCATGTTCTCTTCCCCCAAGTTTTTAGTGTTTAACTGGGGAGACAGCCAAGTAAACAAACAATTATCATCCAGGCAGATAAACGCTGTACTAGAGTTGGGCACAATATGCTACAGGGAAGAATTTCTGGAAAAGGTAGTATTTTTTAGCTCAGTCTTGAAGACCAAATGAAAACTAATTGGGTGAAGAAGGTCTGGAGTGAGACAGGATTCCCAGACAGTAAAACAGCATGTAGAAAGGAGTGATGAGTATCAGGGAGTTAGATTGTTTTGTTTTACAACCTTTGTTTTTTCCTTTTATGTCGTTGATTGCAATCTGAAAAGATATATATACTGTTTAGTCTGTTTGTTTACTTCAGTTTTTTAGGGGTTGGCAAAATACAGCTTTCAGGCTGAATCTGGCTTGGTTTTGTATGGCTTGCGAGTTAAGACGGGTTTTACTTTTTTTTTTTTTTTGAGACGGAGTCTTGCTTTGTCACCAGGCTAGAGTGCAGTGGCATAATCTCGGCTCACTGCAACCTTCGCCTCCCGGGTTCAAGTGATTCTCCTACCTCAGCCTCCTGAGTAGTTGGGATTACAGGTATGGGCCACCATGCCTGGCTAATTTTTGTATTTTTATTTGAGTTGGGGTTTCACTATGTTGGCCAGGATGGTCTCAATCTCTTGACCTCATGATCCGCCCGCCTCAGCCTCCCAAAGTGCTGGGATTTACAGGCGTGAGCCACCATGCCCGGTGGTTTTTACATTTTTAAAAAGTTGTTAAAAACAAAAGCAAAGAATAAGATGCAACAGGGACCATATGTGATCCACAAAGCCTGAGATACTTACTACCTAGCCTAAATGGAAAATGTTTATGGACCCATTATGTCTCTTTCCCCCACTAAACTGTAACTTTCATCATGACTAGGAAACTAAAGTCTGCTTTGTTCACCTCTGTATAATCAAGACATAGCAAAATGCCTAGTCCATAGGTATTATGAAGTAAAAAGTAATTATTGAGTACCTAAATCTCATGTGGCTGGAGAGACAGGCCAAGTGCAAGTGGTGAATAAACTTGTATGTCAGTCTAAGTTCCAATTCTCAAAGCACAGGGAGCCTTGGAAAGATTTTAAGCCAAGAATTTTATTTGTTCATCTGAATCTTATTTGACATTTAAATCCTCTTTCACGGAGGTTTCACTGACTATCCTAGTTGCTGTATTTTCTGCTTCCCTCTACTCCTGTGGAGCTCTGGCAGCACAGTGAGGAGGCCAAGTGTGAGGCCCATCTCTGCCATTTCCTATCAGAGTGACACTGGGCAAGTAACTTCACCTCCCTATTTCCCCATATGTAAAATGGGATGATTGCAATAGCAGTACCTACTCCTAGGGTTATATATTTATTTATTTTTTGAGACAGAATCTTACTCTGTTGCCCAGACTGGAATGCAGTGGCACAATCTCAGCTCATTGCAACCTTCACCTCCCAGGTTCAAGCGATTCTCTTGCCTCAGCCTCCTGAGTAGCTGGGATTACAGGCGCTTGCCACCACACCCAGCTAATTTTTGTATTTTTAGTAGAGATGGGGTTTTGCCAGGTTGGCCAGGCTTTTCTTGAACTCCTGACCTCAGGTGATCCACCTGCCTTGGCCTCCCAAAATACTGGGATTACAGCTGTGAGCCACCGTGCCCAGCCTACTCCTAGGGTTATTGTGAGGATTAAATGAGTCAATAGTTGTAAAACTTGGAACAGTACTTGCACATGGTAAATGTTCCTTAGGTCATTGTTAAATAATATAGCATACTAATTTGCCCCTTGCGTTCTTTATTATCTTTTTCTACATATGCCTAAGTCTCCCACGCAGACTCTTTGTGGAGAGGATAGTGACTTATTATTGTGCTTCTCTGTATATTCAATATCTCTTCCACATGTGAAGTGAATAGCTTTAAGTCAGAAATTCAGATTTAGGAAAAACAAATGGATCATATTGAAATTAGGGAGGCCTAGATACAGGTTCTTTTGTTTGTTATTCTTCAATCTGTGTCCCTTGGTTATGCATTTGATAAGCCTGAAGAAAACATACAGAACAGCCTGGATGCATACTCTACTTTGGGTGAGTAAAAGAGTTTTGTTGGAAGCATAGAAATAGCCCCATAGCATGTGTCCTTCTGTACTTCACAAAAGGAATTCTTCAATTGCAAATTAGTACTCACAGCACATTTATACTGTGAGAGCCAAATTTCTGCTTATGTAGGCAGAGATATGCTATTCATATTTTTTTCCAGAATGCTTCTAACACTACTTAAATAATCTAAAATAGTCTAGTGAAGTGGTGTCTATGCAGACAGTTTATGAGGACTGGAGATTGGTGCCAGTATTTTTTTTTTTTTTTTTCATATCTTGGCTTAGACTAGTCCTAGCAGAGTTTTATAAAAGTCACATTACTTTCTTTTTCAGTGCTAAAAATGAAATGCAATATTCTTTTTGTACCAGAACTAAACTGTCTCTTCGACACCAGGTTAGATGGGGACTACCCAGAAGGCTTTTACTTCCTAACTTGCCAGTTAGTCAGCCTTTATATTGTGGTCTACAGCACCCTGTGCAGATTTTTTGTTTTTTGTTTTGTTTTGTTTTGTTTTTAGGTTTGGCAGTACATGTGAAGGTTTGTTACATCCTTATGTGCCACACATATAAATATTTGTTGAATACAGTCTCATTTCTCAAAAGTCATTTCAAATGTCTCAAAATTTAACATGGTTTTGCAACTGCAAACACATTTTTCTTTTATTGCGCTCTTACTATGACACATTTTTCTTTGATTCCTTTCCTGCTATGAGAGTCCGATCTGCAAATGTAGTATTTTGCCCAACAGTTCTCCGTTTTACTAAAGTTGCTTGGGATTACATTTGGTCAAGAAGACCACAAGGGAGGGCTTCTGAAAGTTTGGTTTTATACTGGCTGTATTGATCATATCACAAAAACTACCAAAAAAGTGCCCAAATAACTTGAAATGATGTGAATGCATTTGAATTTTAGCTTAAGAACCACATCTAACAACAGTCTTTCAAAGGGTTACATTTTCACTGGAGCATTTCTTTTTAATAATTATTCTCCAAAGGATTTTGAACAGGAGAAGAAGTTTTTAGATGGAATCAGAAAATATTCTCCTGGTAGTCTACAGAATAAAGTTGCATTTGAGAAGGAGATTTCAACATCAGCCTGAAAAGTTTTATAATGTGGAATTTTTTTAAGGGTTTAATTTTCCCCATACTTGGCAAAGAGGGAGTTTTGAGGCTTATAATTTAAAAACTGACTGCTGATTATTTAAATATAGCAAATCAAAATGCAGAATTAACTTAGAAATAAAAATGTTATGCATCAAGGAGGCAACATGTCGTGGAAGGTGACTCAGTTCTAGTGCCTGCTCAGCCACCAACCGGCTGTGTGATGGGCAGGTAACTAAACACTGGTCCTCACTGTCCTTATTTGTCAATTAAAGGGATTTGCCTGGATACTTTATTAGCCCGAGAATCAGCTCTGATATCCTGATTCCAAACAAGCAATTCTTTACCTTTGAGACCTGGTTCTCCTTTGTGCCCTATCACGTGGGATATCTGAGAAGGCCCGGGGTTTCCTTTATCTCCTTGTTCCCCTTTGGCTCCTGGGGTTCCTCTCTGGCCCTTTACTCCTGGAATTCCAAGGCTCCCTAACAGACAGGAGTAACAACATCAGGTCCTTAATTCTTCAAGTAGTTCATAGGGATTAAAAAGTTGGCAGTGCTTACTATAAAACAGAAAAAAATCAAACAAAAAAGTCTAACAATGCTGAGAACTTGATAAATACTTTCCCCATGCAGGCAGCCTCATAAGGGTAGTGGTAGAAGCCTGCAGGGAGAAAACAGGATTCCATTCAAATGGAAAAAAGGAACACAGAAAACAGCAAAATCAAATACTGCTGCTCTCTCAGAACTATTTTTCCCTCCAAAGAAACATAACTTTTTTTGCTGCAAAATAAATGAACATTGTTTATGCTTCCTGCTATTTAGAAAGATATTCCATCACTTACCCCTCTGCCCTGGCATGCCTGGGTTCCCAGGGGGTCCCGGAGGGCCAGTGGCTCCAGGAAAGCCCATCATCCCAACCACTCCATCTTCACCTATGGAAACAAATTAGCACAAAGCAGCACATGTTGTACAGAGTGAGAAAAGCAAAATATTCCATATACTAAAATAAATTATACTTAGAAGTAGAGATTGGGAGTTGAAAAAAATGGCCTCTGTACAGAGTAAAATTACTGTATTAGTCTAGGAGATGGGTCAGTAAATGGTCTTTTAAACTCATCTATGTAGAAGTGATTGGTAGCAAATCATATGCATGGATGAGGATAGAATATGTGGAAGTTTTGTAGCATTCCATCCTCCCAGCCCCTGATGAGTCACTTTCTATTATATCCCTTCACTTTATTTTCTCCATAACACTTGTCTCAAATTGAACTTAGATTTTAAATATTTCTATTATTGCTCCTCTACTATGAGAAGGGGAGACTTGTCTACTGACTGATGTGTCTCTAGGGCGTAGAAGAATGCTGGCATGTGATAGTAGCCCAATAAGATGAATGAAAAGATAATGTGTTGATTAAGTTGTTTTAGCCTCTTTTCCGGAGGGGAGATCAGTGAGGTCCTTATACCATGAGGGAACAGAATATTCTCCCCAAACCTATAAACAATAAACATAGCCATGAAATTAAAATAATTATACAGAAATACGATTAACAACTCTATGTCAACAAATCAGATAACTTAGACAAAATGGACAAGTTTCTAGAGAGACAGAATACCAAAACTGATTCCAGAAGAAATAGAAAACCTGAACATACCTATAAGAAATGAAGAGATTGAATTAGTCATTTAGAGACTTCCCACAAAGAAATGCCCAGACCCAGATAACTTCACTGGTGAATTCTACCAAATGTTTAAAGAGCATCAATTCTTCACAAACTGTTCCAGAAAATACAAGAGGAGGAAACACTTCCCAGCTTGTTCTACCAGACCAGCATTACTCTGACACCAAAACCAAAGATATCACAAGAACACAACAGACCAATATCCCTTCTCAATATAAATGCAAAAGTTCTCAACAAAATACTAGCAAACATATTATAGTAGTCGTATATAAAAAGGATTACACAGCAAAAATAGCCACATTCTGGGTAATTGTGAAATGTGTTCATCTAGCCACCACCGTTTCCCTGCAACATGGCCCCTGGTTTCTTACAAATAATTTAGAAGGAAAACGTTATATTAAGTAAAATCGTAGAGTCAAAAGCATATGCCTATGTACAGCTGACAGAGCCACCTTAAGAGGAAGAGGAAATAAGAAGAAAAATAGAAACACAAAAAAGGATACCCGGTAGCCCTAAAATTCCTGGATTTCCTGGATATCCTTTTTGACCCGGTGGTCCCATCTCGCCTTGATGACCTGACATTCCCGGTGATCCAGTTTCTCCAGGAAATCCTGATCTATCCAAGCCTGGAATTCCTGGGTCTCCCTTTGGCCCCATTTTACCTCTTCTGCCTGTGTATGAATAAATGAATGAATGAATTAATTAACCCACAAATGCTTTCCCCTCCTAACTTCAGAAATATATATATATATATATATTTTTTTTTTAAGATGGAGTCTGCCTCTGTCTTCCAGGCTGGATTGCAGTGGTGCGATCTCGGCTCACTGCAACCTCCGCCTCCCTGGTTCAAGTGATTCTCCTGCCTCAGCCTCCCAAGTAGCTGGGACTACAGGCATGCACTATAACGCGTGGCTAATTTTTGTCTTTTTAGTAGAGATGGGGTTTTGCCACACAGGCCAGGCTGGTCTCGAACTCCTGACCTCAAGTGATCTGCCCGCCTCGGCCTCCCAAAGTGCTGGGATTACAGGCATGAGCCACAGAGCCTGGCCACTTTAGAAATATTTTATGGCTGTAAATATTTAGCTTTGTGATTTGGGGTAACTGCGCACTTAGGCCTGCACGTGTTTGTGTGTGTGTATGTGTGTGTGTGTGTGCGCACGCGCGCACGCACGTGTATGTATTTAATGTCCCCTCTGTAAAATTTCTGAGCTCCCTTCTGGCTCTAACATTCTCTGCTTCAATGACTCATGCAGTAATACAAGTGTAGTCTTTATATCTATTTTCTAGTCCTGCAGACACATTCTGGGACTGCACCTTATGATGCTGCTCACTCTGTATCCTGCAGAAGACATACAGAGCCGTTCACATAGAGGTAAGTCACTGGATGCCTCTGGAAACAATAATAATGCCACTGTAACAGTTAAGGTCTTGGTCAAAAATGTATTTGTGAACATATAAGCAATATGATAGACCACAGACATTAACTGATTCCTAAGTAAATTTTTCCAGGAATAGTTCATCAGATCTGATTGAGAGGATCCAAAAACATAAAGTAAGTTTTCCATCATCTGGAACATCTAGCCTGCATCATTTAGATTTATTTTCATGTTTTTTCTTTTATATTGTGTGTAAAACAATCAACTACATATTTTAGTTTATAAGTTTTTAAACTGGTATCATTGCATACATTTACCACATTTTAATAATAAGGATAAATTTACCACTTTAATATCCTTATGAAAAGTATTAAAGGTAAAATGTTTTCTGAGAATTTATATATATCTAAATATATGTAAACACACACCAATCTCTCGCTGTCTTCAGCATTCATATTTTTCTTGCATAAAAGATACAAAGCAATTCACTATATTAACTTCAGGTTTCTTCCTTTATAGGTGGTACACACTACTGTGTGCAACAAACCCATGACAGCAAGGTTTACACTTCTGAAGTATTTCTCATTGAACAGTGGTCAGGACTTGTTGCTGGACAGTTCCCATGTTAAGCAGCAAAGCACAGAGCAAGAGTCTCATGTCTCCTGCCCATCTGGTGGCCAGTTTTGAGGCCCTTCTCCTACCTTGTTGCCCTTTCAATCCATTTAAGCCTGGAAGTCCTTGGGCTCCCCTAGGACCCTCTATGCACCTTCCTGGGGGTCCTTGTTCTCCAGGTGGTCCAGGCTGCCCTGGATCTCCTGCAAAAGAAAGCACACGATTATACCCAGGTGCTAGAACTTAAGGTCTTGGTATTGCTATAGCAATCATTCTTCTGTTAACTTTTTTCCCACCTATATCAGACCTATATTTACTACCATTAATATACCTTTTGTAGAGGGCACTCATTTAAAAAGAAGGAAGGAAGAAGGAAAGAAGGAAGAAATGCAGGGCAGGAACATTGGATGGGAAAATAATTAGGCTCCACAGATTCTATTTCTCGAACTAGAAATTTTAATTGAGAATTCTTCATTTCTAAAACACCTACACATTCAGTTTGCTGCCTTTTAGCAGAGCTAACAGTGGAGAAAAGTAATGACACTTGCTATTGTACCTCGTGGTCCATCAAGACCTTCATTTCCTGGAGTTCCAGGGAGACCCGGAAGTCCAGGGAGTCCAATTTCTCCATGTTCCCCAGAATTGCCTCTTTCTCCTGGAAAACCTGGTGTTCCTGGTCCTCCAGGCATGGCTACTGCTGGTTCTCCCTATAGCACAGAAATTATGTTATTACTATATAGTGCTTCCAAATCCTCGCTGATACTGACTAGTCTCTGTTACGGAGGCTGTAAGTCCCTGTTGCACAGCAACCACCATGCCATCAACTTTCCTTTTTGAACTCTAGTTGCTGACTTTTCTATAAGATTATATTTAATAACACTTCAGGATATGTAGCCTCCACTTTTTCAGAAGACTGTGGGATTGTCTGTAAAGAGAAAAATCTAGATGTTTTTACTTTTGATCGTTTTTCTCATAGCTAACCACATTTCTTTCTAGTGTTGTCCCATTTTAAATACTCCGAGTGTTTATGAAACGATTAAAGATGCTATCAAGATGAAATCTGCATTCTGACACCTTATGTTTTCCTTTCTAAAATGGAAGATGATCCAGAGAAACGTTTAAAAAATTTAACATCTTCATCATCTACAAATATATTGATAATTTCTACATCTAGAGTGTTCTGCCAGGTAGGTGCATACAAACTGGCCAATTAGTGGTCACCCGCCCTGTCTTCTGTGACAGTTTGAGTTTGAATTTTTGCATACCTTGGCTCCTGGGACGCCTGGCTTTCCAGGTAACCCAGGCTCTCCCAAATTTCCAGGACAACCCAGTGATCCTTTTGTACCTGGAAAACCTTGGTCTCCTACAGAGAAAAAACAATAAACATTGTTGTAGGATTAGTCTTATTGAAAGATTCTGAGCAGTAACTCTCTTATCTCTCAACCAGCCAGAGATGCTTTTATGAAAGTTTAAATGATAATAAAACCAACTGATAAATTAGCAATTTTTTAAAAGTTCCAAATCAAATTACATTGGTTCCCATTTTAAAAAATAACTTTCTCTATTTGGTTGTTTAGTATGGCTATGATCTTGATTCAGCAATTCTTCAAAGCACTGATGCTGGTTGACCATTTGACTTTGTTTTTGAAGTATTTTTTACATACAGTGTACAGGTAAGTGGATTTTTATATACAGATGTATTCATGTAAGCATGACCTAGATTAAGATACAGAGCTTTTGACCGGGTGCAATGGCTCACACCTGTAATCCCAGAACTTTGGGAGGCCAAGGTGGGGGGATCACCTGAGGTCGGGAGTTTGAGACCAGCCTGACCAACATGGAGAAACCCCGTCTCTACTAAAAATACAAAAAAAAAAAAAAAAAAAAGCCAGGCATGGTGATGCACACCTGTAATCCCAGCTACTCAGAAGGGTGAGGCAGGAGAATTGCTTGAACCCAGGAGGCTGAGGTTGCAGTGAGCCAATAGTGCCAGTCACACTCCAGCCTGGGCAACAAAAGCGAAACTCCATCTCAAAAAAAAAAAAAAAAAAAAAAAAGATATAGAGCTTTTTCAGCACCCCAGGTAGCCTTTCCCAACAGAGTTGCTTAAGAGAATTAAGTCCTAATGCCCCATAGCATCCATTGCACGTAAGGGATTAACTTCTTATGCCTTTATAGTAGGCGAATTGAGAAAGGGGTCAACACATTTTCTGTGTTCTCTGGTAGAGAAGAGGAAGCCACGGTGAAGCAAGGCTGCATTCAGAGTGTTCCTTCATACCCTCATTTGACCAATATTTAATTTGCAGTTAGTTCATGGGATTCATTAGATTCAATTGTGAAACTGTAAATCTCTACTTTCAAGGAGCTCTTGGGTTAGTTCTGGTTCCCATGGTCAACAGTCTTCTTCCAGAGAGTCAATACCTAGAGTTACAAAGTAGGGATGTAATTTATAAATGCAGGGTCCAAGAAGAATGAAGTACAAATGTGAGCCAGGCTCCCTTACTTCACAGATCATTAGGAAGAAAACCAAGAAATTGGACTCAAAGCCATTCTTGAGACTCCATGAGAAATGTGATTATGTTTTCCATTTCAAATACTCATAAATTGAAATCAATATTCTCATATTTGGGCAAAATTAATGTGTAATAAACACTGATGACATACTAATCCAAGAGCTGAAACACCAAAACATGGATGCTATTTTTGACAAACATTTTAAATAATATTGTAACAAACATGAAATTTTCATAAAACTTGCAGTTCTGTGTGAGAATCCAGGGACTCAGGTTATTCATATGTCATCCTGGACAGGACTTTCATGTACTTGTCAGTGGGCAGGTTTATGTCATTGTGTGAGTTCTCAGCATCTAGATTTTTTTGGAGTGTTTCCCCTTTGAGGGGAAACAGCATTTTTTTTTTCCTACAGGAAAATAAATTCCGTAATTTATTTTGGAGTGTATGGGGAAATCAGCTATTTGTGATTTAATAGTTCCTTTCTTATTTAAAAAAATAAAAAGAAATGTATACATGTAAAAGATGCAGGCATTTATTGAGAAGTATCAAAAATGTTTTTGAAAGCCAACAATCAAGGTTCACTATTACCATTTTGGTGAATTTCCTTCTAGTTGTTTTCTATGTGTTTTAAAAAATACAACTGAAATGAAATTGCATAAATCAATGTAAATTCTGCCTTTTCACCTAACATTATTATAAGAGATTTTTCCATTTATGGCTCTTGGAAAACATTTTTTTTTTTTTTTTTTTTTTTTTTTTTTTTTTTTTTTGAGACAGAGTCTTGCACCTCAGCCTCCTGAGTAGCTGAGATTACAGGCACGTGGCACACCAGGCTAATGTTTGTATTTGTAATAGAGTTGGTGTTTCACCATGTTGGTCAGGCTGGTCTCAAACTCCTGACCTCAAGTGATCTGCCCACCTCAGTCTCCCAAAGTGTGGGATTACAGGCGTGAGCCACTGTATCTGGCCAGAAAACATTTTAAAGAGTATTATGGATATTTCCTATGTTACTCATTTTTATATCTTATATCCTCTTTATATCTTTATATTGTATTTTACTCATTTTATTTATACGTATATACATCTTCTAAATATCCACAATGAACTTTATGTTTGAAAAAATTTTAAATTTACCCTTAGGTCCAGGAGGCCCAGGAAATCCAATTCCTGGAATTCCTGGTTCACCATCAGGTCCTGGAAGACCAGGATCTCCACATTTCCCCATAGATCCAGGCATACCTTAAAAACAAAAACACATATGCATCTCCACATCAGCAACTTTCCTTCATCTTGTTATAAAAGAAAATGTCTAAGTTCTCTGTGTCATCCTATCCCTTTTGCACATTAAGTTTTTTTTTTTTTTTTTTTTTTTTGAGATGGAGTCTTGCTCTGTCACCCAGGCTGGAGTGCAGTGGCGCGATCTTGGCTCACTGCAAGTTCCGCCTCCCGGGTTCACGCCATTCTTCTGCCTCAGCCTCCTGAGTAGCTGGGACTACAGGTGCCCACCACCGTGCCCAGCTAAATTTTTTTGTATTTTTAGTAGAGATGGGGTTTCACCATGTTAGCCAGGATGGTCTCGATCTCCTGACCTCATGATCTGCCTGCCTCGGCCTCCCAAAGTGCTAGGATTATAGGCGGGAGCCACCACGCCCAGCCAAGAAAAATGTTTTAACACAACCCCAATCATATGCTCCCCTTCCCTGTCCCTATCCAATGGACTAATCTTTAGGAATTGCAAAGAATTTTGTCAACATAATTTAATTCCTAACAGGAAATATTCTAGATGTCTTGAACTATGTAAGTCTCCCTCCATGCATGCAAAACTCAGTTTTACATCACGTTGGCAAAGAAATTCGGTTTTCAAATGAAGATGCTATGGAAAATATCCTAACGAATTACCAGTGGGCAAACATCACTTGCTCCCCCACCAAAACTCCATAAAGGTTTTTCTGCTCTAAAATCCCTCTTAAGTAGTTACATCGGTTCTCCTCTGGAACCTTTATATTAGAAGCACCAGTTAGTTAGAATAATTTGGATAACCTCAGAGAACTACAGCAAGTCCCCAGCCTGCTTGCTTATCAGATAAGACACTGCCCTGTGCTGTCTTTTGGAGCCAATGAATACATTTTTTCCTTATAATGGGGACAGTATTTTTCCAAGAGAGTCAGGGTGTTGTCTGATGCCATGCACCAGATTTGGCAGAGGGTACTTACCAGGTGGACCTTGGGGGCCAGGATGGCCAGGGGGCCCTGGAGGTCCTGGTGGGCCTGGAACTGGTGTTGAAACACTGAGTTCTCCCCTAGGACCTTAAGGAAAGTTGTGGTCATAAGATTGGGGTATATACTGAAGCTTGTCTTAGATGATAGGGGAAAATACGATTATAAAGGGTTTATAAACATATCCCAAAGAAAATAAAAAATAACCTCTGTTTTCACAGGCTTCAAAACTAGCTTAAGGACGACCAGCCCATAGAAACTTTCTTATTGAATCAACAAATATTTATAAGTTTAGACAATTGTCTAATTGTTTTAACCCGTTTCCTGTTTACTCTGAGATAACTCACAGATGACAGTCCTAACTTTACCCCCTTCTATTAGGATTAGAGACAAGTTCTGTTTAGAAATAACTCCAAGAACAGTTATTGTATTTTATTTCACATTGAAAATCAGATTTGCTTTAGCCTCAAAGAACGCGTTTATGTAAAATTAAATTAGCGCTGGCAGCGAGCTGCACTTCTATTTTTTTTCTAAAAGGGAAATTAATAGCCTAACATGCTGGTCTATTGAAAACAGTCTATTCCAAAAAATTGATAATATGGAATTAAGTTTAAACGTTGGTGAATACTGATAGGATACTTATTTATTGGGTGACTAGTTTCCACAGGAAGCCTATTGAACGAAACAGTAAGTTTTGATATGGGCAAGGCCGATGCGGGTTTGTGAACTTGGACACTTTTCTTAACCTCTCTGGTAAGTTCTCTGTCATAAGGGAAAGAATGCCTACCCAGCAGATAAGGACACGATATAACATTCTGACCACAGTGGCAAATGTTAAAAACATGTTTAGTGATGTGTTGTCTATATAGTCATTTATTTATAGAAAAAAATAGGTTTACAGTATGTGATGAGACAATTTTGATAATAATATGTTTTATGACAATGGAGTCCTTTAGTAAAGATTCACATTTAGAAATAACAGAAGAGGCCGGGCGTGGTGGTTCACACCTGTAATCCCAGCACTTGGGAGGCCTAGGTGGGTGGATCACTTGAGGTCAGGAGTTCAAGACCAGCCTGGCCAACGTAGTAAACCGTGTCTCTACTAAAAATACAAAAATTAACCAGGCGTGGTGGTGTGTGACTGTAATCCCAACTACTCGGGAGGCTGAGGCACGAGAATCCCTTGAATCTAGGAGATGTAGGTTGCAGTGAGCCGAGATCACACCACTGTACTCCAGCCTGGGTGGCAGAGCAAGACTCCATCTCAAAAAACAACAACAAAAACAGCAACAACAATAGAGCATTTGGTGATGGATTAGAACAGGGCTAAATAAACTTTTGCTGTAAAGGACCAGATAGTAAGAAATTTAGGCTTCGTGATTCAAATCTACTCAACTACTCAATTCTGCCATTGTAGCATAAAAGCAGCCAGAGGCAGTACACACAGGAGTGCAGCTGTGTTCCAAGAAACTTTATTTATGGATACTCTAATTTGAATTTCATATAATTTTCATGCATCACAAAATATCATTAAATGTTTTTTTGATCATTTGAAAATGTGAAAACCATTCTTAGCTTGATACAAAATCTTAGCCTGATACAAAATCAGGCAGTGGGCTGGACTAGGACAGTGGTCCACCACCGTTTGCTAGTACCTGGATTAGAACAGCAGCCTCCTTCAGCCAGGCATGGTGGCTCATGCCTGTAATCCTAGCACTTTAGGAGGCCGAGGCAGGTAGATCACCTGAGGTCGGGAGTTCAAGACCAGCCTGGCCAACATGGTGAAACCCCATCTCCACTACAAATACAAAAATTAGCCTGGCATGGTGGCAGGTGCCTGTAATCCCAGCTACTCAGGAGGATGAGACAGGAGAATCTCTTGAACCCAGGAGGCGGAGGTTGCAGTGAGCCAAGATTGCAACATTGCACTCCAGCCTGGGCGACAGAGCAAGACTCCATCTCAGAAAAAAAAAAAAAAAAAAAAAAAAAAAGAATAACAGCCTCCAAAGTAAGGTGCGGATAAACATAAATATTTATTTATTTAATATATAGAGAAAGTCATAAGATTTAAGATTTACATGCATGTGTGGACAGAAATGATGCATACATTTATAACACATAATGTAAGGTTGTGCACTCTAAAAGTTTTACCGATGAGGGAAGATACTATAAAATGATTTAGAGACCACGGGTTTACTGGGTCTACCCCTTTAAAGTGATTTTATTTTATCTATCTATCTATCTATCTACCTACCTACCTACCTACCTACCTATATATCTATCTATTTATTTATTTTTGAGACATTGTCTCAGTCTATTGCCCAGGCTGGAGTGCAGTAGCACGATCTCGGCTCACTACAACCTCCACCTTCCAGGTTCAAGTGATTCTCCTACCTCAGCCTTCCAAGTAGCTGGAACTGTGGGTATGTGCCACCATGCTCAGCTAATTTTTGTATTTTTAGTAGAGGTGGGGGTTCGCCATGTTGACCAGGCTGGTCTTGAACTCCTGACCTCAAGTGATCTGCCCGACTTGGCCTTCCAAAAGGCTGGGATTATAGGTGTGAGTCACTGTGCCCAGCCTAAAGTGATTTTAGAAGTAAAACATGACCATGGTGGCATTATTTGCTTAAAACTGTCAGTAGCATGCTATTCTGACCTTCAGCCACACTCCTGAATCCAGAACTATGGCCAGTATATGTATATCCCAAAAGTTACCTGGACTTTTAAACTATTATCAGACCATTTCCTTCATTTGTCTTAGATATTTTAAAGTTTTATTTGTAACCTGCCCATTGAGTTATGGATCAAAATCAACAAATTTGTGGCTGGGCACAGTGGCTCACACCTGTAATCCTAGCACTTTGGGATGCTGAAGCAAGGATTGTTTGGGGTTGGGAGATGGAGATCAGCCTGGACAAACAGCAAGATCCTGTCTCTACAAAAAATAAAAATAAGATGTAAGTTAGCTGGTCGTGGTGACACATGCCTATAGCCCCAGCTACTCAGGAGACCAGGCGGCAGGATCTATTAAGCCCAGAAGTTTGAGGATGCAGTAAACTATAATTATGCCACTGCACTCCAGTCTGGCAACAGAGTGAGACCCTGTCTCTAAAAAAACACACACACACACAACAAATTTGCAATGACGCTTAGCATCTATTCATTTCATATATTTATATAAGTAATAGATATGGAATATCCTAGGAAATTTCAGTTGAATTGCCCAGTAATGGAGAAAAGATGAGTTTTCTCTAACATACCCTACATATTCTTTCCTGGCATCTGTGAGATGACATATTCTATTCATTAGAAGCAAGTTTCTGTATTTTCCTTAGTCTTTGAGAAGCTTCGTTAGCTCTAGAAACCATCAACCCACTCCATCGGAAAACAGGACTGGAAAGAAAACTAACCAACCGGCTTCTCCGCGTGGTCCAGGGGCTCCAGGAACTCCTTGCGTGCCCTGGGGACCAGGTTCTCCTTGGGGTCCGTAGCCAGGTGGTCCAGCTGGTCCTGCAGGTCCTGGGGACCCAGGGGAGCCAGGATCCCCTGGAGGACCTTGGTCCCCCTTCTCACCACTCAGAGCCTGTGACAACAGGAATGTGTTTGAACCATGCTTCATTCCAGTATCTTCTTACGACAAGTTAATCGTCCTCCAGATATGAATACCAGTTAGGCTGTCATTGAGATCTTGAATTAAAAGCATTTGGCATTTGATGAGAATTATTACTAAAATAAGAGCACTACAGGTTTCTGCCATTTTGTGTCCTTTGGAGTTTAGCAACATTTTTTGAACTTGAAACTGTCTTGAGTCCCACTTGAGATATCTTACAATGACAGATCTCTCATATGATAATAGCCACTAGAACTAAGTTCAAATTGACAGTAGTTCAAATGACTTTAGCTGTGATTTTTATGATAATGTTATATTACTGAAATAAAATGAGTACAGCAAACCTTTATTTGTATTTTCACCAGGTATTTTCATGACAAAGGGGATTTCCCACTTCCATTTTCTCTCATAAACTGTCTAGTTTTTAAATCTTCATATGCTGTAACCTTGAAAATGATTTGTAGATTTCAAAGAAGTTGAATTTGACAAAATAATTTAAGCCCTCTTCCTTCCCAACATGGCCCTCCGAAATAAATTTGACTCAATTTTTCATTGTTCAATATCATCAGATGGCTAAGTGGTCTGTCTCCTTTTTTAATGACAGGGTGTAAGCCTCCACAAATCACCACCTTGATTTTTCTCTCATTTACTTTATGGAATATCTTTACCAGAACTTATAAAGAAAAATTAGTGAGATGCAAGTAGGGACATCATACAAATTCTCTTAATACTAGACCAACAGAATTCTGGCACTGTCGCTTTATAAGCATAACTACCACAAAGTGAACAGCCTGGGACTTGGCCAAGGCAGGGTCTGAGAACTGCTGGCCCTGTAGATGCTGCCAGCCAAAAGGATTTTGTAGTCAGAAGCATTTAGGAAAGACCAGATAGCTTATCTTCATGTGGAAGACTCACAGTTCATATTCTGACATTAAAGGGTCTGTAAATGAATCTTTAAATTTGTTTACCAAGTTTCTCCAAACCTGTTTGAAGTAAAATCTGTTTTATTGGATAACACAGGTTAGCCCCGGGAGAAACTGGTATTTCATAGAATAGTTTGGGCAGCATCCCTTGCAAACCTCTTGTAAATACGTTATGATGACAGGTGCTCACCCTCTCACTCTATGACATTTTAAAACAAATCTTAGGGCCGGGTGCGTTGGCTTACACCTGTAATCCCAGCACTTTGGGAGGCCAAGGCGGGCAGATCACCTGAGGTCAGGAGTTCGAGACCACCCTGGCCAACATGGTAAAACCCCATCTCTACTAAAAATTTAAAATTAGCTGGATGTGGTGGCACATGCCTGTGATCCCAGCTACTTAGGAGGCTAAGGTGGGAGAACCGCTTGAACCTGGGAGATGGAGGTTGCAGTGAGCTGAGACTGCGCCATTGCACTCCAGCCTGGGCAACACGAGCAAAACTCCATTCCCCACTGCCCGCCCTGCAAAAAAAAAAAATGTGAGAAATTCTTTCATGAAAAGGGATTAAATTGACATAAACTTAAATATCTTAAAATGACAAAACAGTCTCTTTATTTGATTATGATACCTCTGAATATGCTGTCTTCTAATGCATTTATTTTTACTTAAAAGTATGGACATAGCCCCCAAAATATTTATTAAACTTTCCACTATATATCATTTTCTGAACCTTTCCATGGACTCATTTGATACAAATATGGAACTGTAATTTGTGGATGAGATGGGGTTATTATCAATATAGAATTTTGTTTGGTTGAAATCACTGAATGCTACCTATTTATTTTATCAAAATACTATAACTATTTGCTTGGGTTATTCCTGCTAATTTGAAGATGCTTCATTCTGCAGTTAGAGGGATGAACTGTGCTGAGCGGCCATTTTTGGAAAAGAAATCACTTTTATCTCTAAACTTTAGAGTACTTCATTCATAGGGAGGGTAAAGTTGCTAAATACCAACCAGTTCGCCTTTAGGTCCTGGTAATCCTTTCACTCCTGGAGTTCCAGGAATTCCATCCAAGCCCTTTCTCCCAGGTTGGCCTCTGAGCCCCGGGTCCCCTGGGGCACCCACTTGCCCCTCAGGCTGAAGTGTTTCACCTTTTTCTCCTTTAAGTCCTCGGTCACCCTTGGCACCTGGGAAACCCTAGGGTAGTACAGAAATGAATCTGCATTGTATTTTGTTAGAATTCTTCTTGTGTCAATCTTAAAAGCAGTGTGGACAAGAACTTTTCAATTTTAACATGAATTTTTTCAACACACTTTCTTTGGTCCACAAGTATTATTTCAAGCATTTTGTTTGTTTTGCTTTGTTGTTAACTTCCAAAACTGAAAAATAATTCAGTTAGATAGTGTAATTCAAAACAATACACACCATAATCTAATTCAATACCATAGAACAATCACCATAATTCAGGTTATGTTTGAATATTGGTAAATTTTAACAAGCCTCTCTGAATAATTCGATCTAAGTATATTTATCTATAACTTTTTGATTCACTATGACAATGAAAATTCTAATTTTTAACAGACTTACTGTGGTATAATTTACATACCATAAAATTTCTCCTTTATAAGAATACAATTCAGTGATTTTTAGTAAATTCATAGAATCATCCCACAATCACCAATTGTGATTAAACATTGATTAAACACAATTGTGTTTAAACATCTCCATCGCGCCCCCAAATTCCCTCAAACCCATTTGCAATGAACCTCTGTTCCCACCCTCAGCGCTAGGCAACCACTAATCTGTTTTCTGTTGCTGATACCATTTCAAACTGTTTATAAATTCATTGACTCATTCACTTAATCAGTCACAGATTTATTCATTTAATCAACAGGTATCTATAAAGTGCCTACTCTTTGCAAGGCACCAAACTGATAAGTGTGTTGCAACCGTATTTCTAGAGTGTGCACTTTTTCAAATGGAAGCTAAAGATTTAAAAACATGAAATCTTACTGGAATTCCTGGAAGACCTGTATTTCCGGGGGACCCTGGGCTTCCTTTCAAGCCAGCTGCACCTGGTCTTCCTGCAAATCAACGAATTATTAACTAACTCCTCATTGAACGCCAACTCTGAGTGGACAGGGTAATACAATGTATGAAGAAAATAGAGTGTTTTCTTATGGGGAAAGAAAGACAGCTTCTATCATAAAACATAAATGCAATAAGAGAATGGGAGTAAATAACAGAACAAGAGATCATGGAAAAAGTAACTCAGATCTTAGCTCCTTAAAATTTTATCTTCACAATTTTAAGATTATATCTTTATTTTTTCTGAGTATATATTACTTTTAAAAGTAATATATGCTCGTTATAAGAAAATTATACAGAAAGAAGAGACTAAAAACCACCTATAAATCTACTACCAGAAGATAATATTTGCTAAAGTTTAATGTATATTAATGATAAATTTTTATATCCACAAGTGCATAGGACTCATATACACACTATTTTGGAATTATAGTATACATATGTCAATAAGTATGAATTTATAGCTTCGTTTTAAATGGCTGCATGCTGCCTATTGTGTTGGTGAGCCATCATTTATTTAGCTAAATTCTGTTTTTAGACATTTAGACGTTAGGTAGACATTTTTCAACTTTTAACTGTTGTAAACAATGCTTTGAAAAATATCTCTGGGTATTTAGCTTTCCAGATTTATCCAATTATTTCCTTTATAATAAATTTTTAAAAGTATAACGGCAGAGGCAAATGGTCACAAACTTTTCTAAGGTTTTGAATGTCTCTTGACAAACTGCATTTTATTGTACAATTTTATATTTCCCATAGATATTTAAATATCTCTGTAAAGATGATCCCTTTAAATGACCTTCTGGGTGGGTCTTTGGTCAGTTAATCAGCACATATTTATTCAGATTCTATTTTTTGCAAGATATTGAGCTGGGGTGTATATTTTTATAGGGATCCAAACCATTTTACTGCTTACATATCTTCTTTGAGCTGCACCTGGATAGGCCAAATGTAGAGAAACTATGAAAAATACAACAATGCAACGAGTGGACAGCATCAGTGAGCTGCTCACCTGCTCACCTTGAGCCAAAGAGGAGACTCAAGGACAGTCTAGGAAAATAATGATTTTTTATCTTTTATTGTTTTTCCTCCTTATTTCCCTCGTTCATTTTCTTCCTTTTGGTTTTTGTTTTAATAGAACACTTCCCTTGGATATTTGGATACTGAACAGGAGTGACATAAGGAACAGCCCCTACCTCCCCACTCCTCCTTCCCTCACAAGCCTGTGAGCCAGGGCAGGAGCAGCCATTGAAAGTAGCAGAGGCCTTCATAAAGGAGAAGTCAGTGGGATCCGAGGGGACAAAGGATCCCTGCCCAAGTGCATGTCGTCCGGTGGCTGGCCACAGTGTCCATGGCTGCCGCCATTAGTCTTTCTTCTTTGGATTGGGACCCAGTCTCCCAGAAGACCCTATGCCAATGCAAATGGCTACTGGATGGAGATAACATATAATATTCCCTATCCAGGTTGCCAGGTAGACCTTTGGATTAACTCCCCAAAAGCAGCCCCCCAGGAGACAGGCTACAGCACTGTGGTCAGGGGATGTAGGCGTGGAGGGCAAGAGCATGCCTCTGGATTTAAGTTCAGTCTCTACCACATTATCATTATCAGCTGTGCCACCTGATGACTCAGCTTCCTCATCTGTCAAATGGGGTTAATTACAGCACCAACCTCTAGGGTTGATGTGAGAAATAAAGGAATGGAGGCACATAAGACACTTAAAACAGTGCCCAACACACAGGCCAACGGCTCTGTAACTTCAGCTCTTACTGGTTAATGATACATAATTTGATGACACTGTCTGAAGACCAAGGTGCTGGTGGCAGAGTCAGGACTGTGGGTGGTAGCAAGGGAGAGAGAGGCCCTGTGTAGACAGGGGAGTGGCACAAGGGGCAGATGAACCCAGTCAATAAACAGAGATGTTTTGTACTTCAAAGTTTTGTCCATAGGCAGTTTTGTGACTGAAGACGGGGAGGTCAAAAGCAGAGGTGGTGACAACCGTGAGTAACCAAGTGGGACAGAGAGTCCTGGCCTGGTACAGAATTGTCAAGAGAAAACTTGTGAATCATCCTTTATTTAAGCCTCAGGACACTGGCTATAAAATGTTTTTTTCCCCCCCCCCTTTCAAAATTTGACTTAGTGGCTAATATTTTTTTTAAAAAAAGCACCATGAGATTTAAATAAAAATTCCAATTCCTTTCTTCTGATGAAAACTTGGAAGATTTATTAATGCGGGGCCTAACATGTTGCACAGTAACAATGGGCTAGAGCCGAGTGCCTGCTGGCCCGTTCAAATGTGCCCTCAGTTTGTTTACTGTAGTTCTGCAACTCTCTTGTCCCCAGCACTGAGGATGTTGCAATTTTTTAAAATAGCATTTGCATCTTTAAGAAGAAAGTGAAATACCACATATTCCTATGACTCTTTTGAAAGTAGGAACATGAAAAAATGGACTGAGGAGGGTTGTGTCTTTTGAGAAAAAAGGGAGAGAGCATGTTTCTTTATGGAAGAGAAAGAGGGTGTGTGTTTCATGCAGCTGCTTCACTGCCTTCAGTTAACTGCTGTTCTCTTGTAGGACTCTGTGTTGACAATTCCTGCCTAACACAATACTTTGCTAGGGGTCAGCAACTAAAATGGAACAGGGAAAAATACCAGCTTTTCTTGGATTTTGGCTGACTTTATGTTAATAAAATATATGTTTTTGAAACTCTCCCTCCAAGTTCATATAAACCACGTCATGACATCCACCAATCAAATGCCTTTATTTTCTTCCAGTGTATTGACCCTTTTGTGCTTGCAAAAACACTTGCATGCAAATTGTTTGTACCTGGGATTCCTTTTACACCATGTAACCCTGGCAACCCTGGGAGACCAGGGGACCCTGGGATATAAGGGCACTGTGTACACAGCAGGCCTGGTTCTCCTGCAACGAGAGTACACTAGCATTACTTATAAAGCTACACCGAGTCCTCAGAAAGAATTTTCCAACCACACTATCATTTATTACGTTTAAACATTTTTATGTACTGAAAATTATCTAGGACATTATACATATTAATTTTAAAATTCATCTATTATAGATCTGCTTACTTTAATGTTCTGCGCTCTACAGTTCTTCTGAAAGGGGAAATTTCAAGACTCTAACATAAAACATCTATTTCAGTGATTCTTTCCTTGCATGCAGGCGAAAACTCACATTTTAGGGATATCCAACAATTTATTGCATAGGTGCCAAATAAATTATTGATTTACAGATAAACAAAATCATCACTGACTGGTAGCTATTTGGGGTCATTGTTATCTCAGGGGGAAAATCAATGATAATAATGATGATGAAAAAGGCTTATCCTAATACAACATTATTGATTGAACCAACCTTTGGGCCCGTCAACGCCTGTGATTCCTGGAGACCCTAGATAGCCTGGCAGTCCGCGATCTCCAGGTGGACCCTTGCGAAAAACGATGTCACCTGTAAAAATACAGCACCAAAGGCAATTTTTTATTTGTGTGTGTGTTTTTTTTTCAACTTAGCGAGTGTTGTAATATACGTATTATTTGAAGTGCATCTCTCTCATGCTTGTACTGGAAGCCTAGTCTTAAAAGTTTATCTGCAACTGAGAAGACATGGTGACCAGCTCTTCCCTTCATATTACATTTTTAAGGTAGTTAATCTTCGAAAGCTCATTTTATAATTTTTTTTTGGTCACAGAATCAACCTATTTTATCTTACTTAGTTGTTTCCAGTTATTCCAAGTTGATATGGTTTGGCTGTATCCCCACCCAAATCTCATCTTGAATTGTAGTACTTCTATAATCCCCATGTGTCTTGAAACGGACCTGGTGGGAGGTAATTTAATCATGGGGGTGGTTACCCTCATGCTGTTCTTGTGATAATGAATGAGTGCTTATGAGATCTGATGGTTTTATAAGGGGCTTTTCCCCATTTTGCTCAGCACTTCTCCTTGTTGCCATCATGTGAAGAAGGACATGTTTGCTTCCCCTTCTGCCATGAGTGTAAGTTTCCTGAGGCCTCCCCAGCCATGCTGAACTGTGAGTCAATTAAACCTCTTTCCTTTATAAATTACCCAGTCTCGGGTATGTTTTTATTAGCAGCATGAGAACAGACTAATACACAGACAATCCCTTTAGCATCTTGAGGCAAAGGATCAAATCTTATTCTGGATATTTTTTGATACATTGTATTTTCCTGATATACTGTAGATGCTTAATATATGTTGAGAAAAAGAAAAATGGATTCTGACTCAGGGTATCATCTGTTTTCTCTTTGTTGCTTGTCCACATCAATTGAGTTGTTATTCTTAAGGCGGGTCTCTAAGAAAGCTCTTTTCAGCTTCCACATTATCTGCTACTGTAATGTTACAATGGACAGCTAATTCTCTTAAACTGGTTAATTGTGTTCAGTAATCTAATTGTTGGCTTTGTCATTTCAATTACAGGTTGAAGGCAATGGTGATTAAAGCAAATATTTAAAAACCGTACCATAGCTGTCCCAAATTTCAGAAAAACAAGATACCACTAGAAACATTTAATTTCGTTGGAACACAGAAGAATGACCATTTTGTGATCAGTTTTCTGCGTCTTTAAAATACCTGGAAGGTCATCTTTAAATGGTACAATCTGATAAAAGTTTAATACTTAGTGTAGACTTATATGAATACTACATTCATACATTTTTGTATACTTATACATTTTCATACTCAATTAATGCTTAATTCAAAAAATATTTGAGTACCTGCAGTGTTCCCCATGCTACATACTGGGCTTAAACAGTTAAAAAGATATAGTCTTTGACCTCAAAATACTTTGATTCTTGTAAGAAAAACTGACAAAGACAAAGATAAGGCAATGTAAAAACTTCTACAGTTGGGTTAACCTTGGCAGTTACAGGATGTGGACTCATTGAAAGCTTTCTGCTGGACTTGAACTTGAAGCTGCAGTCTGAAGGACAGATGGGTGTTGCTTAGAGAAGGGAAGGTAGGAAGCAAAGACCCCTGGACAGAGTGTAGCAGGCACTGAGGGAGCATGACACCTCCGGGAGGGAGCCACGAGCACCTGGGCCCAGATCTCAGCTTTAGCTTTATTAGCCCTGTGAACTCTGTATGTCAGCCTTGACATAGAAAAAAAGAGGATACTAAATTTCCATCTTTTTTTTTTTTTTTTTTGAGACGGAGTCTCACTCTGTCGCCGGGGCTGGAGTACAGTGGCCGGATCTCAGCTCACTGCAAGCTCCGCCTCCCGGGTTTACGTCATTCTCCTGCCTCAGCCTCCCGAGTAGCTGGGACTACAGGCGCCCGCCACCTCGCCCGGCTAGTTTTTTGTATTTTTTTAGTAGAGACGGGGTTTCACTGTGTTAGCCAGGATGGTCTCGATCTCCTGGCCTCGTAATCCGCCCGTCTCGGCCTCCCAAAGTGCTGGGATTACAGGCTTGAGCCACCGCGCCCGGCCGTAAATTTCCATCTTAAAAGAGACTTGGAAGAAGCTGAGATTATAGGCACACCACCACACCTGGCCCCAGAAAAGCTATGGTAAAATATAAAGTGTGATCTATATGTTCGTGAGGACCTCTTGTACCTGTGAGCCAACACAGAATGCTAGGGGGCTCTGTAGAAGAATGCAAAGGAGAGGATGCCTGTGTCAGGACCTGTGAGCACCACTTCAAGTCCATTGGGCCACAGCTCTGTCATCTCGGACCCCTTTACCTCATAGCATGTTGCCTTACACCCGTGCGGCACACCTGTGGCCTACTGTCCTGGGGCTTCCCTGCTGATGCCAAGGCATGGGACTTCCTGGGAACCACGCAGACACAGCGTGGAAGTGGGAGGATGGGAGGTGGGGGGCTGCTCCTCTCTTGGGGGGAAATCTTTGACCCATGGGAACTAGGAGCAAATGGATATGTTCTTGCCTCTTTCTCCCCTGGCACAGGCTTCTTAGAAGATAGTTTCTGGGGCTGAACAGGTAGTTGCATTTGGTCAAGGCCAATTTGATAGCCACCCATCCTTCCCCGCATCACTCTCTTTGTCCCTGCCTCCTGCTCTGCTCTCTGGGAAACTCTGGCTAAGACTTTGCTGCATTTGTTAAGTAGTCATTGCATCAATTTCTTTCACATAGAGTTAGTGAAATGAAGACCATCGGAAAGATAACTCATAAAAACCACACAGACTGGTGGCTAAGCTGTGAGGAGGGTTTGTCACCCCTGGTTTGCACACAACTGTCATTTGGTGCCATACACAAAAGGGATCCCCTTCCACATCTTTACCTGGTGGTCCTGGAGGTCCCGGCGATCCTGGAGGGCCTGGTGAACCGGGACAACCTGGGGACCCAGGAGTCCCCATGGCATCCTTTCCTGGGCGGCCTCGTTCCCCTTTACTTCCTTTCAAGCCTGGCCATCCAGGGGCTCCTCTGAGGCCAGGCCTTGATGATCCTTGGAGAAAATAATCATTTCTTGTATTTTACATTTTTTCCTGATTAATACAAATTTATTTTTTAATTGTAAGAGTAATATAATTTTATTTATAAAAATTGCACAATGGAGAGGTACATAACACATTTGAATAAAAAAGTGAATATCCTTGCTTTTTTCATCTGTGGCCTTGTTAAATAACCACACTACAGGGAAGTGCAGAACATTCCATTCCCACGAGAAAATTTGTCTAATTTATTACAAGAAACTGAAACAGAGTTTGGGATGCACTGTATCTTTTTATTTAAAAGGAAGTGAGAAATATTTCCATATATGCTACTTTGTAAATTTTTTTTTTTATTAGAGACTAGAGGATGCCTCCAGTGTCCAAAATGAGAAAGAGAGAAAGTTGTGAAGTGGACTTTATTCCTGCCAGTGTCTTAGACATAAAAGGGTATGATGAGGGATGGTCACCTCCTGGGAAAGGAGCTGTGCCTGGTGGCACAAACCCCACCCTAATCTTAAAATGGTGAGAATGTGAGGAGCAGACAGTCTCAAATCTCTGTCCCACAAACATTTTAACTATTAAGAAGAGAGATGCCACCAGCAAAGGGCTGAGAAACCAGCTGAGGTAATATCTGATCATGTCCTGTTATGTGAACATAAAGACAGAATCTTCTGATTGACATGTTTCAGAGTTTTGTATTTTTTTAATCATATTTTACTTTGGCATATATATTTGTTCTAATTTATGGGGTACATGTAAGATTTTGTTACATGTATTGAATGTGTAGTGTAATGATCATGTCAGGGTATTTTTGAGTATCTATGACCCAAATATTTATCATTTCTGTGTTGAATACATTTCATGTCCTCTCTTCCAGTTAATTTGAAATATACATTGTTGTTAACTATAGTCACCCTACTCTGCTGTCAAACATTAGAATTTATTCTTTCTATCTTACTGTATGCTTGTACTCATTAACCAATCTCTCTTCACCCCCAACTCCATCAAAAAAACTCTTAGAACCGATAAACAAATTCAGTAAAATTGCAGGACATGAAATCAGCATATCAAAATCAGTAGCATCTTTTTTATGCACCAATAATGAAATAGCCAAAAAAGAAGTCAAGAAGGCAATCCCATTTGCAGTAGCCACACACACAAAATAAAATACCTAGGAATACATTTAACCAACAAGGTGAAAAATCCCTGCAAGGAAAACTACAAAACACCGGTGAAAGAAATTGAAGAGGACACAAACAAATGGAAAGACATCCCATGCTCATGGATCAGAAGAACTAATATAGTTAAAATGACCATACTACCCAAAGCAACCTACAGATTCAATGCAATCCCTATCAAGATACCAATGCCATTTTTCACAGAAACAGAAAAAACAATCCTAAAATTCTTCTGGAATTAGAGCTTTGTAATTTTCCACTCATTGGCTTCTTAAAGGAGCCTTTTTTTTTTTTTTTTTTTTTTAACTTAGTGGCCTGGCAGGGGGAAGGAGGTCTTCTTTAATGTCAGAGCTCTAAAATATCTTTTTGCCCCATTCTAACTGTAAGAGAGATCTACTATTAACAGTTTGAGATATATCTTTCCATGCATATTCCGGTACATATGATATTTATCCATTTCTGTATCTATTTTTTTAATAGTGGAATTATAGTACACTTATAGTTCTGCAGTCTGCTTAATTTTGAGTAATTTTCAAAATTATGACGTAGTATAATATACAACATTATACAGAGAAAAATATGATCAGTGGCAGGTGCCTAATAGTTCATCACATTTTGCTCTTTTTTCTTAGTTTTGTTTTCATTAAAAAGAACACGCTACAGTTATACTTGATGAGTCCCTGTGGACCATCCCTGAGCCAACTCTTTTTCCTCTCTCAAAAGGTAAACACTCTAATCAGTCACAGACGAAAGTTTAGAACTTTACAGAAAAAGTGTAATGTAGGCATCCTTATGCAACTCGTGCTATGTTATGAAAACTACCATTTTAAACCAACCTCATTACCATAACATTGTTTTCTATTTCTGTACCTCCTCTGAGTTTCAAGGACCCTGCTCATACCCCGAAGTCACTGTAAAAATTCCTGACAATAAGGTGCTTACACTTAGTTAAAACTGCTGAGAAGTGAAAAAGAGCATTTCTATATCAGTTTGTATCAGCTCTACTCCTTCTTCCACTATAAATTGCAAATATGACAATTTAAGAAGCTGGAAACACTATTTTATTTTATTTTATTTTATTTTGAGATGGAGTCTCACTCTGTTGCCCAGGCTGGAGTGCAGTGGCACCATCTCAGCTCACTGTAACCTCTGCTTCCCTGGTTCAAGCGATTCTCCTGCCTCAGCCTCCTGACTAGCTGGAATTACAGGTGTGCACTACCCATGCCCAGCTGAATTTTTTTTTTTTTTTTTTTTTTAGTAGAGACAGGGTTTCGTCATGTTGGCCAGGCTGGTCTCGAACTCCTGACCTCAGGTGATCCACCCCCCCCCCCCCGCTTAGCCTCCCAAAGTACTGGGATTACAGGCATGAGTCATTGCACCCAGCCTGGAAACACTTTTAGATCAGTTAGTGAAACGTTTGTCTTATGTAAATAATGCAAAATTAATAGAGGACAGTGTATTTTCCTTTGTAATAGCATTTCTACTTGTACGCTAAGAAACATGGACATACCAGGACTTCCAGGAACTCCGGGGGGACCACTGGGACCTGGGAATATATAACATTAATTAATTGCTTAGAAAGATGTAAATGCTATCCCATCTACTTTTGAAATCTTGGGTGACAATATAATGATAGTTAATAATACAGAGTTTTCGTATTTGTTCCTACTCTCACCTAGACAAACATTAGAAATTTTCTCTTATTTAGACAAGAGAAAACGAATCTTAGAAGTCTAACACTCAAAAGTAAATCATGCCGCCTTATCATTTTCACATAATTCAACAGAGATTTACTAAGAGCCTGTTGTGTGTTCAGCACTTTGCTGGAAGTGCAGACGCCAGAAAATCAAACAGTGCTGGAACATCCAGGATCTGCAGTTTGTCTTGGTGTTCCATCTTAGATTGCTTCCACCTGTAATATCCTGGGGGTTATAATTCTTTTATATATACGTGTGAGTGATTTATAGTAAGTGAACCAGATTTTTAAGACAATCTATATCAATGTCTGTATTCATCTGTCCTTTTATTTAAAGACACTGGGAAATTTTATTCTTTTAAGTAAAATTTTCCTTTGAAATCTTCTTCGTATCAATCATTTGTCTAGATCAGTGGCTCCCAATCCTGGCTGCATACTGGACTAGTCCAGGGAGTTTTTACAATCTACCAGTGTCCAGAGCCCTCCTCCAGACAATGAAATCAGAATGACAGGGTGGGACCTTGACGAGGCCATTACAGAAGTTCCTAGGGATTCCAATATGTAGCCAGAGATGAGAGGGATTGGCCCAGAACTTTTGGATTTCTCCAAAGAGATACAGTATAAGTACATGAGACAATAATTCATGGCATCAAGGACAGATCATTGTTCCAAGAGTCAGGAAACCAGAGTTTCAGTTCCCCCTTGCAAATCTCTGTGAGTTTGTTCGGGGTCTCCATTTTTCCCTTCATAATCCCATTGAGATTGCCAATGCCTTGTACTCCCTCCTCCTGCCCTCCTCCAAGTGTTTCCATGACAGATTTGAACTTTATGCTTTGCTACATAAAGATAATTTAATTACCTTCCCGGTATACTACCTATGAAATAAAAATATGAAGAGTAGGAGACATCCAAAAATAACAGCCCTATGAAAACGAAGAGATCTCCCTTCCCTTTCCTCACCCATGTCAACTCTATAAGCACATGCTATTTATTACCTTGAAAGAAAACCAGAAATATGTTCAGCAAATGCTCTGGGAAGAAATTTATTCTTACCTTGTGGGCCACGAACTCCTTTGGGCCCTGGTGGGCCTGGAATGCCTTCATCTCCCTTTTCCTGGTATGTGTCATAATATTCTGTCTTAGAGGAGAAAGAAATGAATACAGAGAAAGGATAGCTATTTATGGACAGCTCACCAAGCATAATTACTTCAGTTTCTTCATTTTGGCCCAAAGATGGCTGCCTTCTTTTCATGAATTCATAGGTTTACATGTTAGCAGGTATATGATAGTCACGTAAATGTAGGTGGAAAAATTTAAATAAGTAGACCTTTGTGGTGTCACAGTATCAGATATTTTGTGGGCTTTCAATTAGAAACACATTTTATGATGTGACTCAGGTTACACACCCATGTTTATATGTACACATTCATACATACCTATGTATGTGTGCATATGTATAGAAAAATGAAAGTTTCACAAAATAATGACTTATTCTTACAACATATGATCAACCCCGACACTTTTTATTCTATTCTATTTTACTTTTCAAAAATGCTGGTCCTGGTGGACTGAACTTATTTTCATTTTGGAAGTGTATGGAACCCACACATCAAAAAATACTGTATTTATTGTTTCTTTAAATTCCAGGGAACCCTTGGCCTGCAAGAATCGAGGAATATTGTTTCTGACATGCTCAGTGGACCTACTGCCAGTGTTCTTAACCATTTCCTTCCTCAGTTGAACTTCTTTTGAGGTTAGTAGAAGCTGCAATCAGAGTTATATGGAATTGAATCTAAGAAAATACACAGTGAGGAGTGCTAAGAATTCCTCTGAAATGTAATGAAAACATAGATTTCTTTTAACATTCAGTACATTTATCTTGAAGGAAGCAAGGTGGAAATATCAATGGTTTTAAAAAAACCTCTTTGCTTTTTCATATGCTAGATGGATCAATTACTTTGTTGACTTATTTAAGATGAAGTAACAAGAGCCTTGTAGTTAAGCAATATGTATAAAATCACAAAAGTATTGTATTAACAATATAACAATAATGTCCACCATGAAATCTGTAATGATATGCGTGCACCTACCAAGTGCTGGGCACAGTGCTAAGTGATTTCACAAAATAACTCATTTAATCTTCCTGGGAACTCCACCAAAGTATTTTGGGACTGTTATAGTTTGAGTGTGCCCCCTCCAAAATTCAGGTGCTATCAATGTGATAGAAGTACGAGGTAGGGCCTTTAGGAGGTAATTAGGCCATGAGGGTTTCTCCCTCATTAATGGGATTAAGGCCCTATTAAAAGAGGCTTCGAGCAGCCTCAGGCCAGCTTGCCCTTCTGCTTTCTGCCATGTGAGGATGCAGCCAAGAAAGCCCTCACCAGACCAAGGACCAGCATCTTGATTTTGGACTTCCTAGCCTCTAGAACTGTGAAAATAAATTTCTGTTATTTATAAATTACTCAGTCTCAGGTATTCTATTGTAGCAGCACAGAACAGACTAAGACAGGGGCTCTATGCATCCAAATCATTTGCTTTCAGGGTAAAGATGCAGATTTCCAGGCCCCACTCCAATTCCTGAGTTACATTACTGAGCATGGGGGTCTGAGAACGGCATTTTTAACAGGACACTCTTTCCCCTCATGACTCTTTTGCCACAATGTGCCATTTTGTTTAACCTGCATGATCATCCATGGCAGCCTTGCTTGGCACACTGAATGTGAGAACCACTGTGTTTTGAGGTAGGAGATGAATGGACACCAGCACTCAGAGCCTGGATCCCCTTTCTTCTCTTCTTCAGCTACAGAGTCACGGAATATAGAATGTGGCTGTTCTGCAGTTAGGAGCTGACATCAAATACATGTCTGCTGGGAAGGGGAGCACGGCCTGCTACACAGAGCTTGGGCTGGAATGATTGCTTTTCGCTGACCATGTATTAAACCCGTAGTTTGGCATCTGCTGCCTAAAAGCTCAGGACCCGGGCCCAGGTGCAGGGGAGGAGAAGTTGACTTCTTCATCCCTTGTTGCCTCACTGTCCTCCTCTACCCTGAAGATGCAGGATCACCTTGGGCCTGGGCTGCTTAGACAAAGCTTTTCGTCTCTTCCATAGCCCAGCATGGGCATCACTAGTACCTTCCAGGGACCAAATAGAAATATTTACACATGGTCAAAGGGACAAATAGTGACCAGCTATTTTCTGCCCTGGTTTGATAACGAGGTAAATGTTACAATCTCTCTCACACAGTTAATGAGAGACACTGATTCAAAATTTCCTTGCTACTTTAAAGAACTTGATCAAAGATAGCATTGATATCGTCTTTAGTCACACTTACTGGACCACGAAATCCTGGAGGGCCGGTGTCCCCTTTCTGTCCCTACAGTGAAAGACAATTACAAATTGTGAATATGGTTACCCAAAGTATTTACATATAAAAAGCAAGATGTACAGTTAAAATGAACAATATATTGATGTTTATATGTCATGTACAAACCAAATGAAAGTTAAAGGGACACTGACTTTAAACTATTTTCCTGGAGAGCCTGTATCTGGGTAAGGAATCCTATCTACAAGGTTGTACAGAAGTTGCTATTGCCCTGGTGGTTCTCCAGGTTTCTTTCACAACACCATCTTCAGTGCTCGTTCATGTACATTTCTCATTCCTGTGTTCTCACCCTGGTTAGAGGCACAGGAATATCAGACTGTGGGTTGTATGCATTTCCAAATGTCTTAGCTGTAACCAACCCCCTTTCCTTCAAGAAGGCATTTCAGAATTCTACTGGAAGTGATACGGTTAAAGGGTAAATCTTGAATCTGCACATATACCTACATATATAGCCATGTGCCACATAACAATGTTTGGGTCAATGATGGACTGTGTATATGATAGTGGTCTCATAAGATTATAATACCATATTTTTACTACTCAATTTCTATGTTTAGATATACAAATACCCACCACTGTGTTACAATTGCCTACGTTATTCAGTACAGTAACATGATATGCAGGTTTGTAGCCTAGAGTAAGAATCTCTGCCATCTAGGTTTGTGTGAGTACACTCTATGATGTTCGCACAATGAGAAAATCACCTAATGATGCATTTCTCAGGACATATCCCTATCTTTAAGTAACACATGATTACACATGACTTGAAAATGTTTGTAACATACTGTCAGAAGTGTAGAATATAGTTCACAACTAATTGACCACAAGCTTTCAATGTATCATGACTCAGATTGAGACTCATGAACTCTAGCCTATGCTTGATCTCAAATAACCATAAACTTCCTACAATTGTAGGTCTTTTTCTACCTCTTCCTCGTGGGAAGCTGGAATCTCACTGGTCCTAAGTCAGACAGCTTCAAATACACAGCACAAGTTTAATATCTTTTCCTCAAGAACACCCTTCAAATGTTTAAGTAAAGTTGCCACATCTCTCTTTTCTTCTTAACAGACCTAGCAGCGTATTTGAATGAAGCCTGTTACAGTAATCCCTTGTACTTAGGTCCAGGATGTAGGTAAAAGTAAAAGCATAGGCAAAACCCAACCTTTTAAAAATAGGATATTAGGGAGAGGGTTACCTTAATGCCATCTTCACCTGCTAACCCAGGGAAACCCCTGTTGCCCTTGACTCCCTAAAGAAAAGAACAGAAGGAATGAATGGGTCAGAAGACACAGGAGCCAACTGCTTCTGGGGGGAACAGGTGCAATTTGAACTCCTCTGAAACAAAGGAATGTGCTCAGATGATCTCTCTTCACAGTGGAGTTGTAAAACTATGATTCCCAAGTGCAATTTTTAAAACCTGTAAGCTTTTTGTTTGTTTATAACTATTTAGTGACTTTTAAAAATCCTTCTTCAGCTAGTAGGACTGACATTTTTACTACCTCCATGGGCCAAATCAAGTCTATACCTCACTTCCAGGGAAGCCAGGAACGCCGTCTTTACCGGGTTTTCCCTACAGCAAAAACAAATAAAAAACATGAAGTTTAATAAATATGGCTAACTTTACAAATACGGAAATCTTAAGTGATATGATCATCTCCTCTTGACTTCAGGCATGAAGAGTCTGAGTAGAGATCCTCACCCAGGTGTTAGAAGGAAAAACTATTAACCACAGAATACACAATGGCCCTCTCTTTCCAGGGAAAGCATGGGAAACTAGAGAAATGGGAAACTAGAGAAATGGGGAACTAGAGAAAGTCAGAGAAGGAAGGAAGGAAGGACGTTAACAGCCAAACTTAAATGAGAGCTGATGCTGTTCATCCTAAGCTTGGAAGGAAAGTAAGAAACACACTGGGCAGCGAAGTAAATAAGGAAGCCTAGAAAAAGGAAGGTATTCACAGTCCGTTTATTCATTTATTTGAAATATTGGTAATTCCTTGGACTCCAGGTGTGCCTATATTTAAATACATGTATAAAAGATACAGTGTGGTATCTCAACCAGCAGCTTGGATTGACTTTTATGGTATTTGCCCTTCCTGATAAAATTTAAAAATCACGTTCATTGAATATTGTTTTTTCCTTAGGCAAAAAAATATGTTTTTTGCTTATGTATAATTTTTATAGATTTTACTTTTCCAAAAGTATAACTTTTAGAAATTTAACACAATATATGGATTTAAATCTTTCCAAAATGGATCTGGGTAGGGTAGTGGGGTCCTGCTGCTTCCGTTTTTCCAGCCACCCACTTCTGGTCACAGATTGTCCTATATCCTTTGTGGGGGGCTGCTCTTCCCTCACTCTGGGTGGTTCTGATGGCACTGTCAATCTGAGTAGCCCACTGCCCCACTGGCCTGGCCAATCATAGTACCCTTTTCTCTTGGTCACAGCCTTTTTTCCAGAGTGAGACCAGATATGACCAAGCTGGGCCAATGAGATGAATTCCCTGGGATTTTATAAATGGACACAGGGAGAGAGATGCTGGCTTTCTCCTCTAATGCCATCAGCCTGAAGTTGTTTGCTGCAGGGTAGCTCTTTCTTTCCATCTCCCCTGACACGGAAGATCATCTGCCAGAGGAAAGAATGAGGCTGATATGCAGAGAGAAGCAGAAGTGAGATGGAAAGGGAGTCCTGCCCTTATTTTTTCAGGCTCTGAAGTCCTTGAACCCTGTTTTAGCCTTGAACGTCTTAAATACTTGAGCAAGTAAATCCTGCCTCCCAAATCTTAAAGAACAAAAATTTTTAACTGGAGCTAATTTGAGTTGGGCATCTTGTTCCTGTAACCTAAAGAGTCCCAAGTCCTGACTAATCAAAACTGCACATGACACCGAATTTCCAAATTTACCTGCGGGCCGGGGTCTCCAGGAGCACCCTTTTCAGATCTATATGATTCTCCAGGCAGTCCCTGTATTAAGCAGAGCTATGTCAAGTTTTATGAATTACTGATTTTTTTACTTACATTGATTTTTATTAATTTGTCCCTTTTGGTTATTCTGCCATTTAAAAACATGTTTAAGTGCTGAGTCATCGAAGAGAGAAATCTTATTGATGAATAGTAATTAAAAAAACAGATGCTAAAAAAGCTGATGCTGAAGATAAGACATAAGATGGGCGGCATTGGATGCATGTACAACAGTGCAAGGATTTCAGCAAGGAGTGGCTGTAAAATAACTCTAGCGTATTCATGATCTCTGCGGTCAAATGTTACTGTATTTTAGCCAATGTTAAGACTTAAAAGCAATAGCTGCTGTGGAGTAGCCATTCTTTTATTCCTATCTCTGCGGTCAAATGTTACTGTATTTTAGCCAATGTTAAGACTTAAAAGCAATAGCTGCTGTGGAGTAGCCATTCTTTTATTCCTTTACTTTCTTAAAAAAAAAACAACTTAAGACAAAACACACATCAAACTAAATACTAGGGCTCTACTTTGTGTGTTGTGGGGACAATATAACTTTAAATAACCTACTGAGGGTCCAGGAGGTCCAGGCTGGCCGATGGCTCCCTTGTCTCCCTTTTCCCCCTTGAGGTCCTGCCAAAGAAACAGTTCAACATTGTTACAAATGGATGAAATGAGATTTCACTGATTCAACAGTGAGACAAATCCTCTATCTGTTCAATAAATTGGGTTTACAAACTATGAATGTGCCTTATGTTAATACAACCCAATACACCTTCCATTTCTCACATTTCAAATTTTATACCTGTGAACTCACTGAGACTACATGCAAAATTTTTTTAAGTATCTTTTTTTTTTTTTAAAGTCTCACTCTGTTGTCCAAGCTGGAGCCTCAGATCTTCCCCGTGTAATATTTCCAAGATTTATGAGTAAAGGACAGGAAGGAATAAATCCTGGAGGTTCTGGCTGGCTGAGGAAGCTGGGCTGAACTGGGCTTAGATAATAAGAGCTTGTAAAAGAGGTACAGAGTCACAAGGACTTCGTCCTAGACACAGGAAGGCACAACCCTAATCATAAAACTGAAGAATTACCGTTCTGTTATCTGGGCCAGTTAGGGTCACAGTAACTGTTCCTGGTGGTCCCGGGGGTCCTGTTAACCCTTTCACACCCTAAAGACAAAAACACTTAGGAGTGAGAAAATAAACAACAGCATCACCATTTCAATGTTACTACATTTGAAAGGTCTACTTTTCCCCTTTAGTGCTTATATGAGAAGATAGAACAAATGAAGGCCCATCAATTTCCGCTTGGCCAGTAAGTAAACGGTATAGGCTGATATGTTCTGGGACATAAAATATCTTGCCTGCTAATAAGACACAGTATTTAAATTACCCGCTCTCCTTTTTGTCCTATCACTCTTTCACCCATGTGACCCTGTAAGAAAACATAAAACCAAATTATTTTCTAAAAATTAATATGAATAAATAGTCTAAACCCATCAAAGTTTCAATATTTGTAACTGAGCATTTCTATTTTAACTTTCATTTTAGAATGACAAATTATTTTAGCTATTTCTTAGAGAAGAGCATTGATATGTTTCTTTTAGAGGAGGAGCTCTTGAGGTGCAGAAAGCTTAAGGGATTAAGCAGAAAGCTAACATGGCAAATGCTGACACGCAGTGGTGTGGGGGAGGGAAAGGAACCTAGCTCAGAGCATATTTTTCTGGCTCTGCAGTAGCTAGTTTTGATCCCACTGGCCGGCTGCTTAACTTCCTGATGCCCTTGTTTTCTTGTTTTAAAAATAAGAATGGGTAGCTGCATTTCAGGATTCTGAAATTCAATACTTAATAGAGAATCTAAGAATAGAATTCCAGCTACCCGACTTCACTGGTAATTTAGTGACATGAGTCTAATGCGAATAGTTTCTTCACTAATGATGGCTGATCTGTCATTTCAACTAATACCTGCTTGCTTTTTCACCCCTGAGTATGCAGATCTTCCCCTTGTTAGACCAAAGCTGAGGGGAATCAGAACACTTTAAACCTCAGCTCTGCCATGTACTGTCTGTTGGACAATTCACTTAACCAGAAACTATCCATCTCTCAGGGTGTGTGCGTGCATGTGTGTGTGTGTATTTGTGTGTATCAATAAGAAAATAAATATGAAAGTATCTTAGAAAATACCTCATATAAAAGGCTACCCGAGCCAGGCATAGTGGTTCATGCCTGTAATTCCAGCACTTTGGGGGGCTGAGGTGGGTGGATCACCTGGGGTCGGGAGTTCGAGACCAGCCTGGCCACCATGGTAAGACCCTGTCTCTACTAAAAATACAAAAAAAAATTAGCCAGTAGTGGTGCTGCATGCCTGTAATTCCACTTAGTCGGGAGGCTGAGGCAGGAGAATTGCTTGAACCCGGGAGATGGAGGTTGCAGTGAGCCAAGATCACACCACTGCACTCCAGCCTGGGCAACAGAGTGAGACTCCATCTCAAAAAAAAGAAAAATAATAATAAAATAAAAGGCTACCTGATAGTAGGAGATACTGTGCTTAGAACTAATTTCCTGTTGGGGCTCAGCCTCACTCAATATTTTTATAATTAAATTAACAATTGCACTTCTGTTTTTTGTTTGTTTTTGTTGTTTGTTTTTGTTTGTTTGTTTTAGATGGAGCCTCTTTCGGTCACCCAAGCTGGAGTGCAGTGGTGCTATCTTGGCTCACTGCAAACTCCAACTCCTGGGTTCAAGCTATTTTCCTGCCTCAGCCCCCTGAGTAGCTGGGATTACAGGCATGTGCCACCATTCCTGGCTAATTTTTGTATTTTTAGTAGAGACAGGATTTCATCACATTGGCCAGCCTGGCCTCGAACTCCTGACCTCAAGTGATCCACCCGCCTCTGCCTCCCAAAGTGCTGGGATTACAGGTGTGAGCCAATGCGCCTGGCCTTGTCTTAACAGAAACGCATGCAAGACCCTGTGTAATGAGCACACAAATAGTCATCCTTTACTTACTAGCATAAGACCCGGTTGGCTTTGTGAAGCAGCACACTACAAAAACTCAGAGGATAATGTGCTGTGTGAGATGATCAGAAATGGAAAACCTGTGGATTAAGAATCCTTGCATTTTTCCTGGTAAGTAGCTTCTTATAAATTGAATTAAGACTCTTTGTATCAGGGATCAAGTTACTGAAATGCAAGGAGAAGAGAGGTGAGAGCAGCTAGCCATGCTCTTCCCTGCTAGGAATCCTTGTGAGTTCCAGAGCGGTACCTAACAGTGACCCACATGAAGAAGCAGGCCAGGTTTGACTTTGAGATTGAGTAGGGTGTGCTAGCTGTTACATCATATGAACAGTAGTCTACCTTAGGTCCTCTAGGTCCCATGGCTCCTGGAAAGCCCTAGAAAAATCCACAAATGAAAATCACAGCAGGAAATGCATCCAACCAGAAAAATTCTTTTAATAACTTGTTAATAATAAATAATGAATCTATTAGTTGACGGAGTCTGTAGCAAGGATGACTTGATACTCACAAAGAATCCCGGAGGACCAGGTGGGCCAACAGGCCCAGGAAAACCTGGAGGGCCTGGCAAACCCTTGAAATTGAGAGAAGAATAAGAGTAAGTTTAACTTTACTTCTCACTTAATAACAATGTCCATTAATTAAATGCATTAACATAATAAAATCAGGAGCGCATAACACCTCCCTTTTCAGTGGCTGCAGTTAATGACAACAAATATCAAAAAGTGTGTTGCCATGTGTAACAGGCTGGCAGGACCATCTGCACAATACCGTTTCTAAAATGACCAGAGTAGTTACTTTACTTCAGATGTTTCAAAATTTTGCTTTTCTCTTTCTTCCCTCCTCTTTTCTCCTCCCTTTTCCTTTCTCTCTCTCGTTTTGGCCAAGCATACTCCTATGTTAGGGCCTGCCACCTGCTGTCCCTCTGCCTAGAATCCCCTTTCCCAGGTATCTGTATGACTCACTCCCTTTTCCTTTTCTTGTCTTTATGTAATTGTCGTCCTTTCCATAAAGCCTTCCTGCTTATCCAAAGTTGTAACCCACCTTCCAACCCAGACACTTCCTATCCTGCTTTCCTGCATTATTTTTATTTTTAGCATTTATTACTCACACACCATAGAGTTACTCATTTACACTTTTTTTTGTTTCCCCCATGAGAATGTAAGCTCCATAAAGGCAATATATATGCATTTTAAGAGACTGGGTCTCACTATGTTGCCCAGGCTGGTCTGTAACTCCTAGGTCAAGAGACCTTCCCGTCTCAGCTTTCCCAAGTAGCTGGGACTACAGGCACATGCCACCATACCTGGTTCATAAAATTTTTAAATATCTATCTATCTATCTATCTATCTATCTATCTATCTATCTATCTTCTATCTATCTGTCTATCTATCTATCTTCTATCTATCTATCTTCTATCTATCTATCTTCTATCTTCTATCTATCTATCTATCTTCTATCTATCTATCTATCTATCTTCTATCTATCTATCTATCTATCTATCTATCTATCTATCTATCTATTTTTTTTTGAGACAGAGTCTCAATCTGTCCTTGGGCTGGAGTGCAGTGGTATGATCTCTGCTCACTGCAGCCTCTGGTTCCCAGGTTCAAGTGATTCTCCTGCCTCAGCCTCCCAAGTAGCTGGGACTACAGGTGTATGTCACCACACCTGGCTAATTTGTGTATCTTTAGTAGACATGGAGTTTGACCATGTTGGCCAGGCTGGTCTCAAACTCCTGACCTCAAGTGATCCTCCTGCCTTGGCCTCCCAAAGTGCTGGGATTACAGGTGTGAGCCACTGTGCCCAGCCTTAAATCTACATTTTGGCTGATTTGTGCCCTGCTGTATTCCTAGAGCCTAGAAATAGCCCCTTGCACATAATTGGCAGGTAAAAAATATTTCTTGTATAATAGAATGTACCATCATTATATCTTCAGCATCATCACAATGACTAATACATAGATGATAATCAATACACATTTAAAGAATGTATCAATATCTCGGATTACTATTATCTCTTCTTCCTGGATCCCCTGCCTTCAGCATCTGGACTCTTAAATGTTTTCTAAACAAAAAAAGCGAGAGCCACCATATCTTGCATCTCTTCTCAGAAGCCTATAATGGCTCCTAATTGCATCATTCTGCATTTTTTGCAGCTCCTAATCTAACTTCACATCCTCAGTTGGGATAGCTTACCACACAGGAGTTCAACAGCCTCAACTCAAACTCACTTAGGCAAATATCCCATCTCTACCCAGGAATTTCTACATATAATTCTGAACTAAGTTGAAAGAATTCCAGTTAATTGGCTGGGTGTGTTGACTCACGCCTGTAATCCCAGCACTTTGGGAGGCTGAAGTTGGTGGATCACCTGAGGTCAGGAGATCCAGACCAGCCTGGCCAACATGGTGAAACCCCATCTCTCCTAAAAATACAAAAATTAGGTGGCCATGGTGGCCTGCGCCTGTAATCCCAGCTACTCAGGAGGCTGAGGCAGGAGAATTGCTTGAATCTGGGAGGCAGAGGTTGCAGTGACCCAAGATTGCACCACTGCACTCCAGCCTGGGCAATAGAGCCAGACTCCTTCTCAAAAAAAAAAAAAAAATATATATATATATATAAAAATATACGTTATATATGACATATGTGTAAATATCACACACACACACACATATATATATATATATATAAAACTAGTTAGTTTTGGTTATATATAATTATAAACTGAAAGTTAGCACTTGTGGTTTAGGTCTGTGAAAAGGTCGTTTTGAATCACAAAGTAAAGCACACACAGACCCAAAGGCAGTTGCGACTCTTTGTATCCCTTTTGGATCATACTCAGGCTACGTACATATAAATCAGAAAAGCAAACACTTCACCTGGAGAGCACTGCATTTAAATAAAAAAACTTTATTTTCTTTATTATCTCAACTTCACCTGGAGAGCGTTGCATTTAAATAAAAAAAAACTTTATTTTCTTCATTATCTCAACTTCAACTGGAGAGAGTTGCATTTAAATAAAAACCTTTTATCATTATGCAAATTTTAAAATAAGGCTGAATATCATTTTAAATGATATTCAATGTGGATACAAATCTATCCTTATTTGCAACAAATACAAATTAAGTGGAACATAACTATTCCTGTTAGATTCAGGCCAGCTTGGTGACTGAGAATGAAGAAGAGGATGAAAAACATACGCAGATCATCTTTGCATGTCAGCATCATGTAGTTTTCCAGAATAGGGTGAAAGCTTTAGAAGGAAATGAGGCCAGATATGTAAATAGAATAAATAGGAATTTCTATTTAAAATCTTCTTAAGAGAGTGAGACGAACCTATGGGGAAAAAGAGAGATGGAGGAAAGAGAGGCGAAAAGAGAGAGAAAGAAAGAGTGAAGAACTGAGAATAATAGGGACCTTCTCTGAAGTGCTGTACCTGGGGTCCTGGAGCCCCTGGCAACCCGGGGTCACCTTTTGCATCAAGTTCTATATCTTCTCCTTCAGCAGGAGCACCCTTGAAAATGAAGAAGTTCATCAAACATCATCAATGTTATATTTTCAAAACCCCTCCAAGTGCTTATTCAAAGTTATACTTCTTCAAAGATAAAAGTGCTTTTCAAGATAGATACTCAGAGAAATGATTTATGATTTTGTAATTATTCCATTATGAAGATTTCAAAGCAATTTCCTATTTTCTAAAATCAAAAATTTACAGTGGGCCCAGTACAGTGGCACATGCCTGTAATCCCAGCACTATGGGAGATCAAAACAGGCAGATCACATGAGGTCAGGAGTTCAAGACCAGCCTGGCCAACATGGCAAAACCCCATTTCTACTAAAAATACAAGAATTAGCTGGGCGTGGTGATGTGCACCTGTAATCCCAGTTACTTGGGAGGCTGAGACAGAAGAAACGCTTGAACCCAGGAGGTGGAGGTTGCAGTGAGCTGAGATCGTGCCACTGCACTCCAGCCTGGGCAACAGAGCAAGACTGTCTTTAAAAAAAAAAAAAACATAAAAAACATTACAATGGAAAGAAGAAAGATGCAAGGGTAATAAGTCATTTCCCAACACACCAAAAATAGCAATGTGGGGCCCTGAGCATGAGGTCAGTTTTCTTCTCCAAGACCCTATTTCCTTAAACAATGATACAAAACCTGTAAGACTCTTTATGACAAGAGCCAGAAGGAGCTATTTAATAGGAATAAATATCATGTCCCAATTATTATTGTTTCTGAATGATTAAGGTCTGGATTATGAAATCTTATTTGTAATGACTTAAGTCTCTTTATTTAATAGAAGTCTTTTTCATATGTACAATTAGAGGTTTTCAGCGACAGCATTCCACCAATGACTTACCTTTTGTCCTTTCAAACCAGCAGCACCCTAGGGAAAAAGCAGCCTATGAACAACTCGAGGAAAATCAAACGCACACACTCCTGCTCAGTCTGCTCTGCTCTCTCTCCTGTTGTGCATCCTGTCTTCACCATACACCTCCCACGGGCTTACAAAGCAAAGTCTTCCCTTAATCTTTTACCTCCCACCAGATTGTCCTGTCTTTCCTTCGTCTCACCTGTGAACTTCCCATTTCCTTCATTTCCCACCCTTTCCTCAGTTCCAAATCTGCCCCCTGCTCCATCCTGCCATGGAATTGTCCCTTGCTAAGGTCAGACATGATATTGATGTTGCTAAAACCAATGCCAACATGTCAGTCCTCCTCTGATTGGACTTTGCAGCAGCATCCAGCAGCTGTCTGCCACTCCCTTCTACTACAGTAGGTCTTTCCTGGACCTCCATAATACACCCCTGCTGGTTTTCTTTCTCCCACCAGGGCCGCTCCTCCTTTACAGGCTCATTCTCCTTGATCCCAACATCACCGCTGGAGCTAAGTCTCAGTTCTAAGCCCCTTTTCTCCTCACTGTGACTCCTTGAGTCACCACCAGCTGGGACCTCTTCTCTGAGTGAATCCAAGTACCTCTCATGCATCTCCACTTGGATGTCTCAAAAGCAAAACAAAGTCTCAACTTCTAACCCTACGTTCATAATGCATGTATTCATCCATTCCTTAACTATTAGTTGAATGTCTACTATGGCTACCCCAGACTTCCCTAAAGTCATGACGGATTTGTGTATATGGCCATATGGAGTAGACCACTTTTATTTATGCTTTATGTCTTCAATGGGGATTAGAAATGCAAACCTACCAGGATCCCTCGGTAGCCCAATGTCCCTGGGAGTCCTGGAAACCCCCGCTCACCCTAAAAGACATACAAAGTTTGTTATTATTCTTAGTTGCTCTAGAATAGCCTATTCAGATATTTTTCCTGTTTCTCGCTTCCAACTTTGCAATGGTAAATCTAGACAAAGTAACCCAAATTCCTTATGGCTACTGGGTCATGAGGCTGAAGACCAAAAAACCATTATCTTAATTAAAAACAGGATTAGAATACTGTTTCTCAAATTGTGCATAAATGGCAAAGTCTAATTGCGCCAAGAACTTTTTAATTGCTGTTTCCTTCAAACTTGAGTAATTAGTTCATTCATGGCCACCATTCTGGAGAAAAGGAGAGCTCAGTTCGAAAACAAAAGGAGGTGAGTGAACACTGAAAAGCTCAGTCATTCCTTCTCTAAAACTAATTCTGCACTCAAAGCTTTGATTTCTGATTTATATACACAGCCTCAGATGAAAACAACCAGTTGAGCTCCAAGTTTTCTTTCTGTGGGAGAACTTTCCTTAAAAGACAATCAGAAAGCAAGCAGTGCGAAGAAAGAAAATAGGAAGTTTCCTGGCTCCAAATTGTACTGTTGGTTCTGTTCTAAAGGAATGTTTCAAGGGAAGCCTGTCTTCCTTTCATTGCCACTTCACCTTGATTTAGTCATTCAGCAAAGCATTTATTAATCATCTTCTGTGTGAAAAGTACTTACCTTAGAACCATTGCATCCTGGTACACCGACGAGTCCATAAGGCCCAGTATTGCCTGGGGTGCCCTGGAAGAAGAACAAGTCTCAGTGAGGAGGGTCATCCCAAGAAACAGCACTGAATCCAAGGGAAAAGAGGGACTTATTTAAATAACTCTTGAAATATAAATGATTATTTAAATGGTTAAGTAGGAAATGTACGTTGTGGTTTTATGTATAATTCCAGTAACAACAAACTAAACAGGCTGACTAAAATGAAGACTTATCAAGTTAGATGCAGGTCTTTAAGATAAAGCAAAAGCCTTTTATCCATAAAATTAAAAAGTCCCTTAACACGCTGTTTTAAGCTGGGGAAAAAGGAAGGGAAAAGGAGGAGGAAAGTATGCACAGATGAAACTATTTTATTATTCTATGCTATTAAATACAATCATTTCATTCTATCCTATGCTATTCTATCAGCTTGTAACATATAGTTTCCTTCAGTACCTGTGGGGGTTTAGTTCCAGGACCTCTATGAATACAAAAATCCATGGATACTCAAGTCTCTTATATAAAATGGTATAGTATTTGCACATAACCTATACATATCCTCCTGTATACTTAAAGTCATCTCTAGATTACTTATAATACCTAATACGATGTGAATGTTATGTAAATAGTTGTTATACTGTAATGGTTTTTAAGTTTGTACAATTTTTATTGTTATTTTTTAAAAATAGTTTTGATCTACAGTTGGTTGGTTGAATCCATGGATGTGGAATCGATGGATATGGAGGGCTGACTTACTATATAATTTACTAATTATCCTACCCTATCCTATCCTGTCCTGCTTGTATTTCAGGAAGTACAGTTTGACTCATATGACACAAAAATCTACACACTAATATAATATACCATCCTAAGGTGCTATTTCTTCATGTAGGGAATGCATCAGAACACATTTTCTCACATGACAGTTTTGACATCTTTATTAAAATGAGCTTATTTTTAAATTTTCTAGCTACGGATTTTTCCCATTACTTACTGGAAGTCCAGGAGAACCGGAAAATCCTGGCAATCCAGTTATTCCCTGAAGACATAGAAAAAAGGAGGCGGTGACCAAAAAAAAAAAACTTTAAAAATGTTCAATATATAAACATAAATTTATTTACCATTGCAATAATCTTTTTCTGCAACTATAACTGGGAATAGCTCGAAACGATTGGGAAAACAAACACCAAAGCTTTAACAAACTTTTGTAAATCTTACATTTATGTAACTCTTAAAAAGATATCATTAAGATTAGTTTTGGCTTTTTTGGATAGATTCCTAAGGTACAATTTGCATACAATTAAGTGCTCCAAGTCTTTTGAGAACAGCTTAACTGAACAGCTTAACAAATGTTGACCTGCGTGCAGTTTTATATACCATCATCCCATCAGACACAGAGCATCTCTATCACTCCAGAGGTTCCTTCATGGTCTTTCTTGGTCCGTTTAACACTTGCCTCTAATGTGGTAACCACTTCTTTGCCATCTACCATTACAGATTAGTTTTACCTGTTCTTGAACTTCATCTATGGAACCATACGCAGTGTACTTCTTTCTGATATTTGTGTAAATCTTACAGTGAAAAGCTGATCTTTTAAGAAGAATGAGTTCATCAATGATCAGGATGGACTGGTTGGACTACTAACCCTTACACCTTTGGGACCTCTGAGTCCTGGAAGTCCTGGAGAGCCCTAGATTCAAGTAAAAAAAGAAAAAGTAAACACTCTGGAAATTATTTTGCACTAAGAAACCCATACATGAAACCCAGTCTTAGTCACATGCCAAGCTGTTTTGCCCTTCTGATTATTTCATCGTTAATAAGATTGAATTGCTTGCTTATTTCATTGGAGCTAAATTGTTTATCAGAAAAGACAAAAATTCATCCAAATCCTTGCTTCTCAAAGTGGGGTTTGGGGCCTGCAGCATTAGCATTACCTAGAAGCTTATTAGAAATGTAGAATCTTAGATCTGCCTCACCTCCCAGACTATTGACCCAGAATCAGAATTTTTAACATGATTCTTTAGTGATTCTTGGGCACTTTAAAATCTGTGAAGAGCTGCTACAAAAGTCCTAATTAGCCTCACAGCTGCTGAGGTCTGATAAAAATGAATGACACAACTACAGTGGTGGATAAGAATGGCAGCCAGTATTTCTGTGCACAAGAAACACTCTATTAACAAAATGTGCCTGACATGCACAAGGAAATAAATAGCCAAGTAAGGACTGCCTGAACCACAGAGAAACTTGCTTTGGGCATGTAATGCATTCAGTTCGACGTCCTATTTCTTGGAGAATAACCTTAAATGGTGACTGTTTCAGCTAGGCCACGTGGTGTGAAAGTTTCATTGTCCAAAAGCCATTTTCATCATTCCAGAGAGTTTCAGTATGTTTTGATTTTTAATTTTATTGTTATTATTTGAGCAAAGGGTTGTTACAGAATCCTCTGAGATTGCCCTGTCCAGGCCAAAGTCAGTTTCTCCCATCTATGGTGGAATCCCGGGGTGCATGGCTATGTTCAAGGCCAAGGCCATTCCTCTTCCCTACGGAATTGTATTCTTGTGCTACAGAAAGCAGAAGGTTTTACTTGCAGGTTTTACTTTCTCATTGTAAACTTTTTTCATGCAGAAAATATTTAAAATTAAGATAGAAATCTTGTGAATCTAAAACGTCGTTTTGGTCAGGTTTTAATATTCTCTGATTATCTGTCTTTGATTGCATTATCTTTTGTAGCTATTAATATATATCTGTAAGCCTTATATGCTTTAAAATATGAATCTATGACAACATGGCACTCAGGTTTTCTGGATTAATTTTCTGGAATGCCTGCACTCGTATAACCCATAGTAAGTGCCACGTGTTTTTGACTATTTTAATGAATTTCAGCGTCTCTAAAGAAATGCTGAAGAGAATGAAACAGAGTAGGCTATAGATAACAATTTTTTTAAAAAAAGGAATTGGCATTAGGCTGATCTAAGTCCAGGGCTGAAGTGGCAAACTCGTTCTACCAATAGAAATGGAAGAAAACCTGGGTCCACGCCCTAGAGGAAGTCAGTGTTCAGTTTCTGTCCAGAATCCGAATGACTTTTTCAAAATTAGGATCAGAAGTAGAAATGGACAAAAAGAACACATACATGAATATGGTAGACAGGGAAATGGCAGAATTACTGGAAAACAGCCAGCTTTTGCATTTTACATGTAAGCTGTGGGTGTGGTTTCAAGAGTTTGATTCTGGCATCATAGATGTGACATAAGAAATACATATTTGTTCTGTGCCTTTGGTTCCTGACGCAGAGCTCCTAAAACCCCTTCTAATATTCTGAATGATAGAGGAGTAAAGATCATCTTTTGTTCTAGTATTTGGTGTTTGACCTCACTTGGAATATCCTGGGTGATAGAAGTGTCCTTTGTTCTAAGGAGGCGACTCTTGGTAGGCTCCCAGATGGGGACTGGTCATCAGAAAGACCAAGCCATGATTAGAAGCTTGAAACTTTCAGCTCCAGCTGCACCCTTCAGTGAGGAAAGTGGAGCTGGAGATTGAGTTTATAATTGATCCTGCCCACATTATGACACCTCCATAAGAATCCCTGAAGCATGACATTCAGAGAGCTTCTGGGTGGGTGAACATTCACCTTCCAGGAGGGTGATGCACCTCAACTCCATGGTGACAGAAGCTCCTGCACTTGGGACCCTTCTGAACCTCCTCTGATGTATCTCTTCATCTCTCGTTCATATCCTTTATAATAAACTGGTAAATATTCCCATGAGTTCTATGAGGCTCTTTAGCAAATCATCAAACCGGAGGAGGGGGTCATGGGAACCCCTGATTTATTTATAGCCAAGTTGGACTGAATTATGGGTAGCCGAGGACCCACTACTTATGACTAGTCCTGAAGCAGGGACAGTCTTGTAGGACTGAGCCCTTACCCTATGGGGTCTGCACTAACCCCAGGTATTTAATGTCATAACTGAATTGTTGGGTACCCAGTTGGCATCCAGAGAGTTGGAGAATTGTTTGGTGTGAGGAAAACCCCCACACAATGTCAAACCAGGTTTGAACTCTGATTTTGTTCCCTGTGATCTCCATGACCCAGGAAAAATTACTCAAGTGCTCTGTGTCCGTTTTCTCATCCATGTAGTGGAGGTAATTATGGGAACTACATTGTAAGTCACCAAAGTCATGATTTGTGGGATCAATGTGAGGAGTAAATGAGATCCAGGGAGAAATAAATTGCCCAATGCCTGGCACAGAGTACATATGCAGTAGGATGGCTTTGATTTTGATTATCATTTACATATTCCATACATTATTCTAATACATATATATGTATGGTTTTTTTTATTTTTATTTTTTGACAGGGTCTCGCTCTGTTACCCAGGCTGGAATACGGTAGCATGATCATGGCTCACTGCAGCCTCCGCCTCCGGGGCTCAAGCAATCCTCCCACCTCAGCCTCCTAAGTAGCTGAGACCACAGGCATATGCCACTACACCTGGCTAATTTTTGTAGTTTTGGTAGAAACTAGGTCTCCTTATGTTGCCCAGGTTGGCCTCAAACTTATGGGCTCAAGTGATCCTCCTGCCTCAGCCTCCCAGAGCAATGGGATTACAGGCATGAGCCACTGTGTCCGGCCTGTAATACATATTCTAATATATTATGAAATTTTTAAAAGACCCTATGTAGATCAACTATAATTATTTTTCACAGCTCATTAGTTGGTTTATAGCCTGCTGGAGGTCAGTAGTCAGGGAAATGAATGTGTGGGTGCGTGAGAAGCCAGGCTTAAGTCTAGCTAATGTCCACAGCAGGAAAGAGTACTCAGCAAATCCAGTGGTTATGCAGTTATTTAGTAAATCCTCTAGGGTATTTATTTAAACAAAGGCCTTTGCTGTATCACAGACTTTAGGATAAGAATGTGTGATGAGTGTGAAGGGTCGTAGACTCTGGATATTTAAGGGACCAGAAGGAAAAGAGAAACCCACGAAGGAAGGGAAGGATGGAGAGACAGGAGAAATACAGAAACAAAGACAGACAAGTGTTTCAAGGAGAGGAGAGTGATCCACATAATTTGAAACTAAGCAGAGGGGTTCAGGTCAGATTAAGACACAAAAGTATGTATTGGCATTGCTCACTTGAAGGCCATTGGTGATCTTTGCTGGAGTGTTTTCAGAGGAGAGGTGGTAGCAGGCAAATCATTACTAAGGATTGAATAGTAGATGAACTACAGGCAGCATGTTTGACTATTCTTTTAAGAAGTTTGACAGAGAAAGGAAAGTCAGGGAAAAGAGAGCAATCATTTGGGCACAAGACCTAAAAGATGGAGAGGAATTTTGTATTATGATGGGAAAATAGTTGCATGTTTAAGAACTGAAAGAGAAAATCAAATAACAAAAGAAAAGCTGGAATGTCTGGAGAGAGGGGAGGCACCTCGTGGAACAAGGAATTCCAAGGATGGGGGCACAGGTGTTTGGACAGGTCTTGAATAGAAGCGAAAAGGGCTCTCATTTTTCACTGTAGGAGGAATAGAGGTAGGAACAGACACAGATGTAGACACTGTGTAGATTAGGGAGGGAGCTGGAGATGAATTTGAGCCACAGACTTGAAGCTAATGATGATCATTTGCAATAGTCTTGGAACAGGTTGTGGTTCTATGTGGCCAGCTAATACTGGGGACCAGGAGTTTGCCATGCACCCAGCAGTTGGCTAAGATGTGGAATTCTCTCCAGGTTTGCAACAGCCCAGGGGGTAGGCATGAAGAGGGTTAGGTGGGTTGGGGATTTTCCAAGCTTGCAGGATGACATACGTTGGGTCCCTGTGGTCCAAGCAAGCCTTCAGGACCTGTGAATCCTTTCTGGCCAGGAGAACCAGGGGGTCCAGGAAAGCCTCTCTCCCCCTGTTAAAACCAAAACAAGGTGAGAAACACAGAACAACAACTATCCAACAATAAACACACCAACAACCTTATGTTCTCTTGTTTATGACTTCATGATGACTCTTTGCATATTTTTTCCTTGGATTAAAAAAATCATAATTAGCACTCAGGAGTGACTGCATAGGTAACCAGAAAGCTACCAGTTGTTAGTATTTGTCTATAGGCTTGAAAGTGGTGGCTCTTGGTCTTGTAGAAACTTGACTTTCCCCCACGGTAGGGCTATGTAGAGCAGAGCTTAACGGAGAAGGAATAAAAAATGAAAGGGAAAGCCCAGGAAGAAGCTTCAAGGTTAGTGGAGTGTTTGTTGTGGGATGGAGAGACAGTGAGGGTCAGGTGCAAGAAGGGGTTTGGGGAGTGTGCATAATTACTACGTAGCTTGAAAGAATGCCGCCAGGCAGGTTATGAGTCTCAGCCCTTTTTTAATACACAGGAGTTAGTAATCTGCTATTTGTGTGGGAGATGCAGGAGAGGTAGCAAGGGTGGCATAACCAAAAAGGTGTGAGCTCAGTAATGTTTTAGAAGGAGTCGGATAATATTAGGAGAAAGTACCTAGTAAAAGTGAGTGAAAGTATTTTAAGCCCAAGGCTTGACACGGTTCTACCAACAATAATCTTCCCATGGATGTATATCTTGGAATTACGTTTGTCCCTCAGTGTCAGTGGGGCATTGGTTCCACGACCTTTCCCCCACATGTAAACCTGTGGATCCTTAAGTCTCTTACACAAAATGGCATAGTATTTGCATATAACCTAGAACATCCTTCCATATACTTTAACTCTCTAGGTGACTTATAATACCTAATACAATGCAGATGCTTTGCAAATAGTTGTTATACTGCATTTTTTTCATTTGTATTATCTTTTATTGTTGTACTGTTATTTTTTATTATCCTCCCTACAAGTATTTTCAATATGCCATTGGTTGAATCTGATGATTCAGAGTGCCTGGATAAGGAGGGCCGACTATACTCTTCAAAAGTAAAGGCCACCGGCTGATTTGGTTAATTGGGTCAATTTAGTTACACAATTGGCAAATTAAAACAAAAAAGAACAAGTCAGCTATTTTACATTGTGTGTGTGCACACACACTCAATAAGAAGAGAAATAAAAGAATGTACTAGACCCCTCTCGCTCCTCGGTTACTTTTATACACCCTAGAATAGCATCTTGCAAATAGTAGAAACTCAATAAATGCTTCTTGAATGCAAGGAGAATCACAGAGAAAGTGCTTCTCAATGGGAACCTGAATTTTAATACATTCACATATTCAAGAAAAAACCTAAATCCAACTACATGTGAATTATGAAATAATTTAAAATAAGTATTATTATTATAATTAGCATACACATGATATAGAAATTAGTTTAGATAAAGAGCTTTAAATATGTTCTTAAAATATTTTAAAATAGTCATCCTTCAATATTGTTAAACAATTAGTGTCTCTGAGGAAAGGGTTTGGTAAACAAAGAAAAAAACTTTAGTTCTGCCTCTATCTTAATTATCACAAATTGCAAGTTAATGGAGCGAATTAATGAGATTTCACGGCGTTCCTTTTTTTCTTGAATTCTGCAATGGAGCTACTTTCCTCAGCTGAAGTTTTGCCTCAACCACGCGCTGCTGTGGGATTTCTCCACCAGGGGGCGAACTTGAACCAATGCTGCAGGACAAAAATCTGTGGATTTCAATGTTTATTTTCTGTCAAAGTGAATGAGTCAATTTGTTTTCAGTTCTTCTCTTGCGTTTAGCAACATTGTAAATAGTGTATACATATGGAGACTTGTCATAAACTTTTTCTCTCTCATTTGCTACTTATTCTTTACAGACGAAGAAAGTTGTAATTTAATTGCCGTTGTATATACAAGGTATCTGAAGCTTCCTAGATGACTTTTTTTTTCTTTTCTTTTCTTTTTTTTAGGTTAATGTTTATATACAATTACTTTGACATCGGATTTGGGAAATGTAACAACATACTGCTGATCTTTCTGCTACGGATGAAAGAAGAAGGTGAGTTTTACCTTGTAGAGCTTTACAGTGTAAACAAGCAGTATTAGGTTTTGTTTTTACCTTCTCCCCTTTGGCTCCATCACAGAAGCACTGGCCTTTGTCTTTACAGACACAGCCCTAGGAAGAGGGAAAGAGAAAGGGTTTTGTTTAGAAACAACTGAATAAATCCCAACAGGCAGGGTAAAAGCAAATGCATTTCTCTGTTCTTTGAGTATTGGACACTATCGGTTAGGAGCCAGGTGACTTTGTAGCGATATATCAATATATCAATAGAAACACATCAATATATCAATAGAAATAAAGCAGAAAACTGAGAACATGTTGCATAAGGGAGAAATGTTGGATAAGAATACATCATTTGTATTGTACTTGGGAATTTTAAGTATTAAAGTAATGGCAGTTTTTCTCATCACTTTTAATTACCTTTGTACCAACCTAATAATTTATATATGGAAATGACAAAGTCAGCTCTCCTTTTTTTCAGGATACTGTCTAATTGAATCATAAGAAATTGCAGCTGTCATAGGTAGAAAGTGGTCAGATACTGGCATATTCTTAGGTTCTACATAATGTTCATATATGCATATGTGTATATGTGTATAATATATATATACCTCTTAGTAGAACACAGGGTATTTGGTTGGTTCCATTACTTGAACGATTTTTTTTGCCATTACTTTCAATGGCAAAAGCCACAATAACTTTTGCACCAACCTTACATATATTTGCATAGATTAATATGTAATATATTCTATAGGTGATATTAAGGTTTTCTTTGACTTAAATAATGTTTAAGACTGAGAAGAGGATCAATATCCATTATGCATCTTTAAGGAGAACAACTAGTATCAGAATGTTCTTTCTTTTTTTTATTCTCAAATGTTTTGAACAACAGAATGTTCTTCCTTATAAAACCAAAACCAAAACAAAAAATTCAGCCATGAGTTAGACATACCTTATCCCACCTAAGTAGTCACTGTGACACACTTACCCCCCAGCCCGCACACCTATGCACATACTAGCTACAATGGACATCAAATTTGTAAAACTTTTATCTGCCAGCAGAGGAATAAAGAAATAGTTTCAAATAATAGACTTAAAATATGTTTTGGCTGGGCACAGTGGCTCATGCCTGTAATCCCAGCACTTTGGGAGGCCAAGGCAGGCAGGTCATTTGAGGTCAGGAGTTTGAGACCAACCTGGCCAACCTGGTGGAACCCCATTTCTACTAAAAAAAATATAAAAATTAGCTGTGTGTGGTGGTGGGCTCCTGTAATTCCAGCTACTCCAGAGGCTGAGGCAGGAGAATGGCTTGAACACAGGAGGTGGAGGTTGCAGTGAGCTGAGATCATTCCACTGCACTCCAGTCAGGGTGACAGAGTGAGACTCTGTTCCAAAAAAGAAAAAAAAATGTGTTTTGACATACATGCTACATATTATATGGTTATACATTAATCCTTTTCTTTATTATTTTTTCTTCAGATTAATATTAACTGAAAATTAATTTGCTTTCTCCAGAAAATATGTTGATAGCGGAGGCCAGGCACATCTAGGAGATATACTGGGTGGTTAGTAGGGAAAATAAAAAAAGAAATGCTAGATATTCCTAAGGTGGAGAATTCTATTTATACAACCAAAACAAACAAACAAACAAAAACCCACACAAACAAACAAGAGTGTCTTTAACTGAGTATCTTTCCTTAGTCTTGGGCAGTAGGTCTTGCTGTCATTCCAGGAAGAGAGCGCATAGTAATTTTGAGACATTCATCGTTTGACACTCATCATGTTTATATACATTGTAATTTATAGGAATGGAAAGTACTGGGTATCTACCCAGAGGAAAATAAGTCATTTTACGAAAAAGACATTTGCATACTCATAGTTATAACAGGACTATTCGCAATTGCAAACATCTGGAACCAGCCCAGATGCCCATCAATCAATGAGTGGATAAAGACAATGTGGTATACATACCATGGAATACTACTCAGCCATAAAAAGGAATGGAATAGTCTGGGCACGGTGGCTCACGCCTGCAATCCCAGCACTTTGGGAGGCAGGCAGGCGGATCACCTGAGGTCAGGAGTTCGAGACCAGCCTGGCCAACATGGCAAAACCCCCTTTTCTACTAAAAATACAAAAATTAGCCTGGCGTGGTGATGGGCACCTGTAATCCCAGCTACTTGGGAAGCTGAGGCAGGAGAATCGCTTGAACCTGGGAGGCGGAGATTGCAGTGAGCCGAGATCGTGCCATTGCACTCAAACCTGGGTGACAAGAGCGAAACTCCGTAAAGGAAAAAAAAAAAAAGAAAGAAAGAAAAAAAAAAAGAATGAAATAATGGCATTTGCGGCAACCTGGATGGAACTGGAGACCATTATTCTAAGTGATGTAACTCAGGAATGGAAAACCAAACATCGCATATTCTCACTTAGAAGTGAGAGCTAAGCTAAGCTCTGAGTACACAAAGGCATAAGAATGATACAATGGATTTGGGGAATTGGGGGAAGGGTAAAAGCGGGGTGAGGGATTTAAGACTACACATTGGGAACAGTGTACACTGCTCGGGTGATGGGTGCATCAAAATCTCAGAAATCACCACTGAAGAACTTATCCATGTAACCAAACACCACCTGTTTCCCCATAAGCTACTGAAATTAAAAAAGAGAAAGTAACTGACTGAGAAGGAAATTCTGTAGTCTCCTCAAAGTTGCGTATTTGGTATTTCTAGAAGACTAACTCATTGCAATTTTCCTCCCAAATATTTGGGATCGTGAAGTCATGTCTTGACTAAATGATTTTAGTCTTGTCTTTCTGGACTTTTAAACTTTAATGCTCATTTCAATCACATCTTTTAAATATACTCTACTAAAACTCAACATGTGGATTCCCAGACAGCAGCATCACCTGGAGACTTGTCAGAAATGCAAGTTCTTGGAAATGCAAGTCTTCAGAACCCCCTCCTACCCCCCCGCATGCTACTCCCCCACAGCATCTGGAATAGGCAGCAGGGCCTCCAAAAGGAAAGCCTGAGTCCTACACCCAAGGGTACCTGATACTGGGTAAGGAAGCTCAATCTGGGCATGGACCTTGGGCTCAAGTGTGCATGGAGGTAGCTGGCCACTGTTTTCAAATGGACAGTGATCACCTCTGATTCTTCTGCCTCCCAGATGCCACACAACATCTGGATTCTGAGCCTCTAGGACTAGAGGGAAGAAGAGCATATTGGCAATTCTCTAACCCGTGAGAAGGTGTAGGGGCCTTGAGACAGGCTTAATTTTATTTCTTGGAGTAGGAGTCACGTTCACCATATGCTACTAAAATTCTTTCGGTCTTGACTTAAGCAAATAAGTGTTGATCTTCTCCAGATTAGACTGGCCCCCTTTGCCTATACACTCCCATTGAACCTTTGCAGTTAGAAATTCAATGTCTATTTTTTCTGATGACTGTTTGTCCCAGGAGAGAAGGAACTGTGCAGTCATATTCACACTGGTATCTTTGGCATATAAGATGTCCTCAACAAATGTTTGTGGATTGACTGGATGAATCAATGAGTGGATGGACAGCTGGTTTATTTGCATCCAACTTGAAGGCATATGAATTGCATTGCTATTTGATGAGGTGCCATGATGAAGATATTTTCTGTATGTATGAATTATGAACAACTATGATCAAAATGGCAAAAAATGGAACCAGAGACTTTGGCTATTTTAACACATGTTAAAATTAACACAAGGCTAATTATTTGTTAGTTGCTTGGATTAAAAGAAATGCTTTTGGAAAAAGTACAAACCCAACCCTCAGAAGAGTTGACAAACTGTACCGTGAACACTGGTATCTCCTCCCATCGAAGTTCACCAACTGTTTTGTTGTTCCACCTACTCCATCTCTCTGTCTCTCCTTCTCTCTTTCTCTCTCTCCACACACACATACACAACTTTCCCCCCAAATCATTCAAAAGTAGACTGCATGCAACATGACAATGTACCCCAAATACTTCTGTATGCCTCTCCCCCATCTAATTACAACCCTTATCCCCAAAACTAAGAAATCGATATTGATACAATAACTTCAGGATACCAGTTTTTAAATTAGATCTTCAGCCTTATACAAGGTCCTCAATGACCATAGAAAATGAAAAACTGTTGAAGTTTTAGCAAATCCATTATTTTATGCCAGAGATTTTGTCAGTGCTTTCACCCGCAGTCAACACCTGAGGCCCGATGTCAACAAGTGGCTCTCACGGTTGCAAGAATCCTTAGGACCCACCCGGGTGCTCAGCAGTCAGGTGTGGGGCTCTGATGTGAGTGTGCTGCTCCCATGAGTCCTCCCTGCCTGGCGTCTGCCTTCCCATCACCACCTGCCGCCACGAGGCGTCTCCTTTGTTGTCATCAAAATCACAGTTCTTGATTTTTTCTTTTTGTTATTGTCCCTCAGTTTGAGTCTTGAACTTTTAGTGGTAAAATATTTAGTTTTTGTTGTATTTGGTTTGTTTGCACATTAAGGTAGAATTTCTATTTGATAGTTGAGTACCAGCTTATTAGTTAATTGAAAAAGTTAAAGGAAGAGTCAAAAAACAGAAACATGAATACTAGTCAACTTAAAATATATAAATGCTCATGAATTCTGTAATCTTGTGAGATAGGGTCCAGGTTGCTCCTTTGGGAATGGGTCTGCTGTTTAGAGTTCAATGGCATCATTCTTGCTAAATCACACCCACAGTGCACCATCAACAAATTCCGGTTTTAGATTTTTTTTTTTTACAGGCCAATTGCTTGTGGGGGCCAGGCATAGGGCTCATTCCTATAATCCAAGCACATTGGGAGGCAGTGGCTGGTGGGTCACTGGAGGTCAGGAGTTTGAGACCAGCCCAGACAACAATGTGAAACCCCGTCTCTACTAAAAATACAAAAATTAGCAGGGTTTGGTGGTGCATGCCTGTAACCTCAACTACTCAGGAGGCTGAGGCATGAGAATTGCTTGAACCCAGGAGGCTGAGGTTGCAGTTAGCCGAGATTGTGCCACTGCACTCCAGTATGGGTGACAGAGCTAGACTCTGTCTCAAAAAAAATAAAAAGTAAATAAATAAAATAAAAAAGATGCTTGTGGAGCGATCTGACTGTAGAGTCCTTCTGGATATTAATCCATATTTTTCTCTAACTCTTTAAGTGCTAGCTCAGTCACATGTAATTGAATAATAGTTTTTCTCTCAATTTCATTTTATCAAATCTTTCAACCTTGTTTTTACATAGGCAAATGTCTTTTTATGCATTCGTATTTAATCACTTAGTTATTTAATATTTAAATTACTTCATTAAAATAGTAGTTCAACCATCAGGAATTAGAGTGAAATAGCTAATCTTAAAACCATCTGGTCTAAAAATGGGCAAAAGATTTGAATAGACATTTCTCAAAAGAAGACACACAGAGAGCATCATTGATCATCAGAGAAATGCAAATCAAAACTACACTAAGATATCATCTCACCCCAGTTAAAATGGCTTATATCCAAATGACAGTCAATAACAAATGCTGGAAAGGAAGTGGAGAAAAGGCAACCCTAGTACACTGCTTGTGGGAATGTAAATTAGTATAACCACCATGGAGAACAGTGTGGAAGTTCCTCAAAAAACTAAAAATTGCACTACCATATGATCCAGCAATCCCACTGTTGGGTATCTATCCAAAAGAAAGGAAATCAGTGTATCGAAGAGATATCTGCACTCCCACGTTTGTTGTAGCACTGTTTACAATAGCTAAGATTTGGTAAAAGGTGAAAGATTTATACGATCTGAAGAGAAACCAGAGTATACAATAGCTAAGATTTGGAAGCAATCTAAGTGTCCATCAACAGACGAATGGATAAAGGAAATGTGGTACATATACACAGTGGGGTACTATGCAGCCATAAAAAAGAATGAGATCCAGTCATTCTTGGATGACTGGATGGATGTCAACAACATGGATGGAACTGGGGATCACTATGTTAAATTAAATAAGCCAGACACAGAAAGACAAACATTGTATATTCTCAATGATGTGTGGGATCTAAAAGTCAAATCAACTGAACTCATGGACATGGAGAGTAGAAGAATGGTTACCAGAGGCTAAGAGGAGTAGTGAGGGGTTGGATGGGAGGTGGGATGATTAATGTATACAAAAAAAATAGAATGAATAAGACTATTTGGTAGCACAGTAGGGTGATTATAGTCAATAATAACTTAATTGTGTATTTTAAAATAAAGAACGCAGCCAGGCACGAGGGTTCATGCCTGTAATCCCAGCACACTGGGAGGCCAAGGCAGGCGGATCGCCTGAGATCAGGAGTTCGAGACCAGCCTGGGCAACATGGAGAAACCCCATCTCTACAAAGAAACAAAAACAAAAACAAAATTTAGCTGGACATGGTGGTGCACACCTGTAGTCTCAGCTACTCAGAGGTCTGAGATGGGAGGATTGCTTGAACCCAGGAAGCAGAGATTGCAGTGAGCCAAGATCAGGCCATTGCACTCCAGCCTGGGCAACAGAGTGAGACCCTGTCTCAGACAAAAAAAAAAAAAAAAGTAATTGGATTCTTTGTAACTCAAGGGATAAATGCTTGAGGGGATGGATGCCCCATTCTCTATGATGTGTTTATTTCACATTGCATGCCAGTATCAAAACATCTCATGTACCCCATAAATATATATATACCTACTATGTAGCCACAAAAATATTTTAAATAATATAAAAAATAAAAGAAAACTGATTGGTGTAGCAGACATGTATACTAGCTATACTAGGGGGACGCCTCCAGCTCCGGGCTGCTATTGCACAGAGGTATGGAGAATTCATTTACCACAGTCAGTTAAATGAAGAACCATTGTGAGAGGGTTGACTGTACTCTCCAGTTATACATGTCTGCCATATCATCTATGTGCATGTGGTCTGCCCTGCAGATGAGGCTCCAGAGCCAGGTCTAGAGCTGTATTTCCATGCCCCAGTTAGTGGAACTGCTCCAAACTCATTCCAGCTTTAATTCTCAGTTAAATTGGCAAGGCGTGGCTTGCCCGTGCAGCTGCATAATTAAGCTGACTAGGACTTCAGAGTATGTGACAATGTTGCTGACATGTAGATGCTGCACCTGATTGTGTGAACTCAAAATTATAGTCAGCGCAGCTCTCTGGCTGCTGTTCAGCTGCTGCTCTAGAAACAAGCCCTGCCTGTGTGATGTTCCAGAGACCCCAGAACAGGGGTGCTTGAATACTTTTGGATGGTGATGACAGTAACTCAAGAGTCAAGATATTGATTTCTCTCACTAATGCTGTTTTTTCTTAAATACATTTTCATATTGCAAATGTTTCCATAATTCAAAAATTCAAATGGATTATTTAATTTAAAAGATACAGAGTCCATATTTTTATTCTTATTGATTTTAATCCATCTACATTGTTGGACCCAGTTTTTTGAAACACTACGGTTACTTTAATAGTAATAACCCATTCATTACTATTCAACTGTTAAATCACTTAAAAAACCAGGATGGCCAAAGGCTAACTATTAAGGAAGCATAACTAATGGATATTTCTTAAGCAACATTTTTATGATTTTTCTCCTTCCAACAATAAATTACCCCATAGTTTCCTCATATCTTAATGGAATACAAAATCATTTGTCATGAGGAGAAAGCTCTTAATAATAATATTATGGCTATTAAACCCACCATCAGGAAATGACCCGAGATTACATGATGTTTTAGCACTTTTGAATATTAAGCAGTTAAACTTGTGGAAATCATTCTTTTTCACAGTTGCATTTATGTTTTACAGCCTTACTTAAAATGCAAAATAAACTTTCATTGTAGAGAATCAAAAAGGTTTGGAATTCCAGAAATCACAGGCCATGTATGTATGGACCTACTGAATATATATGGACCCATCTATGTAGAGTCTACTGCCAGCATTGTAGCTACAAACTGGAGCTTTGGGAAATTTCTTAATCCTTCCAAGCTCCCCATCTGTCAAGGGAGATATTAGGATGTATCTTGCAGTGCTTTTGTGCAAAGGAATTGAGATGCTATCACTAGCATGGCTGGTACCCGGCACTCAATAAGGACTCAGTCATTGGGGGCCTCCCTTCTGTCCTTTTTGGCTACAAGATCCCAAGCCAAAGGACATCCACAACTATTGTTTGATCCTTTCTTCCATCAGTCTGCACTAGCCACCTTCCTCCCTGACATTTCCTCTTGAAGTCCCTTGTCCAGTGCCAAAGAACTGGTGTTGAATCTAAGGGCAAGGGTGAGAGACTGCTGTTATCTATCTCTAACAAACAAGTGAATTAACTTGTATTTGTTAATACTATTATTAGAGTACACTGATTATTTTGGTTGATTAGCCAAATATCATTTGCCTAAGAGCACAGACACATTACAATGTTTTATTTAACAAAATATTGGTTAGAGACCCTGGTGGTATTTGATGCTTATCCAAGAAAGGTGCCAGATCAAATGTATTATACAAAGGCAGCAAGCCTTCCAGCAGTGCGGATCAGTTGGGTCTCACACTCTTCTCTTGATCTCCATTCTCTCAGTGCCCATGTGTCACCCATGTCTCCCCTGCACATCACTTTCTCTTACGAGGCAAAGTGGTACAGGCTGCAGGGCACCAGTTCCAGAGACAGACTTCCTGGGTCTAAATCCGGCTCTGCCACCTCACCTCTGTAAGTCTAGGCAGTCTCAGGTGTCTCGGTTTCCACATCTGTGAAATGGGGTCAGATTGGCTAGCACAGGTAAGCCCTTAGAAGAGTTCATAGGATACACAGAGCCATTACTGTAGGCTGTTACTGACTCATCGACTTGATACCGATCGTTAGGTGCTCCGGAGTTGAGGGTTTATCACTTTCCCTAAACTGCAGGTGGGAACTGTGTCTCACAATTCCTTATATCCCCCACGCACTGTAAACGATTATCTTTTTACCCTTAAAACTCATGAAGGATCTCATTAAACACATCCATTTTCATTGTTCATTAAATGCACATGCATTTTTATTAATAGACCAGAACGTAATTCCCAAATAATCTTGACTATTTCCTCTTTCTACTGTCAACAGCCAGCATGCTCGTTCCTGTGCATGCTGGTGAAACAGACGTGGCCTGCCCTGCCTTTCTCCAATCTCTCTCCCGGAGCCCAGCCCAGCCCAGCCCAGCCCAGCCTGGTTTAATAGCAGGGGGAGTTGGCACCGTTCACAGCTGGTTAACACCCTACTGAGCAGGTCTGTTGATTTTGCATTATGATTACTGACCCTGCCAGTCCCTCTGCCCAGCCAATAGCCTGAGGGAAAAGTTTTTGTGTGTGAAAAGAAGAGCTGACCAAGTATAGCCAAACCATGCCAGACAGACGCCACGAGCTGTCCTCTGCAGGGCCGCCTCTGCCCGTGTCTGCCTTAAGCAACCAACCATGTACCCTGGCACCATGCCCTCCAGTGAAGGAGAATGACACCCTGGACTGCTTTGCACAGTACCCCTGCCTGCCCCACCCTGAAGCTGCTGTCACCACACTTGGACATCACAGAAATCTCACTGCAGCTGCCACTTCCTATCCCTCAACTCCTGTCCAGAGACACATCACTAGTCTAGACATCTAAACCAGCCACCCGTTTTTGATTTTCTGGATGACAGCAAGCATACAGATTACTAACTCTGACAAAGACGGTGCAATGAGAGCTCTCTGGTACATTTGAGAATAAACAATACGGTAAGGAAATTTTGCCCATCTTATGCAATGCAGAGAATGGTAGGTATACCTATAATCATTAACTCCAGCTTCCTTTTTTTGTTTCTTTTCTTTTTCCCCCTAAAGGTTTTGAATGCAGAAAGACCGAGAAACCTTCGCCATTCATGTAAGAAAAATAGACTGCACAGGATCCCTTGATCAGGATGGTGGTAGAGGAAATGAACTTCCGTCAGCACTGTAATGATCTCAGTATGTTTTGAGCACTTTCCGTGCTGGCGGTCTCATATTATCTCATTATATCTTACAACAATTCTGTAAGGGAGGTACTACTATAAGCTCCATCTGATCGATGAGAAAACTCAAATTTTGAGAGGCTAAGGATAGGAAGGAACACTGGGAGCGGGTATCTGAATTCAGGTGAGACAGTCTGACCCAGGGTCATATTCTCAGGTGCAGTGTTGCATTTCTTCTTCTCCTTTTTTGGGGGGAGGGGGTGGCGATGGGGGATGGAGTCTCGCTCTGTCACCCAGGCTGGAGTGCAGTGGTGCAATCTAGGCTCACTGCAACCTCCACCTCCCAGGTTCAAGCAATTCTCCAGTAGAGATGGGGTTTCACCATGTTGACCAGGCTGGTCTTGAACTTTTGAACTCAGGTGATCTGCCCGCCTCGGCCTCACAAAGTGCTGGGATTACAGGCGTGAGCCACCGCACCCGGCCTGTATTTCATTATTGACGGGAGCTGCTGGCCACAAGGTACTGGGGGAGGAGGGGTACGTTTCTCTCCACCTCACCCTATCACTGTGGCCCTCATGATGGGATGTAGAATCCTAGTGATAAACATAACATAGTAGCTCATGAAATTAGCTGTATAATGCAGGAGTTGGCAGACAGCAGCTTGCAGGCCAAATCTGCCCTCTGGCTATTTCCAGCTGGCCTATGAGCTAAGACTGGTTTTCATATTTGTTCATTGTTGAAACAAAATCAAGAGAGAAATAACATTTTGTAATGTAAAAATTATATAAACTCCAAATCTCAGTGTCCATAAATTAAGTTTGCATTTCATCACTACAAGTTTTGTGGATATTTATTTTCTCTCTTGTTATATAGGTATCTGCACAGTAGCCTTCATTTTGCCTCTTGGCTTGCAAAGGCTAAAATATTTACTACCTGGCTCTTTATGGGAAAAACTTGGTGATTCCTGGTGCAAATTATCTTCATTACATTTTTTCTGTGGCAATATAAAAATTGCATTAAAAAATTAAGATACAGGCCAGGCACAGTGGCTCATGCCTGTAATCTCAGCACTTTGGGAGGCCAAGGCGGGTAGATCACCTAAGGTCAGGAGTTCAAGACCAGCCTGGCCAACTGGGTAAAACTCTGTCTCTACTAAAAATACAAAAATTAGTTTGACGTGGTGTTGAGCGCCTGTAATCCCAGCTACTTAGGTGGCTGAGGCAGGAGAATTGCTTGAACCTGGGAGGCGAAGGTTGCAGTAGGCAGAGATCATACCACTATACTCCAGCCTGGGCAACAGCGAGAGTCCATCTCAAAAAAAAAAAAAAAAAGTTAAGGTAGAAACTTAAAGAAGAGATCAGCTGTGAGCTCCAGTGAGAGATGAGCTTCTACCTTGGAAGGGCAGACAGGGACCTCTCTCTTCCTTCTGTCCTCCTCATGTGCCTCCCCTTCTCCCACTGTGCTTCTGTCCAAGGCTTGGGGGACACAAGGAATATAATTTGGGGACTGGAAGAACCCAGCAGATCCTCTAGTCTGAAAGTTCTGCATGTTTTGAACGTCACAGGGCAGTAAAATAAATATGTCTTAAAAGGAAGACAAACAGAATTGTCTTAGTTATATTTTTCAATATAAGGGCAATGGCCACCTCCAAACACAAACAAACCAACACAATCTCCCAGCCCCCAACCCACAGCAGACCTCTCATCTACTGTCCTCATATTCCAGAGGAAAATGAAGATACCATCAAGCAAGTAAATGCCCACAGAATAAAAGACGTTCCCAGGCATGGCTCACGCCTATAATCCCAGCACTTTGGGAGGCCAAGGTGGGTGGATCACTTGAGCTCAGGAGTTCAAGACCAGTCTGGCCAACATGGCGAAACCCCATCTCTACTAAAAATACAAGTTAGTCAGGCGTGGTGGCCTGTGCCTGTAGTCCCGGCTACTCGGGAGGCTAAGGCAAAAAAATCGCTTGAACCTGGGAGGTGGAGGTTGAAGTGAGCTGAGATTACACCATTGCACTCCGGTCTGGGAGACAGGGCGAGATCTGTCTTAAACAAAACAAAACAAAACAAAACAAAAAACAAAAAACATGCTGTTCCCTTAAAATGGGAACTTGATTTTTAAAAAAGCTCCAATTTTACTTGATAAAAAAAATCTCTACCTGGTTCTTCTTTTCCTCACTTGCTTTGGGCTGGGGCAACCCTGCACTGGGAAGCACTAAATTAGCCACAACCACCTCCGCTCTCTCCTGTGGGTCATTCTTTGCTTTGTCACCTGCTGCTGCAGGGCCTTCTGTCTGAGAGGCAAAAGTAAGCTAATCTTATCGAGAGACATGATGCTGATGGTTAACTTTTAAAAATCCGCCTGGAAACTGTCACATTTTTCAGAAAACATTACCTCTTCAAACAAACAAACAAGACAGAAAGCTGCCACCAGTGCCACAAGTGATGGAAAGTTCGCGGTGCAGGCTGGCAGGTGGAGACACACACTAGGGCGAATGGGACTTCCTGGGTCATGTGCCTGGTTTGTTCAAAGATTTAAAAAAAAATCTTTGAAAATGTTATTTACAAAACCAAAGTTTAGGCCAGGTGGCTCGCACCTATTATCCTAGCATTTTGGGAGGCCAAGGCGGGAGGATTACTTGAGCCCATGAGTTGCAGATCAGCTGGGGCAACATAGTGGGATGCTGTCTCTACAAAAAAATTAGCTGGTCATGGTGGCGCAAGCCTGTAGTTCCAGCTATGCGGGACGCTGAGGTGGGAGGATCGCTTGAGCCCAGGAGGTTGAGGCCACAGTGAGCCATAATCGCACCACAGCACTCCAGCCTGGGCGACAGAGTAAAACCCTGTCAAAAACAAAAACAAAACAAAACTAGATTACTTTTTCTAAAAATAAAAATTAACAACAAAAAAGAAAATTCATTCAGAGCAATAAAAAAGACAGTTCGGCCGGGCGCAGTGGCTCACGCCTGTAATCCTCGCTAACATGGTGAAACCCCGTCTCTACTAAAAATACATTTTAAAAAATTAGCTGGGCGCGGTGGCGGGCGCCTGTAGTCCCAGCTACATGGGAGGCTGAGGCAGGAGAATGGTGTGAACCCAGGAAGCGGAGCTTGCAGTAAGTGGAGATTGCGCCACTGCACTCCAGCCTGGGGGACAGAGCAAGACTCTGTCTCCAAAAAAAAAAAAAAAAAAGGACAGTTCATCTCAAAAATAGGAATTTAAAGTCCTATAATTTATTAATTGTTTTCTCAAATTATAAACATTCATTTTTCTTTTTTTTCCTTTGAGATAGAGTTTCACTTTTGTTGCCCAGGCTGGAGCACGGTGGCGTGATCTCAGCTGACTGCAACCTCCACTTCCCATGTTCAAGCGATTTTCCTGCCTCAGCCTCCTGAGTAGCTGGGATTACAGGTACCTGCCACCACACCTGGCTACTTTTTTATATTTTTAGTAGAGACAGGGTTTCACCATGTTGGACAGGCTGTTCTTGAACTCCTGACCTTAGGTGATCCACCCACCCCGGCCTCCCAAAGTGCTGGGATTACAGGCATGAGCCATCACGCCCAGCAGCATTCATTTTAAGTAATTTCTTTGTTTGTTTGTTTTTTCATTATGGAAAGCTACTAACTTAGTTTTTACTTCCTGGTAGAAAAAAATAAAGCCAGAATAAACATAGGAAAATTTTAAAGAACAATGGTTGAAACATGTGATGAAGAAAGCTTAGAGCTGCCAGTTATCTGCAGACACAGTGAAACCCCAGAGGTCACCTGTGCTTCCACTGGCTGATGGTGGGAGAGCTACACTCTCCATTGTTATAACTAATAGAATATTAAGATCGTAAAAGGCCTTAAAGTTCATGGGTCTCCATTACTCCAAGGTCAGTCTAGATCTTATTTGAAATCTGGAAGTTCTAATTTTCCCTTGGGCAGATGAGCTGACTGCTTTCGGGGCGATCGTGTGCAAACTTCAAAGCACAGAGGCTCTGCTGCATGTTAACTTTTCTGCCCAGCAGTCTGGCCTGCTTGGAGTATCAGAGCCCACACCTAAGGGCTTTGTCTTGGAGGAGCTCACCATGGAGAAGAGTAACTCCTTAGGGCTGAATTCATTCCTGGCTTAGTTGCTCACTGCTATGCAAAACATCTTCTCCCTATAAGTAGAGGACAATAGACACTATCTAATTAATACTTTGATTGGGGCCGGATATAAGTGAGATAAATCATGACTATAACTCCCTGTAAAGGTTAAGGAGACGATCTGATACCGGAATTTGCTTTATTTGTTTATTTGAGACAGTCTCATTCTGTTGCCCAGGTTGGAGTGTAGTGGCATGATCTCGGCTCACTGGAACCTCCATCTTCCAGGTTCAAGAGATTCTCCTGCCACAGTTTCCCAAGTAGCTGGGATTACAACCACACCCAGCTAATTTTTATTTTGTATTTTTAGTAGAGTCGGGGGTCTCACCATGTTGGTCAGGCTGGTCTTGAACTCCCGACCTCAGGTGATCCGCCTGCCTCAGCCTCCCAAAGTGCTGGGATTACAGGCGTGAGCCACCATGCCCGGCCTGAATTTGCCTTCTAAAATATATGATGTAAATGTCTGGGATATTTTTGCCCCATTTGTTATGAGTAACATACTTCCTTGATAGTATCAGCTCATATCAAATTGTGATTAAGAAAACTATCTCTGTATAGTTTCATGATATTCCAACAGAACCTTAGGACAGTGGTTCTCAACTTTTCGTGTATGTGAATTATTTGAAGTCTTTAGTGACGTTACTTTCTCCCTCGAGATCCCATCCTCAGTGAGCAGGTCTGAGGCCTGGAATCGGTGCTTAAAACAAGCAGCCTGGGGGTCTCAGTTTCAGGGGTTCCCCAGACCACACTCTAACTTCCTTAGCATATCAAGCATTAAAAAGAAACTAAGATTCATCCCCAAAACTTTTATACCAATCTCTTTGATATTTATGAAATAAAACAGCAGTTATTTGTAAAAATATAGGATAGTTGAGATTAATGATCAATTCTGAACAAATTCCCCAAATGAGATGATGTCACTTGGTTGATTAAAAGTAGTTAGACTTGGCCATCAGTGCTGAGTTTGAACTCCTGAGCACGGTGTAGGAGGCTCTCTGTATTCTGTGTCCTCTATATCCCTAGCAGGGAGGCCACTGGCCCCCATGGGGCTGCCGCTGCGATTCCTGCCCACTGAGACCCTCTGCTTTCTTTTACAT